GGGGGGTGACCTTAGTCTGCACCACTCAGTAAACCCCAGAATCTGCACACCCAGTGGAGAGCTATAGACCACGTCAGAGCGCCACCACCCTGCCCCTGCACAGCTGATCCTCCACAGAGGGCAAGGGTTGGTGGTCAATGGTCACGGCCAGTCCTTGCAGCTGACTGGCCTGGATATATCCCTCCAATTGACCTGCCAGCAGCAGTCAAGGCTCAACTGTAAGAGGAGGGTGTACTCAACCCACATAAAGGCCATACCTGGAGTACCCAGCTTGAGTGATAGGGGAGGCTATGCCACTGGACCCTACTACAGGACACCTACTATATTAGGCCACATTACCAAGACAGGGAGTCAAAGCAGCTCTACCTAATACATAGAAACAAACACAAGGAGGCTGCCAAAATGAGGAGACAAAAAAAAAAAGTCCCAAATGAAAGAACAGATCAAAACTCCAGAAAAAGAAATAAACAAAATGGAGATGAGTGATCTTTCAGATGCAGAATCCAAAACAATGGTTATAAGGATGCTCAAGGAACTTAGTGAGTACCCAACAACATAAAAAAGACCCAGGCAGAAATGAAGGGTATACTAATGGGAATGAAGAAAAATTTACAGAGAATCAAGAGTAGAGGGGATGAAGCCGTGAAACAAAACAATGATATGGAACTGAAGGAAACAAAAAACAACTGATCAAGAAGAAAAAGAATTTTAAAAAACGAGGATAGTGAAAGGAGACTCTGGGACAAATTCAAGCATACCAACATTTGCATCATAGGGTTGCCAGAAGGAGAAGAGAGAGAGCAAGAAATTGGAAACCTATTTGAAAAAATAATGAAAGAAAACTAATTTGGCAAAGGAAATAGGCATACAAGTCCAGGAAGCACAGAGAGTCCCAAACAAGATGGATGCAAAGAGGCCCACTCTAAGACACATCATACTTAAAATGCCAAAGGTTAAAGATAAAGAGAGAATCTTAAAAGCAGCAAAAGAAGTTAGTTAATTACAGGGGAGTTCCCATAAGACTGTCAGCTGATTTCTAAAAAGAAACTTTGCAGGCTAGAAGGGATTAGCAAGAAATATTCAAAGTCATGAAAAGCAGGGACCTATAGCCATGATTGCCCTACCCAGCAAAGCTATCATTTAGAATTGAAGGACAGATAAAGAGCTTCCCAGACCAAAACAACAACAAAAAAAAACCAACAACCCACAAACCTAAAGGAGTACATCATTGCCAAACCATTATTGTACGAAATGTTAAAGGGACTTATCTAAGAAAAAGAAGATCAAAACTATGAACAATCAAATGGCAATACATACATATTTATCAACAATTGGATCTAAAAAACAAGCTAAGCAAACAAGAAGAACAGAGACAATCACATATATGGAAAACGTTTTGATGTTTGCCAGATGGAAGGGGGACATGGGGGAATGGGTGAAGAGGTGAGGGGATTAAGAAGTGCAAATTGGTAGTCACAAAATAGCCATGGGAATGTAAAGTACCCTATAGGGAAATGGAGTAACCAAAGAACTTACATGTATTCATGACCCATGGACATGAACAAAGGGGTGGGGATTGCCTGAGGGAGTGGAGGGTGCTGGGTAGGGCAGGCAAAGGGGGAAAAATTGGGACAATGGGAACAGCATAATTTAAAAGAAAAAAAATGCAGAACTATGTATACACTGCCATTTATGTAAAAAAAGGATGCTGTAAAAAGAGAACACATACATATCTGCATGTGTATGCATACACTAGCTTTGTGAAGGCACCAGGAAACTAGTTGTATTGGCTGTCTGCAGAGAAGGGTGTAGTAGGCACTGTATATACCCTTTTGTAACTTTTAAGTTTTGAGCCATGTAAATGTGTTACATTTTTAAAATAGTAAAAACATATAACCAATGGCTAGAATAGGTTGTCATTTCTTGCAAATAGTGCTGAACTTCAAAGTTACTTTCAAAGAATGTTACTGAAAATTTTGTGTTAATGTTGTTATTGCTGATAGTAGTTAGAGACTGTATTAATGCGATCCTATGAGAGATGTGCATTTTCCCCCTCATTATAGAAATCATTGTTTTATGGGATCTTAACATCTGTCATGAAAATGAAGAGCTTGAGTCAGCCCATTTAACCTTTGGAAATTATATATTTTACCATTTATTAATGGTAAATTAATAAATATTTAATATTAATAAATATTCCCATTAAATATTTAATTTAAAAGTAATGATTGGGAAGAGTATTGCATGATGTTAAGAGCATGGACAGGTTTGTGTTCCAGCTCTGTCAGTAGCGTCCAACTTTGAGCAAGTGAGCCTGCCTTCCTCAGCTTTTTAATGAGCCGTAGTCATTGTACCTACTTCATAGGGCTTCTGTGAGGATTAAATAGGGTAATTTTGTTGGTTAACTTCCATAGTATCTACTGTGTGCCAAACATTTTTCAAAGTGTTTTACATCTATGAACTCCTTTAATCCTCACAGCACCCTTATAATGAAGGTAGGTATTATAATTATGCCCATTTTATACTTGAGGAAATCAAGGCACAGAGAGAGTGAAGTAATTTGTCCTGAGTACCATAGCCTGGAAGTGTGCGGAGCCGCGCTGCAAGGCCCGGCACTCAGGTTCCAGGCTCCCCTCTCTCGGCCCCAGTGTGGTGCTGAGCACTTAGCTCCCGGGTGGCACAGCCCACTGTGAGATGCCAGCAGATTTCAGTAATACACATGATGTGATAATAAATAGTGCTATAGAAGGACATGTGTGCATCTAGAAAGTACACTTACATTAAGCCCAAGAAAAATACAGATAGCATCTTCAACTTAACCTGTCAGAAAATAAAAATGTTGGTATTTATATACATATTCATATACTTGAAGAATATAAAAAAGGGTAACATTTTATAATTTGCCTTGACCATGTGTTAATATAACATCAACTTCTTGTTGCTTCATTTGCTTTATTCCTATTTTATACAAAATGTATTACCTGCCATCACTGTCCAGATTTGGCATTCTTTTGGAAGTAGACTAAGGAATTTTCTTTTTTTGGGTCATTCTTAGGGTTGAAAAGCATTTATTGATGTAAAAATGGTGTTGTGGAGCATGAATTAATGAGTAATTTAAATCCCTGCCTATATGTAATCTTAGGACTCTTAAACAAAAGAATTCCTTATTGATGTTGGCAATAAAAAACTGGCTACAAGGATTTTCAGGAGAGAAAGTCAATCACTGACCACAGATAAATGGGATTTTTTGTTTGTTTGATTTTTTTCTCTCCAACACACTTTATGGCCAATTCTGGATATACTTCCAAAATAACCAAAATTTATAGTGTTCAAATGCAAAGCAGAATATCAGGATGTAATTGCAAGGAGATAGATACAAAGATGCATCCTTGTTCCTTGACTCTTGTTAACTTGAAAGTCCTAACTGAGGCAGCATACATTGTGAAATAGATGATGTAGCTGTTGTCATGGCGATGCAGAATGCTATGAAAGTTGCTCAAGGGACCTACAGACTCCTTAATGCCCTCAAACCCTGATCACCCCATAATATGCAGTAAAGAGAATCTTCTCATTCAAAGATGAAAAGAAAGCATTATAACCTCAAATGTAGCCCAGTGTTTTGCACATTCCTTTTGGGGATTTCTCTCCAGCCATTCCTGTCACCCATGAACCCCACTCTGCCCCAAATCTGGACCCATTACCCTTCATTTTATTCCCTAAAGCCTTGCCAAAACTGGGCTCTGATTACTTAAACATTTCTTTTCTAAAAGCTGGGAGATTACAGGAAGAAAATAAACATATAATTACCAACTAGGTAATCTGACTCACTTGCTATAGCTTTGTTGCCTGGATTCCTGTAGGCTCTGTCTCATCTTCACAGAATCTGGGAGGACAGGAGCTCGTGGTTCCGTAAGACCACCTGCCCATATGACTTCTTGCCTTCTCTACCAATGTGCACGTCCAGTCACGGCTTGACTTTTTGAAACCCAAGGCCAAGGAAGAGGAAAACATTCCTTTTCTTTAAACTAAAGCCATTTTCCTGTTTCCTATTACTTCATGAGCTGTCCTTTCTCTCTACCTGTGAAGACCCCACCCTCTGTACAGCAGAGTATTTCCTTGTTCTGTAGCCCCAACATGACAGTCACATCAAAATATAATTCATTAAGATCAACATTGTTACATAAAATAGAGAGCCAGGGCATAATTTGCTTAAAGATCGTAAAAGTCAAACAAAAAGATCATTGACATTTTATTGATGATTTTGAAAACTCCAGTTTCCATTTGTATACCTTCAGCACTCCCAGGGGGTCTTTTTAGATGCAACAAAATATTTAGATTCGTAAGACTACCGTGGGACATAGGTGACCTCCACCTACTTAGGAGGAGACTGTCCAGGAAGGGCGGCGCCAGGCATCCCTTTTCGGTGGCATTGTCCTCACAGGCCAAAGCAGTCCAGGGGTTTGCTGCCTTCACCTCCCTTTCCCTTATACCCTCCAAGTCACAGTTTGGGTGCAAAGGAACAATGTCCACATTGGGCACACTAGGGGGCCACCCTGGCTTTGAAGCCTGGTGCATCCCAAGCAACAATATCTCTTGTAAAACTTTTTTGGCATAGCTTCCCGGGTCCCACAAGGGACATACCTTATGAGTCCCTGCACTTAAAGAAGCCCAAAGCTATAGCTTCCCGCCAGCTGATTGTGTAATTTTTACCATAAGCACCGTTGCCCAATAACACAGCTGACATTCACCTTATCAGGTTTCCAGGGCAACAAAGCTAGAAAGTTAGTTCAAGGTCACTCTTGTGTTTAGAGTATGAGAGAGATTTTGTTTACTCCTTACCCACAACTTTTCAAAAATATCTTTACAAAAATGATCGTGTTTTCAATTTTGCCTGAAGTAAATGGCATTGAAGTAGCTTCATAATCTTCTGGCCTATATCCTTTTTCATATCTGATACATTTGAGCTTTTCTTCCTTTGACTGTTTTTCTTTTTTTGACAGGTCGGATCAAATATTCGGAACAGGTGTATGATGCATGTATGGATACATTTGACTGTCTTCCTCTTGCTGCTCTATTAAATCAGCAGTTTCTGTGTGTACATGGAGGGATGTCACCTGAAATTACTTGTTTAGATGACATTAGGAAAGTAAGTGATCTTTCATTATTTTATGGGGGGCGGTATACATGTACACACACACACACACACACACACACACACATATAATCTTGTTTTTTACTTCAGTCAGCTAATATGTTTTTACCGCTGAAAATGTTTAAATATAGATAATCAGAAGTAATAAAATGGAAATCACCTGTGATTTCATTATTGGGCGATAACTCCTGTTAACAAGTCGCTCTAAGTTTCAGAAATTTTCTGAAATTTCTAAAGAAATCTGTGCTTTTACCCACTAGAAACATACCTTTTTTTTTTTTTTTTTTTTTTTAGTATATTCCTGGAACTTGAAATTTTATAGCAGTGCCTAAGGAAGGAAGCCAGGGTTCTAATCCCTGTCCTGCCATTACTTCCAAAAGCTCGAACGAATCACTTAACCTCAGAGTCAGTTTTTTCTCTGAAATGAGGAAGTCAGAATGGATGGTCTGAACACTCATCCAGCTCTGGAATCCGCTGACTTGGACATTTTAGATGATACAGTTTAAGTGCTATACTTCCTGACTGGTGATTAGTATTTCCAGAATTCCATATCTTCATAGTTGAGAAAAGATGACCCGTCTTTTTTCACTTACACTGTTCTACAATGCTGTTGTCGCCCCTCTACCTTTATATATCTCACCTCTCTCCCGTAGGTACTAAAATTAAAGAGTTTTCTGTTTATAAAACTGGTTACTCTCCCCAGGATAAGAGGTGTGTCTATATGCACAGCTCTTTTGGCTACTTTATTATCTTTTAAATAACCAGCATTTTTCTTTTACCTAGTGAAGTTGTGAATTTTACAATTCTGAATCATTCTCAATTGATTGATCAATCGATTCCACTTAGTAGAAGTCCTCTTCTTGGCACTCAGCTACGCTAGTTACTTGTTTAGTGTTTTTTGGTTTTGTTCTGATGCTTTTAACCACAGCAGAAGTTAATAACCTATATTGAAATACCTCCATTGCATAGAAAAATGAAAGCCCTTTACAAAATAAAACCAGCACCCTTTAAAATAAAGTGATCTCCATCAGAGCGAGGTGAACAGCAAACAGAGCCACTGTCAAACCCTTACTGCTCTCTTGGGGGCGTTGGCCCACCCAAGCAGCCAAACTGAATTTTTCCCAGTCTTTAGAAATAATAGTCTATCTATCTGTGTAGTGGCTGATTTCCCTTTTGAATTAAATGACTATATATACTGCTTGCAAAATTAGGATGTAAGGGGCCCTTTTCTGTAGAATGGTTGGATAACAGAGACATTTATTTTTAAAAAATACAGGGTAGGGCAAAAGGAGGTTTATAGTTGTAAGTACACAAAAGGGTTTATTTTTGTATTCTTATTTATTAATTATTGTATTATTTTCCCTATGAACAGCTGTAAACGTACTTTTGCCCCACCCTGTATTATTTTTAAAAAGCTAAAAATTGTGTATCTAAATTTGTTAAATGTACATTTTCTTACAGGAATATCCTTTAGGGGCTTATAGCCATCTTTCCTGTTAGATTTTTGTGGGTAGAAGGGTTGTTGTGGGGTTTTTCCCCCCACACCAGTTTTCAGAAGCTCTTTTGCTTTCATGATTTTTCTTCTTTTGGCTTTTGCTTGTCTTCTAGTTAGACAGGTTTAAAGAACCTCCAGCCTTTGGGCCAGTGTGTGACCTGCTTTGGTCTGATCCCTCCGAGGACTATGGCAATGAAAAAACCCTGGAACACTATAGCCACAACACTGTCCGAGGGTGCTCTTATTTTTACAGGTAAGCTGATCCTCGGAATCATAAAGTTGAACCCCGTTTGATTCCCAGTCAGGGCACACGCCTGGGTTGCAGGTTCAGTCCCCAGTCGGGGTGCGCGTGAGAGGCAAGTGATCAGTGTTTCTCTCTCACATCAGTGTTTCTGTCCCTCTCAATGTCTCTCCCTTCCATCAATATAGCAATAAAAATAAAAATAAAATATTTTTTTAAAAAGTTGTAAAGCTGGGAAAGGAAATGGCAATATGTTTAATATAAAGTAGTTTATATTTGAATTCATGTAGTATAGGGATTTCTGTTTAATTATTTCCTTTTTTTAATACTTTATTTTTTATTGTACTTTTTCCTCTTACCATTTATCCCCCTTATACCCTCTTACAGCTCCACTGATCCTCCTTCCCCGACCCCTGCCATCACCACGCTGTTATTCATGTCCATGAGTTCTCCCTTTTTTTGGCTTGATCCCTCCACCCCCAGTGTTTAATTTTTTTATTAATAGAAGGCAGAAAACTCTTGCTTGTTTCTTTTGTTTTTTAATATTAGGTATTATGCCCTAATAAGTATAATACATGGAACATGATCGAGCAGAACATCTTGCAGTGTTTCAGTGTGTTGCCTGACACTAAATGATCTTCTAGATTATTTGTTCCCAAATATCACCTAGAGACTTTTTAAAAAAAGATTTCTTGGCTCTTCCCCGAGACATTCCGATTCAGTAGGTCTGACACAGGGCAATCCTGTTATTGTTTTTTTTAAAGCTCGCTGGCCTTTGAAACTACTGGTATAGGCAAAGATATAAAAAGAACAGAACGTTGTGAACTCAGGACATTTCCTGGAAGTTGGCTGTTGTCTTAAATCTCATATGTAAGCTTTCTGTGTGCTTTGCTGCTCAAAAACAGGGAGATATAGGAGAGTAATGAAGTCTAAATTTTTTAATCCCAATATTTTCTTATGACAAATAATGAATGTATTTAATCCTCTAAAAATCTATTAATTGCCTAAGATAATGCATTCATTAAATGAAATCCACATGTAAACAGTAAGAAGCCTCATTTTTACCATAGATTTAATATTCTTTAGCAACCATTTTTTATTCTTTCCTGCCAACTTTAGCAGTGACTTAAAATCACTGCTAAAATCATCAAAATCATCAAAATTTTACTTTCTTCACATTGCTTAAGATACTTCTTTATTGTTAGCACAATAAAAATTGGTTACAATTTCTGTGGAGGTCAGCTTGGCAGTATCTCTCAATTATAAATGCCTACGGCCTTTGATCCAGAAGTTCCACTTCTAAATCCTCATCCTGTAGCTACATAGTTGGTCTTCATTATTCACAAATTTTGTTTTGTATTGTTTCCCTACTTGCTAAGATTTATTTGTAACCCCAAAATCAAGGCTAACAGCACTTTCACAGTCATTCACAGACATGCACGTGTACAGAGTGACCAAAAATCTGTCACCCCCATGTGTTCCCAGCTGAGGTTGAACAAGGGGTTGCTCCGCCTTCTGTTTCAGCTCTCATAGCTTTCTGAGGCCTATTTAGTGTGACATTTTCCAAATTTTTTGTTGTTTAAAACAGCGGCAAGCACAGTATGAAAGTGCTGTCGATTGTTCCTAAGCACGAGAAGGCTTAGAGGTGCCTTATAAAGAAAATGCCTGTTTGTCACATAAGTTTGGTTCAGACATGAGCTATGGTGTTGTTTGGCCATGAGTTTCATGTTCATGAGTCAACGATATATATTAAATAAGGCGTCTTTAGTCAGAAACACATTTTTGTGTGTTTCTGACTAAAAGATTCTTGATTGGTTGATGAAAACGTTGTGACCAGAGGCGCACGGGACCCTGACCCTGAGTTCCCCCCGGGAGCAGCGCAGTGGTTCAGTGTTCGCTGACCCAGTGTTTGCCCAGCTTCACAGAGCAGGGCTGCTGCGAGGAAGGAGAGTCGCTCTACTTACACATGAGCAAGATGTCTGTAACAAGGTTACTCATTGCTGCATGATTTATGATGAAAGATTTAAAACAACCCAAATGTTCAGTAGAAGACTAGTTAAATAAGTTGTGGTACATCTAGACAATGGGATGCACCAGACAATGCAATGAGGCTGTTTTTTAAAAATGAAAAAAGAAAACAAACTATGCCAGTGTGGAATAATCACTAATGTAAAGTGAAAAAAGATCTCAGAGCTCTGTGTCCCATCTAATAATATTTCTGAAAGTCGGGGGGGGGGGTGTGTGTGTGTGTGTGTGTGTGTGTGTGTGTGTGTGTGTGTAAGTAATTGCTTGGAGACGAACAGCCTGCCTCTGAGAGTGGGCTCCAGGGAACCAGGAACACGGGCTGCCTCTGGGGTTGCTGGAGGGTGGAGGCAGGAAGAAGGGAGGTGTTTCACTGTATCCACTTTGGTATCTTTCCAAGAGATACCAAAATCTCTTTGGAATGTATGTATGTGAATGTACATACAGCCTCTTTTAAAAGTTAATTTTTTCTAAGGAGCACAATAAGAAACAAAGATTTAAACATAAGCTAAGTAACAGTTGGGTAACTCAAGGATAATTTTGTATTCTCTAGTTCTTATCAGGTATTTGTTATTCAGAAAGATAATAGTAAAGAATATGTTAGGAGTAGATGCCAGTATCTACTCCTAACATATCATATCTCTCATTAGAATAAGGTTAGTATATTTTCATTTATGCCTAAAATATTACTGCATAATATTATGTTGGTGTCGATATTACCTGTGAAGCTTTAAGTAGGTTCTTTAATTTTTCTAACGGTTTGGTAGTTTGAAAACAGCATGTTCAGTTTTTAGCGCGCGCGCACACACACACACCCCCCCCCACACACACCACACCACACCACACACACCACACACACACATACACCCCCCACCCCCTGCTACTTTTTTAAATATCAAAAGAGCAAGAAAAGTTTTGGTGTTGTGTTACTATTGTTATGGGTTAAAACAAAAAATTAAAAGGAAGGAGCCGTGTTTCTGTTCTAGAGTTGTCTATTATCTGCATATTTGAACTAAAATGAGGTATGTTAGTGAAATGGAAAAACGAATGATTATTGCTAAGCTATTAATAAAAGTTCAGTGATATGTAAAAGCTATAATTTCTAAACAAAATCAACTCATGCCATTCTAAGTTATTCCCTTCCTCCTATTAAAAATCAATTGCTTCATTCTGGATTTATGTTTTTTAATTTTCTTTTTCAGTTACCCTGCAGTTTGTGAATTTTTGCAGAATAATAATTTGTTATCAATAATCAGAGCCCATGAAGCCCAAGATGCTGGGTAAGTTATATTAAATATGTACTAAATATCACTGCAGAGTTGTTGCCTTTAATATCAAGACAGACGGGCTGTCATCTCTTTTCCAGGTATCGAATGTACAGGAAAAGCCAGGCAACAGGCTTCCCATCACTCATTACAATTTTCTCTGCCCCCAATTACCTAGATGTCTATAACAACAAAGGTAAAGGAGTTCAGCAATATTTGAGTTTGAATTTGTGAGTAAATGTGAGCTCTGGTTTAACCAAATGTATGTGTGGGTTTATATATATACATATATATGTGTGTGTATATATATGTGTGTACACATATATATGTATGTATGTACACACATTTTAAATAAGGAAAAAAGAGGTTTTAATTGAAAGAAAGACCAAGAAACTCAGAATTTGGGCTACTGCTTGGTTTTCATCTCCTGAAGATTATTGGGCTATTTGTATATATAAATAATGACCATAATGGGTCTGATTCGTACTACTGAATCAAAATATAAGAAAAATAAATTATTCCAGGTTCAAGTAAGAACCATCAGCATAAATTACTGGTTGAAGTGAGTTTATTTATTTATAACAATGCTTCAATAAAACTTCACTATTTGGCGTTTTAATGTTTATGAATTATTAAGCTATCTTTGCTCCTGTTGAAGAATGGTACAGGTAGAATGAGTAAAATACAAAAAGTGGGAAAAAATCTTAATTTTAGTCCAAGCCATTCCAGAAGCTAATAGTGTAACTCTAGGTAAGTCACAGAATCTCTGTAAACTTCAGTTTCCCATACAGAAAAAGAGGATTAGGCACACAGATGCTTTCAGGGCAAAATTCTACTTGTAAAACTGTATTCTATAATTAAAGCCTTTTTAAAAAAAATTTAACTTTTATGAGTCATAGTTTCTAAGTTTTGTTTCAGGACACCTGAAAACTTCATGCCTCTATAACTATTTTGTTGTGTATAAAGTATGACTATAAAATAATAGAACTTTTAAACAAACATGCCAGAACATATATACCCAAGTGAGTATTGTCCCTTTAAGTAGTTAACCTTGGGAGGCTATACGCTTATTCCAACAATGCTGCCATTGTTCAGAACGTTTTTGGAACTCCTCTTTTGGCATTGCCTTCAGAGTCTGCGACACAGTCTTTTGATAATATCCACAATGATGGGAAATCTTCGTCCTTTGAGGGTGGATTTGATTTTTGGAACAGCCAAAAGTCATTCGGAGTGAAGACAGATAAATAAGGTGAGTGATCAAGCTAGCCAATATCATTTGGGGTCAGAAACAAGGTATGATTATAAGGTAATGAGACTGGTTTTCCTTGTGTTGCTTATAAAATGGCTCTGGAGGCAATTCCAAAAGAGGAACTCCAAAAACGCTTTGAGTAACGGCAGTATCTTTGGATTAAATACACAGTAGGGCAGCAAGGTGTACGGAAAAGGGCTCTAAGCTAGGAGTCCAAAGTCCTGGGCTAGTCCTATTTCTCTTTAAATTCACAGTTAACAAGATAACTTCACTTCGCATTTAAGCTTACTTCACATTTAACAACACTTCCCTGAGCCTCAGTTTATCTTTAAAATTTACCTGTTATATAGGTTGTTGAAGATAAATTGGAATAATAAAAATTAAATTAAAATCATCAGACTGTAAATTGCTAGAATACGATAACATTCTACTATTATTGTGCCTGGTGTGATTGTATCTAAGGACCATGCTCATCTGATATATAAGGTCTGTGTGTTTGTAGTTGGTGCTTTCTTAAGTCTCATTACTTTATAGTCATACCTTGTATATGCAATTGGGGAAAGAAGTTTAAAAGAGGTGCACAATATACTTACTCTTTACTCTATTTAAAAGTCAGCTATGCATTGGCACATCACATTTAAACCGTACTTGGATCAATCATCTCAGTATACCCTTCAGTGACTTGCTGTTCATTTTTTAAAAAACATTTTTTTGACTTCAGTTCTTTCCCAGCTTTATATTTTCTTTTTACCTCTTGTCTTCCCTTCCTGAGTCTTAGCTGTCCTATAGTGCTCTGCTTCTCCCTAATTCCATTTCTTCTTATTTTTTCCCCTGATATTTCCAATGTTTTAGCAGATTGGTTTTGTTCTTGTTTTTTCCCTTATGAAGGTGTGCACTGCTTACACTGTTCAACTTCCTCAAGGACCTTTAGTGGTCCTGGCCTTCACCTCTGTGAGGCCTTGCGCGTCTCACTCCTTCTGTAACCTTACAGTTAAGAGTATTGCCTGCCCAGTGGATTTATCGCGTGCAGAGCTGAAACATACCGCCTAAGTCGGCAGCCGCTTGACTAGCCGCCAGTTCACTTTTTGCCCCATTCTAACCTGGTTTTGTCCTTGATGATCCCTTCAGTAAATTTGTAAGTCACAGTCCATGCCCTCTGAGTTTTCTGTAAGCTTTGACACGATTGGCAACTTTATCTTGGAACAGTCTTGTTCCCCTTGGAAGTTTCTTAGGCAGTTTTGTAGGGCAGAGGCAGAAAATGTGGCCCCTGAAATAATCTCTGGTGGTGTTCAGTTACTCCCCATACACACACCTCTTTTCTTGAAAAAGGCAACTCCTCCGTCTTCTACTGCAGCAGTTCTCTCTTGCATATTCTTTAGACTTACTGGCACAACAGGTATTTCTTAGTTCTTTCTACTGGTTATATGAAAGACCCTTAAGTCATGATTTTTAAAGATTTCTGTTTTTTGGTGTCTACTGGAAACATACCCTAGAGCAGTTTTTAAGCTCTAATTTTAATCATCCACTTGTTGAGACCTACCTCCCATCCCTTTTCCTGTGTAGATTGAGGGAATTGTTGAATAGTTATGTATCATGTAACCTAAATAAAACACATAGTGCATTAAAATAATGGAACATGTACATTGTAGTCAGTGTTAGGTTTTTAAGAGCTCGAGATTCTATTTTCATGCATTTTTCTTTATAATCTATGGTGTACATTTTAGACATTCAATAACTTATATTTGCAAGCACTGGGCTCTTCTATAATAAGCAGAGAAATAGAAACCAGGAGATGACCTCCATCTGTCATTTCTGGAGAGCTGTTATACACTAGTCTATTTATGATCACAGTGAGAATGACTGAGAGAATAATACAAACAACATTGCGTTGCTGATGGTGAAGATGAAGGAATTGGATTAAAACTTTTCAAAAGTAAAGAAAATAAGTTTGGTACCAAAGTATATGTATAAATGTATGAACTGGTTAATATTAAAAAAACATAGAGTTTAGCAATATACTGATTGTATATGGGAGAGATGGGCATTTTTTTACCTACTATATTGTATGTAGAGATTATTTAATCTACTTTGAACCTTGTAAATTATCCTAAATTTACCATCTGTAGATAACTCCCAGAGAGTTTATTAAAAAAAATCTTTGGCTCTGGCTAATGACTAGCAAGACAGACTGTGTCTGTTTGGTGAGAAATGGTTGCCCTCAAAGGAGAGCTGCGATGTTAACTACTTAGCATATAAAGGAAACTGCGACTGAATTTCCTCAGGTAGAACCTGAGGTTTCTGTAGGTAGTTACTGTGCGGTGATTCTGTGAAGTTGCAGAGCCCAGTTACCTTCGCTTTTCAGGTAACTTTGTTCCTTGGGATAATTCCTAAAAGAATGAACTGTGTATACTCATGAAATGCTTTAAGGTTTTCCATCTGCCCTGAAATACTGAGTCCTGAGTTTACAAGTGGAAAGTAAGTTCCTGAATTCCGTGTAGTTAGTACACACTGTACAGAACGTACCAGTTGCTGTGTCATGCTCCTCTGTGCCAGATTCTCTTGCTCTTTACCTTTTTAGCTGCTGTGTTAAAATATGAAAACAATGTCATGAATATCAGACAGTTTAACTGCTCTCCACACCCCTACTGGCTTCCAAACTTTATGGACGTTTTCACGTGGTCTTTGCCTTTTGTTGGAGAAAAAGGTAAGAGAACTAAAGCCTATGGACCATCCATTGTCTTAACTAGTGACCAGAGCACACTTTTATAGTTGCACGAGTCCTTTGATGACTCAGAAATGTTCATTCAGAGTTATCAGAAATGTTTTCTAATTTTCTATTTTTAATAAAGCTTTCTAAATGGTACTTAGTTGGCATTTAAATTATACTTTTAGTACATTATGCTTTTCTTATTCTAAATATCAATTTAGAGTAGCTGTCCTACTGTGAGCAAGCTGTTAAAATAACATGTCACTGTACCTTTCCTTCAGTGATTTCTTCAGTGATAAATAGGAAATATTGTCCTTAGAATTTTATTTGTGCACCTACATAAATACTCTATGCAACTATAAAATAAGCCTCTTGGACATAGGCCTGATGGCTTAACCTTTTTGCAAGATGGGAGGAAGCATTTTCAGGTACACATCAGTGAAGAAAAGGCTCTGGACAGTAGTCTAATGAAATCAAGTAATTATGCGATAGAATCTTCAAAGACTCCAGAGTGTTACTGGACCAAGTAACCTCCCCAAATTTTATATAAAATGGAAGGTCTACATGTAATGCTACTTGGTAGCTACTCTTAATAACCCAATGACAAGTCATTTTTATCTACGTTTATTTAACAAGTATGTTTATTTAGACATCATTTTGGAGAAAGTACCTTATTGTTTGAATTTGTGGCTGTTTTGTTTTGTTTTACAGTCACAGAGATGCTGGTTAACATTCTCAACATATGCTCTGATGATGAGTTGATTTCCGATGATGAAATTGAAGGTAAACTTGCCTTTTCCTCATTTGAACTAGAAATGAAGAAGTTTTGGTTTTGGTTTGAATTTGTTTTTAATAATTGTTTCCTTATTAAAAAAAGGAATTGTGTTCAATGTTTAAAAAATGGAAAAATACAGGAAGTCACAAATAAAAAATAAAGTCACCCATGATCCTATCATCTCAGATGTTATCACCACTGATAATATCTTGGTGTATATATATACTGTGTTAGCTTTTATCTTTGCATATATTTTTGTCCATTCTTTTTTCTTTTTAACAAAAATGAGGTTATATGTTAGTATCATGACATTTACTTCTTTTCGTAGACTAATTTTTAGTGGTTATATAGTGTCCATGTCAATTATTCTGTGTTTTAACCAATTCTCTGCTATTGGATATTGGATTTTTTCCAACTTTTTGTTTTAAGCCCACGGTTTTGAACTCTCACAGATAAATCATTGCACATTCTGTCAACAATCAACCTTTATTATATGCTTAATATGTATCAAGTCCTCTTTTGATCCTTACTTTCAATAAGCTTATATCCTAGTAGAGGAAAGACAGATAATAAGTATGTTAGATATTGATCTGTGGTATTAAAGAAAGCAGTATTAGGAAATGAACAATAACACTTTCTTGATTATTTCCAGAGGATAAGTTTCTAGAAATTAAACATCTGTGTTGACTAGTACTTAAAGTTTTGAATGGGATACTGATAACCTCTAGAAAGGCCATACCAGTTTACATTTTGTTTGTGATATGTAATTCACAGTGCTTTTCCCAATGCTGTTGATTATAGTTTTATAGTCTGGTTTTTGTAATTTTAATTTGTATTTTTATGATGACTAATGAACATTTTTTTCTTGTGTTTATTGATGTTTGTTTCTCTTCTGTGAATTGTCAACTCATACCTTTTGCCCATTTTTCTACTGGGTTATGTGCATTGTTTGTTTGTTTGTTTCTCTTCTTATTGGCCTGTGAGAGATCTTAATATAGTAATATTTTGTTGCACATGTAGCCAATTATTTTTTTCCCTAGTGTGTTGTGGGAGGTTTGATTTTAAAGGTATAGGTCCTAACTTATCTGAGAATTAAGAAGATCCTGGAAAGATGGTGGCACCTGAGCACAAACCTCTAGCTATCTCATTCTCTCCAAGCTCTGTGCTGAGGTGTTCACTCAACTATTAGGATAAACTGTCTACACAGTGGAGAAAGCCTACCCTGTTTAGAGAATATAGAGGAGAGTCCTACACAAATATCTACTTCAGACTTCATGGTGAAGGCACAGCGCACGTCATGCAGAGCCTGTGAGCACCTTCATGGATGAGACAGATGAGCACCACAAGGAAAACCACCCTTGAGCAAAAAGTGCAGCTGGGAAAAAATTAAAACAAAAATAAAAATTTAAGTTAGTGGAAGGTGAAATAGGTAAGACATAGAGTTAGGAAAATTTACATTCAGCTCACAGTGGAAATGGAAATTATTGTGAACTCTATTGTATGTATTAAAAAAGGATTTTTGATTATCATAAAGATATGCTTATGAAAGTATGCCAGAAATTGTATATGGAAATATTTGTTGAAGTATCACCTATAGCAGCAAAAGATTCAAAACAGTCTAAATGTCCCTCAGTGGAGGGAAGGGTAAATCAGTTAGGATGTCTCCGTATGATAGTCTCTCTCCATGGGATATACTTACGCAAGCCCCCTTTCTCCCCTCTTCTGGTTAGCTCCTGTCCAACTTACCGACTAGATCCCAAACCTCTCCTATCAATGGCATTAACTTCTCCTTAGCATTTGATAGAATCGCAATTTTACCTTTATTTATATTATTATAAGATTAATATATTTTACCCCCACTCAATTGTAATCTCCCTGAGTGCTGGGACGAAATGGGTTTTGCTCACCAGTATAGCCCTAAGGTCAAGTCTAGTGCAGTGAGCATAGTAGGTAAATATTTGTTGTTAGATTGAGTGATATAAAGTGCAATTAACTAGTTCTAAAAAAATGTAGAACTATTGGGGGCTGATAAGGAAAATCTATTAGTCTATTAAATGCAAAAGTAAATTGACAGAATCCTCTCATTTCCATTTTTATAAAGTGTGTGGATATAAGATGATATATGGTTTAAAATTTTGTTTTTGAAAGGAAATGAATAATAACTCTTTAGGTTAAGATGGTTAATTGAACATACTTCTAATTCCATTTCTTCCTGAAACCACACTAAAAACACAGTACAATTTTGGTTTTATTTAAGTGATATATAAACCATGGATTCCCACTTTGTAATGCCAGACTAGATAGTGTAAATCAACCCTCTTAAGACGACTATAAAAGCTAAACAAAATAGTTTTCAAATTCACACTAAAGGCATTCAGACAGCTAACAAAGTAATAAAGAATTACCAAGCTGAGATCTAGAAAAAGACATAAATCTAGAGAGGTACGACAGACATTTGGGACTGTTTCTTTCCTGAAGACATTCATGAATTTCAAAAGAGGGGGCTAAGAGGTTGAGCAGACCTCTTGACAGAAGCTCAAAACGCCGGGGTTCATGGCTAACCAAGGATAATGTGAGTGCCAGCAAGCTTCTGCTCGTTGGTTGGGACCCACAAAGGTTGCATCTGTGTGAGAGTAAGGGTTAACTGGGGATGAGCCTTCAAGTCATTTTAATCCCTGAAGTTTAAATAAGGTATAACTAGGAACCTGGCCAAAGCAAACCCCTCTAAGCTAAGATAACATCATGTAGGACCTTAAATTACCACAAAGAATCTTTCCCATATAATGTGTGGCTCACAACCAAAAATAACGAGGCATGCAAGGAGACGTGATGACATGAAGGAGAACCAGCAGAAAAAGAAAAAAAATAAAAACAGATTGCAGATTCTCCAGACATTGACCTTATCAGACCAAACTTTAACTGTGCTAAAAGAAAAAAAAGTGCTTACTGTAATCAAGAACATAAAAGACTAGATCGAAGATTTTGGCAGAGAACTGTAAATTATAAAAGGGAATGTAACAGAGTTGATAAAACACCAAAAGAAAATTCTAGGAATGAAAAGCAAAATAACAAATTAAAAAACCGAACAGATTAATTAACAACATATTTAGTAAAACTAAACAAAAAACAAATCAACTAGGTCAGAAGAAGCAATCTAGAATAAACAACAAAGAGAAAAAGTAAAATACCAAAAAGAGCACAAGAGACAGATGGTGCACTGAACAGGGCTTTCACCTGTGTGTTTGGGGCCCCAGAGATGAGAGAGAAGGGGGCAGAGGCAGTGTTTGAAGAGGGCACAAATAAGAAATTCTAAAACTGTCAAGACATTAAACCACAGATTAAGAAGCCCTGTAAACCAAAGGAAAATGAATACAAAGAAAACACTGCCAAGGCAGCACATCATAGTAAAGTACTTCAGGTGAAAGAAGAACCTCTTTAGGCAGCCAGAAAAAAGACGACTTCCAAAGGAGAACAATTAAACTGACAGTAGATTCTTAATGGAAACAGTAAAAGCAGGAAACAATGTAATGACATATTCAAAGCACCAGCAGATAATGGTAATTTAGGATTCTGTAGCTGGTAGAAATACCCTTCAAGAATGAAGAGGAAATAAGCATTTTTAGATACCCTACCATTAAAACATTTACTATTGAGAATTACCAGGAGACCCACACTAAATGAAACGTTAAAGAATATTATTTGAGCAGAAGGAAAATACAAGAGGGAAGCTTTAAGATTCTGGAATAAAGAAAAACAGTAAAAAATATGTGGGTAAGTCAAATGAATGTAGACTTTATTAAATAACAGTAATGTTTTATTGGACTTAAAAGACAATTAAAATAGGTGACAATAGTAATTGGCAGTGGGATAAACATAGTTAAAGTTTGTGAGTGAAATATATGTATCATCTGGGAAGAAGGGAAAAGTGTGTATTAATATTATACTTTGACAAATAAGAGATGCATGTTGTAAACTCTAGAGTAACCTGTAAGAAGAGAGATTTGTTTTATTTGGGCTTTTTTAGTATACAATTTTTAAGTTATTGAAAAATATAATGATAAAAAATAACCCAGAAGGAGGCAAGAAAAGAGGGAAGGTACATATATCACTAGGACAGATAGAATAAATAATGATAAATATATCAGTAATTTCCTTAAATGGATAAAAGGTTGTCAAGTAGGATATAAAGTAAAACTGTATTGTGTTTTATAAGAGACAAGTCTAAAACATAAGGATACAGAATATTTTCAAGTAAAAGGAGAATAAATATACAAGGCAAACACTAACCAAAGAAAAGATGTTGTAGATAGATTAGTATTACATGAAGTAGACTCTGAAACAAAAATAAGATGAAACGGTTTACATTTGTATGAAGTTAATAGCATGGCTTCATACTATATAAAGCAAAAAGTAAAAGAAAAACAATTAGAAATATCATCCAAATGATAGTGGGAGAATTTAACATATCTCTCAGTAACTGATGAATAAGCAAACAAAATTACGAAGGTTATAGAAAATAAAACAACACAATTAATGAACTTGACCTAATGGTCAAATTATACATGTAAAACCTTAAACACATCTTAACTGCAAGGTATTCTGGAAGCAATTTACATGAACAAATTATAAGTGTAATTTAGTTCACCTTTATACTACATTTTATAAAACCAGTGCTTAACAAAAGCAAAATGATTTTAATTTCAAAAAAGAACTTGAAGAATGCATCTAAAGCCATGCTTAAAGGAAAATTTGTATCCTTAAATGCAAAAGAAAGGTGGAAAATTAGCATTCATCTCAAGAAGTTACCAAAAGTAAATGGAATAAAATAAAAAGTTCAGAGCAGTATTAACAAAATAGAAAACACAATATAATACAGAAGTGCAGTGAAATAAAATGTGCTCTTTTCAAGAGACTAATAAAATGGATAAATCCCTACTAAGTCTTATCAAGTAAAACAGGTAAGACAAAAATAACGAATGCCAGTACTGATCCTACAAACATTAAGAAGGTAACAAGAATAGCCCTGGCTGGGTAGCTCAGTTGGTTGGAGTGTCATCCCAATATCCCGAGGTTGTGGGTTCAATCCGTAGTGTGGGCACACACAAGAGGCGGGCACAAAAAAACCCCAGAATTTATTTATTAAAAATAGTGCATTTATACTTACATGTTTAAACTTTAGTCACCTTCAAAGTACTCCCCATTTGATGCAATACACCTATTGAGACATTTTTTCCACTGCTCAAAACAGTTTTTGAACTTGATTTTGATGTCTTTTAGTGCTTCTGCCATTTTTTATTTCATCTCTTCCACATCAGCAAAATGTTTCCCTTTAAGGACATTTTCCATTTGGGGGAACAAAAAAAAGTCACTTGGGGCAAGACAGGGTGAATAGGGAAGGCGGGGCATGGGTCATGTTGTTTTTGGCCAAAACCTGCTGAACACTCAACACAATGTGGGTAGATGTGCTCATAAATCACCCATCGTAAAATGGGCAAATGTGTTGAAAGAGCCTTCAAAAAAAATTCACTGAAGCCGAACATACCCTCTCACAACAACGCCAGCTGATACACTGATACAGGTAGGTTCCTAGAACACTCACTTAGTCGGAGGAGTCTGTACTACAAGGGGCCTACCCTCCAGAAGGTAATTCCGTTTTTTGAGGTGATCCCCTCTTGTACAAGAATCAACCAGCAAATGCATGGATAGGTGAAGTAACAAATGATGTTTCTCTCCCTCTAAAAATCAATCATTAAAAAATATATAGAAAAGAAAGTAACAAGAATAAATATATACTGTAAATTTAAAATTTATATGAAATGGATAGATTGCTAGAATAATTAACTCACCGAAACTAACACAATATAAGAAATATTAATCACATGCCTACCAAGAAATAAGGGCTGTAATTTTTAATTTTCCTATGAATAAAATGCCAGGTCCAGAAAACTTCAACACATTTACCAAATAGTTAAAAAAGAGACAACACAAATCTTACACAAATTATCCCAAGAATAAAAAAGATATGCTCATATAATGAGGCTGGTATGACTGTGATACTAAAATGTGACAAGGACATTAATATAGATATAATTCCTAAACAAAACCTCAGCAAATTTAAACTAACAATATACATAAAAGATTTATGCCACCCAACAAAGTTGCTGTATTCTAGAAATCTTAGAAGATTTAACATTCAAAATTCAATCGGTATATACTGGAATATATGTAGTGGAAATAGTTAACAATAATGGAAACTAAGGTGTATAAGGGAACTCTTTATACTGTCTTTTGCGTACAACTAAACCTATTCTAAAAATTAAAATTTTATTTAAAAAAACAGAATAATTCCTTGCATTTACAGAAAAAAGGGAAAAAAAGCATATTTTCTAGTAGATGTAGAAACAGCATTAGATAAGGTTTATCTTTCATTTACAATGGATCTCTTAAACTAGGTTTAGAGAGGCATTCTTTAATCTGACAGACAAAGATGCTGGCTATCAATACCTCCATACTATATCATATTAGAAGTTGTATCCAATACAATAAAGCAAGAAAAAGAAATACAAGATATAAAGCTTGGGGAAAAAAGAACAAAACTGTCATTGTTATAGGTGATATGGTTGTGTACAGGGAAATTTAAAGAGTCTATGGATTAATTATTAGAATCAATAAGTGCAGGTAGTAAACCTGCTGGTTGCAAAGTCAGTAAGTAAAAATCATTTGTATTTATATTTACCAGCAACAAACAAAATGAAAATTTTTAAAGATGCCATTTAACAATAAATTTAACAAATGATGTGTGATACCTTTAAGCAACAAACTGTAAAATATTGTTAGAGAAATTGATAGCAGTCTAAATAAATGGAAAGAAATATTGTGTTCATGGGTTATTGGAAGATTCAGTATTGTAAAGATAAAAATTATTTCCAAATTGACCTATGGATTCATAGTCAAATATTAACAAACAATTTGATTCTAAAATTTATATGGAAACTCTAGGGTTAAATTCTAAAGTTTATATGGAAATAGTCTTGAAGAAGAATAAGGTGGGAGGTCCTGTTCTATAGGATATCAAAGATTACTCTGTAGCTGGAGTAATCAGAATGATTAGTGCAAGACCAGACAAACACTAAAACAGAATGAAGAATCCAGAAATACAGTAGATCCACACATATATGGACACTTGATGTCATCAGAAGCAGTGCTGCAGAGTAGTAGGAAAATGATGGTATTTTTAATAGACGGTTTGGAGATAATTTGAGTAAAAATTAAACCTAACCCCTATCATATTCCAAGCACAAAAATAAATTCCAGATAGATTAATACATTCAAACATGAAAGGCAAAGCAGTAAAGCTTCTAGTATTTACAATATAATATAGAGTATCTTCATGACCTTAGGGTAGAGGAAAAGTTTTTAAACCAGATGCAAAAAGCACTAACCAGACAGACACTATGAATAACTTGGACTATGTTAAAAGTAAGGACTTAGGTTTATCAGAAGACTTTATTAAGATTGGGAGAGGACATTTGCAGCACAACCGGCAAATGGCTCACTTGGCAGAATATATAATGAACTACACAGATCAATCAGATGAGATTTGAACAGCACCTCACAAAATGGGATATCCAAGTGGCCAGCGAAAATATGAAGAGATATTCAACCACATCAGTAATTATGAAAATGCACATTAAAACAATGGATGATTTTAGATACCCACCACGCTGTCTAAAATTAAAGATGAGTGACACCAGGTGTTGGCCACAATGTGAAGCAGCAGGAATGTCACACGCTGAGGCCTAAGTTGGTGTGCCCACTTTGGTGGGTGATGCCGAACTGTTAGCCGAAGTTGGACATAGGCACACCGTATAGCTGAACATTTTAATTATAGGAATAAACTTAACAGAAATATGTGCAGTGAAGAAAAATGCACAGGAATATTCATAGCAGCCTAATTCAAAATAGACAAAAATTAGCATCAGCCCAAATGACCACTGACAGTAAAAAGGAGAAAAAAGTTGTGGCGTATCCACATAGTGGAATTGCATACAATCATGACAGTGAACCACAGCAACAGGGAAGGTGTGCATGAAGCTTACAATGTTGAGCAAAAAGAAGCTAGACACAAATGCACATATTTGTTCCAATTACATCAAGCTCAGAAACGATGAAAACTGGGGTATTGGTGCACGCGTGCTTACGTGGCCCAACTGTAAAGAACAGCAAGAAGGTGATCTCAATATAATTCAAGAGAATGATTTTCCTTGGGTCGAAAGAGGTATTTATCAGGAGGGGCTCAGGGGTGCATCTGCAGTGCTGGCAGGTTTCTCTTTATTGACCTGAGTGGTGATTAGATGGTCATTTACGTTTTAATCTATCACTGGGTTACATGTCTGTTTTGTGCACTTTTCTGTATGTTTATCCTACTTCACAATAAAAAAAGCTTTAAGAAGTTATAAACCTACGAACATCCAGAGATTTTTGTAGGAGTTTTTAGAAGCTGGAAAACAAATGAATTAGTATTGTATTAACTGACTTAGCTGATTCAAGAAAGCTAAAGTTCAACTTACTACTGGGGAATGCTGAGTCCCAGCACAGAATCCTCAAAAAGCAAAGCGATTGGTAGCACCAGCTGCAAGAATTGGGGCCTGTGGGTTGGGGGAGGAGGGAGCTGGGCCCTGTACTAAAGTAAGGAGACTGGGTGGAAGCTTCTGGAAAGGCCCTTACAGTCCTAGTTGCGAGTGAGCAACTGCCCCATTTCCAAGTCTGGAGACTAATCTCTTAAAAGGGAAACCAAAGAATTTCCGGACTGCGGACATAATTGGGGATATCAGGACCCTGCCAGAACGTCCCCGATACTGCGTGCATCCTCAATACTGACAGAGAGGACTCCCTGAGACAGGCTGCCCCGATCTGCCCAGGTAAAGCTCCAGGTCCCCCGGCCACCGCCAGCTCGGGAAGCTTTCTAGTCCCGCACTCCTAGTCATGAGCAAACATCAGGGATTGCCAGGCAGCTCAGGAAAGTCTCTAGGAGAGACCACAACAAAAAACGACAAAGAGCCACCTGGATAAACTTGAGATTCTGAAGCAAATATAAAACTTAAAAAAAGAAAAACTGTACTATCCCTAGAGAGATATGAGAAGATATCCAGTCCATTAAATAAAAACATAACGCTCCTATTAAGAGATTTGTAAGCCGTTCGTCTTGTCCTTCGTTTTTGTTCTTTATTTTCAGTGTCATTTGTTCCACAAATATCTTTTTCTTTTTTTCTTTTTTTGGTCTAATTTTATTTTCATGATCTGTGGGGATAGGTCATGCTGGATAATAGTAGAGTGAATTAATATAAAACTAAACTTTTAAGAAGTGGAAAAACAACTAACAAGAAATCTGTAATTTAACATCTGTCATGATACCAACAATGTCTCTTCTGAGCTGATAAAGATAATATCCTGCTTCTCATTGCATTTCACTTTGATTTTTTTTTCTCTCTTCCATGTAAACTTAAATTGCTCTTCTCATATTTCTATCTTCATCTCCTTGTTTCTTGGTGTCTCTTCTCCCTGAAGATCACTACATTTCAAGCTATCAGAAAGGTATCTGACTAAAATGTCCTAAGAGCTTAATATTTGCTGTCTGTCCCCCTACAGTCTATTAGTTAGACTTGTTTAGTTGTAGTTGGATAATTTCAGATAGGCTCTCTGTCCTCCCTTTCTTTTTTGATGTATGTGCTTTCTCTGGACCTGCTATATGATCCTGCAGGATTTTGAGAACTGGGGGTGGGATGAGGAAGGAGGGGCCCTGTGTCTTTTTCTGACTTGAATGTGGTTGCCCGGTGCATGCCGGACCTTGGCCTCTCACATGTGAGCTGTTCCTTGACTCTAGCTGAGAAAAGGCCCTAAAGTCTTGCATTAATTTTGTGATGTTGCTTTATAAAAAGCAAAACAGAAAACAGCCTTAGCCCATCATCATAGTTGGTACTGCGTGGTTGTCTATGGAAGGAAATAACTCACCAGTTTGTAAGTGAGTATTATAAAATGAAAGTAGCCCCCACTAAGTTCTGGGGAGCCAGCTTTGTATTGTGTTTACATGCAGAAGACAATGGCTCAAATCATCACTTGCCATTTGCGGGCCAAACCCTGCATCCTAAGGTGGCACACAACATTCTCAAAAGAGATCTTTGTTGTAGCAACTGTCTTTGTTTATGTGTGTATTACAGTCTTCTCTGTGTTCCACATTTCAGAGCCACAGATCAGTGCCTACCTCTCATAGGTGTGCCCATGTGCCCCCCCCCCCCTTTTTCCTTCATCCTTCTCTCTCCTGGGTTATTTTTTTTCCCTTGTTCCTTAGAACTTCCTGGGATTTTGTTTGTTTGTTAGTTTAAATAAACTTAGGCCTTGATTTCTTTTTTTTTTTAGATAACAGTTTCTTTAACTTGGAAAGATACTTCATCCTGCACTTATAAAAATTAACTTGTTAACACATTCCTTTAATTCACTTATTCTTTGTATTCTTAAAGGAGGCACTACAGTGCGAAAGGAGATCATCAAGAATAAAATCAGAGCCATTGGGAAGATGGCCCGGGTCTTTTCAATTCTTCGGTAAGGCTTAGTCATTACCCTGTGGGATAAAAGCATTTTGAGAGTAAATTAGAAGTGGATTTCCTAACTTTTTTTTTTTTTTGGAATTGGAATTTGGTATTAGAACTGCAGGCCGAGTGCAGATTAGAATCAGACCTACACATTGGAATGACCAGAAATGTTCTGGCAAGTGTTCATTTGGTACCAGCTCAAATGGAGTGGTTTTGTGTGCATTCTGGAGCCAGGTTGCCTGTGAATACATCCTGGCCCTGCCTCTTCTTGGCTGTGTCATCTTATGCCTCGTTTTTCTTGTCCTAAAAGAATGATAAAAGACCTGCTTTAAATGGCTTGTAAGAGGATTAAATGAGATAATATAAGGGAAGGATGAGAACAGTTACTGGTTCTTAAGTGTCATTAATTGAAACGTGAGACCAGGCAGATTCTTTAAAATTGGAGTAGCGAGAGAAAACATCCTTTCTTTGGGTCAGGGAACAGGTAGGGACAAGGGGAAGCTGTCCTCCATCTCTGTACGTCTTAACTGCCTTCACATGCCTTTGCACTGCTGAGCAGTGGACACCCTGGCATTAACCCTGAGCCCTGATCTTCCTTTGCAGGGAAGAAAGTGAGAGTGTGCTGACGCTCAAGGGCCTGACTCCGACAGGTACGCTCCCTCTGGGCGTCCTCTCAGGAGGAAAGCAGACCATCGAGACGGGTGAGTATGAGAACTGCTCCGCGCAAGGAAGGTGTGCTCGTTCCCCAGCAGTCAGTGTAAAATGAGGAACCGGGGCCTCCTCAGTGAAAAAGAATGAAATCTCGCCATTTGCGACAACGGGTGAACCTAGAGAGTATTTGCTAAGTGAAATAAGTCAGAGAAAGACAAACACCATATAATTTTACTTATATGTAAAATATAAAAAACAACATGCCTGGGTTGCAGGCCAGGTACCCAGTTGGGGACATGTGAAGGGAAAACCGAGTAATATTTCTCTCACACACGGATATTCCTCTCCCTCTCTTTCTCCCTCCCTCCTCATCTCTTAAGTTTGTCTCTTTTCCTAGTCATCCTGCCACTTACAGGAAGTAGAAATTCCAATGCTACCGATAAATAGGAACAAGTACCCTTTCCCCCTTATAATAGGATTGAGTTCCTTCTCTTTCAAATTGAGTACTGGAATATTAGAGTTTAGCTATTTAGATGGGAGAATAAACATTTTCTCCTTGAAAGTACATAATTTTCTTAATTTCTGTAGTTTCATAGACAGGATCAGTAAACTATTTCAGATTGAGGGTTTTCTCTTTCTCTTAAATAAAATGTGCAGTTTTTTGTAAGCAAAATTCTTTTCCACCATTACTGTGCTTGGTAATTAGTCATGTGATATAGTCTGAGAGCAGTTCTGACAAGGAAGTTTAGAGATAATAGGAAGTAGCACAGGAAAAGGAAAAAGGGAATGTCCTATGGCATCCTTATTGGAAAAGTTTTAAAAATATGCTGACCACAAAGTAGTTGTTTTAATCTGAAACCAATTTTTTCTAGACCTTGAAAGAGCAAATTTGCAAATCTGGGATGAGTAACAGAGAATTTTATAGATGTGTTATTTGGTGATTTATTTGTTTTATCATCCTTGGTCTACCTTTTGTTTTCAGTCCCTAATATCTCCAGTTTTTCTTAGTTTCTAATGTGAATATGAGTGTTTTAATCAATATAGGATTGTATTTGATACTTCTGAAATTGATAGAATGCTCAAGAATGTGTAAGAAGGACAATACTAAAGTTGAAGCCAACTTTTTAGAGATTCTTATTCTATCTTATCGATTGACAGGAACTGAGTTTATTTTGTCATTTCCCATCGGAGTCTCAGTTCCACAGGTTCATTGGCAAACTCTGGAGCATTAGCTAAATAAGACTTTTTATTGTTCCTATAACTTTACTTGAAGAGCTTTCAATCAACAATAGCCTGTATGACCGTATAGCGTATATTTATTTATGCCCTACCTTGTTCCAAGAGGGACTGGAGTAAATTACAGCTATATATACAGCACAGTGAAATAAAGTACATATGCTTGAAAACTGGAGCACAAAGCAAAACAAACAAAAAAAGCCAAAAGTCGGCCACAGATATGATTCCAAGCTGTTCATTAGCCAAAATAAAGAGGAAAACAAACAAAAAATCTCAAAAAAACAAGATTCACACAGACCATAAGATAAAAACAGATCAGTTATCAGTTGGACTACATCAGAATTAAAAACTGTGCTGCAAATGGAACCATGGAGAAAGTGGAAAGGCAACCCACAGAATGGTTGAAAAGACTTATGAATCACACATCTGATAGGGGATTACTACCTAGAAAGTATAAAGAACTCTTTTAAATGAATAATAAAAGGACAAATAACTCAACTTTTAAAATGGGTAAAAAAATGAATAGACATTTTTCCAAAGAAGATATACATATGGTCACTAAGCACATGAAAAGATGTTCAACATCATTAAAACATTAAGGAAATACAAATCAAAACCACAATGAGATATCACTTTATACCCACTAGGATGGCTGTGACCAAAAAGACGGGTAATAAGTATCGGTGAGAATGCGTGAAAATTAGGACCCTTGTGCATTGCTGGTGGGGATGTAAAATGGTACAGGCCTTTCGAAGTCAACCTGGCAGTTCCTTAGATGATTGCACACATAGTTATCATGTGACCCAGCAGTTCCACTTCTAGCCATATTTTGCCATGTATAATGCACATCCTTATTTTTCCCTAAAAAATTTGGGCAAAAAAAAGTATGCATTATGCATGGCAAAATACAGTATATATCCCAGAGAAATGAAAGCATCCGAACAAAAAAATTGTACATGAATGTTTATAGCAGCATTCATTGTAATAGCCCGTAAGTGGAAACAACCCAAATGTCCATCAACTAATGAGTGGATAAACAAAATGTGGTATAGCCATGCAATGGAATACTATTCGGTCATAATGAGGAATGAAACACTCCCTAGCTAGTGTGGCTCAGTAGATTGACCTCCAACCTGCGAACTGAAAGGTCACCTGTTCAATTCCCAGTTAGGGTATGTACTTGGGTTGTGAGCCAGGTCCCTATTTATGGGCATGCGAGAGGCAGCCAATCGATGTATCTCCCTTACACTGATGTCTCTCCTCTCTTCCTCCCTCCCCTTCTCGCTAAAAGTAAATAAATCTTTTTAAAAAAGGAATGAAATACTGATACATGCTTCAACATGAATGAACCTTGAAAACATTATGCTAACTTAGTGATTTTCAACTGGTGCGCCACAAGATTTTTTTAAACACGCAACACTTGACTGTTTAGTCGGGGCACTGGCCTATTTTCCGTTACATTGTCAAGTAAAAAAATGACAACAGCCAACACAACAATAGCCATCTGATGTGAATGAATCAAAATTACACCTATTTTTTTTTTGGTCAGATCAGCAAAAAATATTTTTCAGTGTGCTGCAGAATTTTAGTAATTAGTTTGTGTGTACTATGAGATGAAAAAGGTTGAAAATCGCTTTGCTAAATGATAGAAGACAGTCACTAAAATAACATATTGTATGATTCCATGTATATGAAATGCCCAAAACGGGGTAATCATGAGGAAGGGAAAGGGGTTTACTTTGGGGTGATGAAAATGTTCTAGCCATGGGTTATAGTGATGATTGCACAACTCCGAGTGTGTTAAAATCATTGAGCTGTACACTTTAAACAAGTGAATTTTATGGTATATGAATTATATATCAGTAAAGAAAAAAAGGTCAGTTTCTCAGTTTTATATGACCGATTCTTAAAATGTCCTTCAGCACAGGCCAGTGTCTTAATACCCAGTGCCGAAAGCAAATCTAGGAGTCCCCAAACAATGCCACAGTAGTATGCGTTTTGCCACGTAGCTTTTCAACTCTAATTAAGCCAACACTCTGTATACAATTCCAGGCAATGCTTTGCTCTCCCACTTCCTAACGGTTGCATCAGTGATACACTGTTCAAAAGCACTGTGATTTTCTTGTGGAAGTTTATTTGTTCCATTTGAGGAGATTAGAGAGGGTGAGGCATTGCTTTAACACATGCCTACATATGGTTGACAAATGGAAGCCCTTGATAAGTTGATTCCAAGTTTCCATTTTCACATTGCATTAGGATGTTAACTTTCCATTCTCCCCTTCTCTCCTCCCCTGTTGACACTGGAAGCCTGAGGAAGAGCTAACTGTTACTGTTTCTTATTCTCCCCTCCTTCTTTTTAAAAGTTGGCTTTGGAGGATCTGATAGGGTTCTCCTACTAGGATCTTTCTTGCTACTGCAACCTGTAACATTTTCATATATTAGGGATTTTCATATATTTTTGTCTTCAAAGAAGATGCAAGACAGTCAACGCATTGGTGCTGACTGCTTCCTTCCCTATCAGTAAAGGGGAGCAGGGCCCCCCTTCCCCGTACCCCCCACCCCCGAGGCTGGCCTGCTCCCCGCTGCTGTTGCGGCCGTGCTGCAGGGAGGGCTCGCCTCTGCTGGGTCTCTGATCCCAGAGGACACATGAATTTGTACCCAGAGTTGAACAGTCTCATGCCTTCGCCAGCTTAGTACTCCACCCCTGGACAAGAAATAACCCTTCATTTATAACCCATTTTTCTCTCCTTCCAAATACCAGTGTGTTATTCAAAGGCCATTCTTTTCTGTTAGGTAGTTTAAAACAACAATTGGACCCCACTTAAGTCACTTGAGAGAAATCAAAAGTTGTTTTACGTAAGTATTTTTGAATAGGGCACGGCAGCTCATTCAATACCATCTGAGCTATTACAAACCCAAGAACTGTTGTAATATTCAATTATTTGAAATTATTTGACTCTCTGTGAATGTCAAGACAACTTAGCATCTGGCTATTTAAAATGAGGAAAGCAATATAACTCCTGAGCGACCCAACTGGCTTAGGAATACAGCCGCTAGCTGAAAGGTTCTCTCATGCTACCTAAAATGTTAGAAACTCTCCCACCTTGTGTTTCCCCTCCCCCACAATTTAGTTTTTCACAGTAACCCTCTCACTTCTCTAACTGGTTGGCTTTTACTATGGGGACAGGAGCAGGCCAAAGGTGGGACCCAGGGACGTCTGCGGGCCGCACTGCTGTGGGTTTACTCACTCTTCTCTGTCTTCCTTTTTGCATGCCACTGCTCCTGCTCTTACAGCCACAGTAGAAGCGGTAGAGGCCCGGGAAGGTATGGCCATATTCCTGTGATGGATGTGATCATGTGTCTGTCTACTAGTTTTAAAAAGCTTTGTCAACATTTGAAACCTTTTATTATTGCATCGCCAGAACTGTAACAGTGAGAAAAGGAATAGGTATTTCTAGGCAGGCTCACAAAATATCCTATAGTTGTATTAATTTCAATGACCCTCTCCACAGCTGAAGTCCTTTCTGGGCTCTTGTTTTAATACAATGACTGAAGCTCAAGCAACCAGTCATGAGGGATCAAGTAATTTAATCCTTATAGCTCTTCCATGTATAAGAGACATCCATGTCTCTAGATCACTAGAGATTCAAACATGTCAGCCTCTTTATCTAATGATTCTGAAGAATGTCAAGAGCTGAGGCAAAAGTAGACAGGAATTTAGTCTGATTCATTTCCGAGGTTGCCTTAATGCAGTCAAGCTAAATTATCTGTGTTTCTATGAAAGCAAATTTTAAGTAACAATATAGCCTGTGAATCTATGGGTCAAAAATCATTGGAATTGATACTGTGTTATAAATTTAATTGTTTTGTTTGGTTAAGGTGGTTTTAAATAAGAATTCCTTTCCTTGACAATACAAAAGCTCAAAGAAAATATCTAGATGCTACTGTTAAATGGCTTTAACTTACGTTCAGCTCCTGGTTGTGCAAGATAAAAAGCTGTCCTTCTAAACAAAAAGACTAGTTCTTTTGTTACCTTTTTTTGTGGTCACTGTGATGTTTGTGCTAAAGTAACTACTCTGTGTAACTCCTTCTATTATTTTAGTGTTTCTTTTCTTTTTCTCTCACTGAGCACGTCTCTGGCCCATAAGAAACTCTTTCCCAAACATACTGGAGCTAAATAAGGACTTGTTTCCTTTTTGTGGGGCATACCTCTGCTATGATCAATTGCATTAGCTCCTATGAAAATGCCTTTCAGTTTCAGCTGCCCTGGGGGCCTTAAGGAATTCGTGCCTTCTAGACAAAGCTAATGCAAATTAAACATTGCCTTGACCCTCACCAGACATGTGCTCCCTTGCCACCCTTCTGTGTTTTTCCCCCGAGGAGGCTGCTGTGTGCTACTGAACTGCGAGCGTGTCACTTTGCTGTCCCTGTCCAGCTGAGCTCCTCCCTTTCCTGTTTCCCTGTAGCCATCAGAGGGTTTTCGCTTCAGCACCGGATCCGGAGTTTTGAAGAAGCCCGAGGTCTGGACCGAATCAATGAGCGGATGCCACCCCGAAAAGATAGCCAGTACCCTGATGGGCCTGCGAAATCGGCGACCTCGGTACAACCAAACCCCACGCACAGGAGCGACAAGGGCAGAAAAGCCAGTTATGACTCAGAGCCCCGCTGTGGCACAGGTGGATCCAAGACTTAAAAACAGATTTTATTTATTTATTATTGGAAAACAAAACAAAGCAACTTAGACAACTTAAACCTGGAGGTGCACTCATAATACACTCTGTGTTTATTCTGTAAGAAAGGCAACCATTTTATAAATTCTTTAATTTATGTTCAACATATATATAAGAAGTGCATCTGTTTTGTTTTTCCCTTTTTTCCTTAATTTTTAGGAACTGATCTGATTGTCTGATACATATGTGAAGTCTTGTGCTATAAAGGGTACCTTCCCCTAATAAATAAAAGGGCCTTGGAAACTCCACCCTGGGTTTCTGACTTGAAGTAGCCAGCCTTTTCTCTTGTTTGTAGTAGGTAGTATTTGCGTTTCAGACTAATGACTTTTCAAATGCAAGAACGTTTTTTTTCCCTTTCTACAGGGTACCATTGAATAATATCACTTAGACTTCAGTGGCTTAAACTTCTCTTCTCATGGAAAACTTGATTATAGTAGAATTTCTAAGTCAATAACCCAGACCCAGTGATTTTTAAGGGCCAAAGCAAATGTTTTCCATAACCTACTTTCTACTGGACTTTCAGTTCCTTTTAATATGTTCTAGTAAGGCAAAATGAAAGATAATGAGGAATTTTCTTAGAATTACTAAAAATGTGTTCATCTGATTGTGGGCCTGATTGCTTTAAACTTCCGAGGTCCCTGAACAGCATGCTGCCAGATCCTTTCGCTTTCCTTGTTGAACGCCAGGCGATTTGCCCCATCTGCCAAGAAAGTTCCCGCAAGGAAGTGCGCAGCCTTCTGCGTGTCGCGACCGCTGTTACAGCACCAGCTCTCCCTGCCGTCCTTTTTTCCTGTGTCAGCATTTTTTTAACCAACTGGATTAATGAAAACAGCCTCAGGTAGAACAGTCCCTCTATGAATTGGAAGTCTTGCTAGAGGCCATTGGATGAGTGAGGATTTCATCATATCTTCTATATAAGTTACAGGGTGTTGCTTTACCTTTCAACATTCATCAGGTTGAAGTGTATGTCAGTGTCTGTCAGCATATTTTGGAGTACAAGCAAAGTGTTCAGATATAATGTTTGAATAACCCTCCCTTGGTTTTTCAAGTCACAACCAACTAGTGAGGGGAATCTCGGGGGTCCCTAGGCTCCCATGTTTGGTTTTGCCTGGTGACGGGTGCTATGTCCTGATACTCATTGGTCAGCGTGGCAGTGTGTGTGCACATCTGGGTGACACTCCCCCAAAGTGCATGTTTGTGGAATTTCTTAGTGTCCTTGGGATGCAGGCATCCAGCACAGAAGCAGGTATCTCAGACGGTTATATTGGGTTGGCCAAAAAGTCCATTTAGTTTTTTCCATAAAACAAAAGACACATTTTTCATTTTCACGTTATTGATTTGGATATTTTGAGTATGTCGGCTATCTCCCTCTATTAGTTTCTAGCGGGTAGAGGCCGGGGTGCTACTAAATATCCTCCAGTGCATAAGACAGCCCACAGCAAAGAATTATTTGGCCAAAATGTCAATAGTACTAAGAAACTTCACAAACCACTTTGGACACATTCGATCAGTCACAGTGCCCTCTTTGTATATACACTGTACAAAGCTTTTTGCGTTTCAGTTGTATTTTTACCTTTCTTGAAATAATAACACATACATAATGTGTTGAAAATGTTGAGTATTTTCTTCCATCTTCAAAAAATTCACCAATTTTGATGTTTTTTCTAAATGCACAATGATACAACACCTGTCACAATACACAAAATCTACACAAAATTGTTTATAATGAAATTAAAGACAACTAAACACTACTAGAGGCACTGTACAGAAAAAGCAAACAAACTTTTTGGCCAACTCTATACATTGGGAACTTAAAGGACAACAGAGGCCTTATCAAAAAAACAATTTCAGGTGGAGGGGAGGCAGAGACAAATGTATTTAAAAAGTAAATAAATTAAAAAAAAAACAAAACAATTTCACTAGAAAAATGAGGATTTAGCTCATCTACCTCTGTTTTCTATATCTTTTACTAACAGTTCCAAATTTGTTCATGGTAAAGAACAGAGCATTTTGGGGATTGGAATCTGGTGGCATGAATTACTCTGTTTAAAAAGATAGGAAGGCCCTGGTCGGGTAACTTGGTTAAGAGTGTTGTCCTGATATGCCAAGGTTGCAGGTGCCATCCTTGGTCAGGGCACATACAGGAATCAACCAATGAGTGCACCACTAAGCAAAACAACAGATGAATGGGGTTTTTTTTTCCCCTCTTTCACTCTAAAATTAATACATAAAAATTGTTTAAACAAAGAAGACAGTAGGATATTGGGGACAGAGATAAAAAAAATCTCTTATTGGGTTGACAATAAAACCTGTGCAAGAAAGGAGAAAAAAGCCTTTACTGACTGCTGTTTCTTTAAAAACTGATTTCATGCCCTGGCTGGTGTGGCTCTGCTGTCAAGGTGGTGAGTTGGATCCGCCCCCTCCGCCGCCCCGCCCCGCCCCGCCCCGTGAATGACCCTGGCCTGGGCATGTCTAGGAGGCAACCAGTCGATGTTTCTCATAGCAATGATTCTTTCTCTCTCTTCCCCTCTCTGTAAAAGTGATGGAAAAAAAGTCCTCGGGTGAGGATAAATAAATAAATAAATAAATAAATAAATAAATAAAATGGAATTCATCACCTGGATATATCCTCAGACTCCTGTCTCCCTCGGGCCCAGTATAGAAAAGACTGCTGTTTTGGAAATCTCACCTAAAATGAAAGTCAGTCCACATGACACATTCGGTAGGTGGGGGTCCCTTATCCCTCCCTCCTTTTTTCTGAGGTGGTTGTTTTACATACGCAGTCTACAGGCAGAAACCACTCATGGGCTCAATCAGCCGGCAAATAGTGAAATAGTCATTATATATCCATATAAGCAAAAAATATTGTGCTAGTGAGAAGGACGATTATTTAGGAATGTCTTTATTGTCTTTTCAAAAAGAAGCTTTCTGATAAAACAAGCTTTCTGGGCGCAGCCAAGGGGCGTATGTGATGAAAGATCGGCCACAGCAGAGAAGTGAGACGTCATCGTTCAGTAAAATTGGAGTTTAAAATAGAGCAAGAGCCGCTCTTGAAGGAAGTTAAGTTTGAAAACCCTGTTGAATTCTAATGGAGAAGGTATTTCTTATGTTCTGTAAAAGGCTGGGTGTGTTTTCCAGCAATTTAGAAAGCTGTAGGGTATGTGTGTCTATGTGACACAGATAGCTTCTTAAAGTGACGCTGTCCGTTGGTGTCAGTGCACCGGCTTGCCCCTGTGACTGACAGTTTAGAAGGCAGGGACCCTAAGACTATATGGCAGTCACAGCACACCTTCACTCTAGAATTCATCAGAGCGTTTTAGCACATCTTTTTAACATTTTAATCTAAATGGTAGCTCCCAAGATGGGTGGTTGTCTGCCCTGGGTTTGCCGTAGGGGTACGGTGTCTGCAGCTGCGTCACTCCCGCCGAGCATCCTAGCTGCGCCAGAGGCCTGACCACCGCCATTTTCAAAGCCTCTTCTATTACCCCGTCCCCTGCATGTGCTAAAGATGCTAAAGATACTTCACTCTTCTCCACTTTAAGGCCCAAAGGGACCTTATTTTCAAGTTGTGTTATCGGAGGGAAAAATCCAAACTTCTTAGCTCGGTTCCCTAGACGTGTGGAGGGCTTCTTTGTAAACATTTGTGAAACACCATTTGAGAAATGACATTTCTCAAGGACTGGTTTGCCCAGTTTTGTCTACATCCACACCATATGAAATTTCAGATTGATCAGGTGACTATTTTCAAATAAACATTTAAAAATTCATCTAACATCAGTTCAAAACGTACATCCTTTCTAAATCTGTGTTCTTAATATTTGGAGGGGAAAAACCCGATAAGCCATGTGTGCGTGCGCAATGGAACACTAAAACAAGAGCAGCCTCCGCTTTCTTTCACACTGCGAGGTGACCCTGGTTATGGGCACAGACACTGGCGATTGCAAGGCCTTCTGTGACCAGGTATTAACCGGCAAAGTGAAAACTGGTCCTCACACCCTGATGGGCTTGACGTGGCTCCTTGCCCAGGGACCGAAGAATTGACTCTGCAAGGGTAGCCGTGTTTTTTCATGTCCTTTTGTCTATGTTCACAGTGCCTTTTCTGTTCCTACACAGCTGCTTCTCCTGATAACTCAGGGAGAAGTTCAAAATAGGTAAAGAAAAACTTTTATTATTTTGTCAACAGAATATTGTTATTTATTGACATTAAGGAGCAAGGGTAGGATTTATTCAAGTTGGATAACCTTGGGGCCTTTCAGCTTTGGCACTGCCCCCGGGTCCTCCTCTGAATAATTGTAAAACTCAAAGTTGGAGGCCACTGTGCTCTGTGGGACAAGGGTGACAGTCACCCCGCGTGAGGCGCGGCCAGGCCCACGGCTCACGGTCGGTGCTTGAGAGTTTCTCCAGCCTCTCAGAACGATCAAGGCTGAAACCAGTTCCCTTGGCCTCCTGTTTTACGTAAATATTGTAGACAATTCCCAGAATTTTTTATTGTATTTTTTTTTCTATAAATAGAAAACTCAAGGCCTTTAAAATTAAGACCAATCTGGGTAAACTGTCAGTTAAAATGATTTTTAGGAAGGGCTTGCTCCAGATTGACTGATTTAGAGGATTTTTTGTGTGTTAATTATTGAATTTTTCTCTCCAGTTTTGGTATTGAAAATTTTTTCCAAACCCATAAAGACCTGTTGAGATAGTCTAGAACCCCACATATTTGTTACAGTTGTTATAGTTACAGTGGAACCCACTTTTCTCAAAGCATTTTTCAGCTTGTCCCACCCAGGCAGAAAGGGGTTCAGAGGGAGGCTCCTGTTTTCTGAATTCCTTGCAGTTATGACCGTGGATACCACCTTGCCTAGCGCCCGGCCCGCACCTTTTCTGAGTCCTGCTCAGAGAGGGAGGGAAGGGGAGCCTAGGGAGCCCCAGCACCAGTGGAGGAGGGTCTGGCTTACCCGGGCGGCAGTTCCGAAGGCCGGATCACCCCAGTCCTTCCTCGGCGCGGCTGTGAACCAGTGCTTGGAGGAAGACCCTAAGAAAGGGCAGATGTGCACAGAGGGTGGAAGCCATGTAGCCGAAAAACAAGGTTGTCGCTCTTGAGTGGAGCAGAGAACTGCATTAACCATCGAGCTTTGTGCCGCTGTCAGAGTGAGACCGAGGGGACCTGCGTTACTTGGAGGCTTGGCCAGCCCCGCCTGTGCCTGGCCGGCCAGAGTGCTTGGGGTCAGGGGTGGCTGCCTTCATCTGTGCAGTCACAAAGGTGGAGGTGACACTGGAGAGCACACTCCCTCCCAGGAGGCCTGGGCCGCATGCCCCAGCAACCTCGGCAGGACTTTAAAGAACACCTTTGTCTGCGACAGGGTTCTGCATCTTCTCTTCTACACCCACATGACAAGTCTGGGGGGCTTGAGATCAGGAAGCAAGGACGTAGACGCCGACTGTCCTCTGAGCAGCTCTAGAGCCGGGCCATGCACACTGCCTTCCCGTAAGTCCTTGCCCAGATTCCCGTCGCTCCCTGGACAGAGCTGTCTCCAAATGGCTTTGTTTTGCATGTTGAAGTGAGGTGCGCGTCATGAGGAGGAGGAGGAGGCCTACCCCAGGCTCAGTTTGCGGCAGTGAAGGCGTTTCTGTCTGTCAGAGAGCCCCATGGGAGGTGCTGTGGGGAACCCCACTCCTGTGTCGGTGCACTGGGGCCAGTCTCTGCTTCTCCTCACAGCAGTGGCGGCGGGCATTTTCCAAGGAAGGCCCTGGTCTCGCCTCCTAAATGAGGCGGCGGGGCACAGGATGGCAGCTCGTGGGGCACTTTTTGAAAGGCTTTTCTGGGTGATGGGTTATTGTCTTGTGCTTAGAGAGGACTTGCTTGTTCTTGCTTTTCTGTTATGTTAAAGAGAATGGTGGAAATGGTATTTATTGGCAGAAATTAGTAATCAAGTCTTTATTACAAACAAGAAAATAATTTGTTCAAACTTTCTCACTGTAAGTTGGAAGTTATCTTAAAAAAAAAATTCTTTAAATGATAAGTTACTTGCTTCCCTGTGTCTTTATTTCCTGGTGGAGGCACTTACATTTGGCTGTTAACATTCGGTAACTCCACATGTCAAGGGAAAGACAGCCTGGCCTGGCCGTTGGTGTCTGGTCTGGTCACTGAGACTGGCAAGGAAGTCCCCTCTCAAGAAAAAGAACCTTTCCCAGTAAAAGACCTCTTGCCTTCATCTCTTTGGCCCTCTCCTTTTAAACCAACTTGGCCTGGACCAGGCAGCTCAGTTGGTTGGAGCATCATCCTGTGCACCCAAAGGTTGGGGGTTTGATACCCAGTCCAGGCGCTTGTGGGTGGCAACCAAATGATCGATGTTTCTCCCTCTCTCTCTCTCCCCCTCTCTCTCAAAGCAACAACAACAGCAATAATAATAACCACCTCAGGTGAAGATTAAACCAGTGTAGTGGCTGCAAGTGGTGTTTCTATCTCTCCCTCTTGGAACCCACTCCTTTGCCCCACCTCCTTCCTGGCTCTCTGCCCACTAACTCACGCTCAAGTCCCCACTCCTTATGTGGCTTCTGCTGTATGGGCTGTTACTTAAAGACAAGAAAGACATCCCAGAAAATGAAATTCTTATAAAAAATACAAATAATTATTGCAGTAATTTAATAACTCTGCATGTGACCCTAATCATAGACATGGATGAATTCCATCTTAGGAGAAGATGAAGAAGCCAGAGACGAGCTGAACATAGAGTTGAGTGGGCCTGCTAAGAAAAGGAAGTGTCAGGCCTGCCTGTGGGTTGCTCTGAAAAGCAGAAATATGCAGATTCACAGGGAAAAATATCCTTCACTGAGCCAGTGGGTGGGGGTAGGAAAAGCACGCAGGGCCCTTGGAGTAGAAAAGTGTTCATGAGCGACGCTATCCGTACGGCAGGAAAGCGGAAGGGCGAGCCCAGGGCCGGCCGGCCGAGCCAGAGTCAGGCCGTCTTACTGATGACATCAGGGGCCACAGTGCAATTTATAAGCCAGAAAATGAGCCCACATGTCTAATTTCAAATAAGCCCAGTAGGCATTTTGGAATCTTTCCCAATAAATAGTCTCCTGACTTAGCACTGTCTTTATACCTCAGCTAAACCTTTAACTAAATGATGAGTATATTGACCCTTATTTCCAGCATTGTGAAAAAGATTTTTTTTATTTTTCTTAAGCCTTGAAATTAAGAACTCAAGTGCAAATTCACATTTACCTCTCACTCCATGTACATTCAATCTCCACTTTCTGGCCTGTTCTTGTGATTGCATGGTTTTGTTTTTGTATCATAACTTTCAGGTTTGAGAAAGAAAGTCTTTCATTTTGATGCGGTCAGTGGGTCCATAGCTTCACGGCAAAGTAGGCGGTCTTTGAAACATCACGGCAGTTCAGGAGGAGGCGCACCGTTGAATTCAAGGAGGTGGGAAGACAAGGCTCGTCTTTGTCTGGAGGCCAGAGCACTACCTCACCATGTCCACTGGCCAGCAACCCAGCCCTCTTATCCTCCTTATCGGAGGCGGCCGCGCGGGGAGAGAGGCTTGATGCAGACCTAGTTTTCCGGCTCCGGGTCTGCGTGCCCGTTGTGGCTGAGTGAACTTGGCTGGGTTTTCCCTCTGAGGTCATCACTTATTTATCCTTGTCTCACAAAATCTGCTTTCTAAAGAGCTGACAACCTCTTGCCCCTACTTTCCTGAGAACTAAAAGCGGTCCATCCAGCTCAGTTCTCAAAGACGCCCCACTGTGCCTGTGCTTATTTGCTCATCTGTAAAAGGAGGGACAGAGTGGCCGGCAGTGGCTGGGATGTCAGTGTAAGGACTTCCTTGAAGATAGACCGGAGACCTGGACAAAAGGCCGGGTTCTTTCACAGCCTTCGCCGGTCAGATGCGGCTGGCTCCAAGCAGCCTGAATAGATCCTGTCCCATCATGCGTGCAGTGGACCGGGGTCCGAGCGTGGCAGGCCCGTTCCCCTGGGGACCCGCCCATTTCCCTGGCTGCCCGGACCCCACTGACAGCGCCGGACCTGGAATGGGTATTTTTTTTACCCACAGAGACCCCTGACCTTACAGGCACTACGCCCAAAATCTTGGAGCCCAGATGGCCCAGGTCGTGACCTTGTCAGCTTAGGAGAGTCTTCCAAGCGAGCGTCACGGTGGGTCTCTGTTCCTCTTCTGGTGCTTCTGTTCCCGTGAAGGTCTGGCCGGGGCGAAGACCATTGGGAGAACTTGGCGGGAACAGGGGCTGGAGTCCCGTGCGGACCCGGGAGGAGGGAATGGAGCCTGGAGGATGACACACAGCCCAGATCCGTGCTGTCGTGTCTGGTGTGGCTTGGTCACAACATGTCTGGTGTGTGGGGTGACTGTGTCTCCCTCTCTAGAGCAGGCGCACACCTCGGAAGGGACAGTGCTGCCTGCGAGTCTCTGAGGTCTGCTTGCTCAGTCCCCGGCAGGCAGAGGGCACTTTCCTGAAGGCACAAAGAGGCCTGCTTCGGGCCTCTCCGGAGTCCATGCCGGGGAGGGGGCGGGCAGGAGAGGGCCGAGGAGGGGGAGCGGCGGCCCTGCACTGTGTAACCTGGGGGCTGAGGCGCAGTGCCGGTGCCGCTTGGCTGCTCAGGCTAGATCTGAGAGTGACACTCGGAGGCCAGGCTCCCTGCGTGAGGTAATGACACTCCTCAAGAAATGAGAGTTTAGGTTTATGTCTCCTGGGATCCCTTGCTTCCTTTTTCCACTTGAGAAATAAAGGCGACTTCTCTGCTCACCCTACTCACAATAAAAGCCACTTTGGTGCTATGTCTATCCATCCTTCCCCTTGGACAGTGGAAGGCTTGTGGGGCCACCGGCCCTCCTGTGCAGCCCCCTCCTCTCCCCGCCTTGGGACGGGCCACCCGTCTACATAGACTCCTGGCTAGTTACCCCTTAGGGTGGTGGGCGGGCATCAGCAGACCCCTGTCTTTGGGGGGGGGGGTAATCCTCAGAACAAAAGGGTGGGGGAGGGGCCTACTGCTGACCCGGATCAGATAGCGAGAAAAACAGAGCAGTTACATAACTGTGTTTACTATGGCTCAGGTGGCTCTGAGGAGGCAGGGTGGCCCCCTGACAGCAGGCAGTGCCAGAGATGGGGAAGAGTCAGGACAGGGGTGTGGGGGTGGGGGGACGCTGTTAGATGATAAGGGAGTCAGGAGATAATGCATTGGGATGAAAGGAATCTGCTCTGTTGTTGACAACAGCCAGGTTACCCAGGGCAGCCTGCCCTAGCCCCAGCCTCTCCCTAAACCGTGCCAGCTGTCTGTGGCTGGGGCCAGCAGCAAGCAGAGCTGAGGCTGGAGGGCGGAGTCGGAAATCAGACACCTGGTTCTTGGCTGAAGCTCTGTACTTTGCTACTTTTTCCCTTAGGGATTCTCATCCCTAAATAGGGGCAGAAAAGGTCGGTCGTGGTGCCTTATGCTCTCTGTTCCCAGCGATCTGTCATCCTCTCTTCTAGGAGGCTGGTGGGCATCAGGGAGCAGGGTGGAGGGAAGCTGTCATCTACACAACAGCTCCTCCTTGGGCCACGCGCATAGCCTAAGACTCTGGGAAGGAGAGCGATTTCCCCTGGTGCCAGAGCAAAGCAGGCTCTGGGCTGAGAGAGCGGAGGAGCCCAGCAGGACCCACGTGTCAGTGGACAGGCAAGAGTCAAGACGGCTCTGGAGAAGGCTCCGGTGCCCAGCAGGGCCTGCCGGCCTCCTGCCAAGCTGTGTTCTGGGCTCCTTATCCCCACAGAGATGACACCCATAGCTAGTCCCCGGCTCCTTACCCATGGCTGCCAGCTCCCTTTGTGAGAAACAGGAAGTTGGGACCTTGGTCAGCTCCGTTGCACCCTCTACATTAAATATTTATCTTGGAGTCCAGGTCAGAGCCCTAGAGAGTAAGAGACGCTTGCAGCTGGCGAGAGGGGGCATGAGCAGGGTTCCTGCAGCTGGAAGATCTTTGGCGTCACCATCTTTGGAGAACAAGGAAGAACATGAAAGAGATGCGGCCCTTCCTAGTCCTGAGGACCCTGACAGGTGGGGAACGAATCGGGTGACAAGGGAAACAGGCACACCGTTTGTCCCTGAGCAGGGGCAGAGGATGGTGAGAGGGCTGTCCGCGCGTCAGAGCAGGGGCACGCGGCGCCCCCAGCCCTCCTCCCCCGGGCTGCCTGCTCTGGGGGGCGCTGCTGTGTCCACCCCGCCCCGTAGGCCAGCTTGCCCGAGGAATCAGCCACTTGGAAGGGGCCTTTCCAGGGATCCCGCTGAGCTCCTTGCTCAGTGTCCTAAGAGCTTCTCCAAGATACAGACCCCACAACTGGCAGCCTCAGAGCCCCTGGGATCGTTTCAAAGCTCTTCCTCGGAAACCTGGCGGCAGCGCCCAGCGCGCCCCGCGGTGCCCCGTGCTGGTGCCGCCCGCGGGCTCGGGCCGCGAGCGCTCTTCTCGGCCCAGGCGTCCCCTCCGTCCGCTGTTTGCTGCGATACGGTTTCATGCGTCCTCACCGCGAGCAGGATAGCCCGTTAACTGAGAAAATTGTTTCGTCTTTTCCCCATTCCCTTCCTCCTCAACTTTTGAGTTGAATGAAGCTCTTGACAACACTCTAGTGCAGCGATTTTGAACCTTTTTCATCTCACAGCGCATGTAAACTAATTACTAAAATTCTGCGGCACAGCAAAAATAATTTCTTTTTGCCGATCTGACAACCAAAAAGGTATAATTTTGATTGATTTACCAAAAATAATAATAGTAATTGCCTGCTGTTTTTGCTCCAAAGTGACTCAAACATCAGGGGCCTACAGTTACACAAAAGGATTTCTGGTGCCAAGAATTAACCAATCAGAAGCAGCCTCACCGCGCCACGTGACCAAGAAGACGCACGGTTACAGGACCTCTGTATTGATGGCTCAGGAGAGGGCACTCACACTGGAGGGCTACTGTTGTGTTCGCTGTGGTCGTGTTTTTTTTTTTTTTTTTTTTTTTAAATTTGACAATCTAAGGAAAAAGAAGTCAGCGCCCCTGACTAAATAGACAGGTATCGCCTATTTCCAAAATTCTTGAGGACACCGGTTGAAAATCGCTGCCCTAGTGCCCGGAGGCCTCGGGACAGCGAACTTACCCCCGGTAGATATGCGATGACCTAATTTATATTTCATATTTTCCTAATTTATAACTGACCACTCCCAAAATAGATCTGAAATTGCCCGGTACCTCCTTGCCATTTGGAACTTGGGGTCCCAGAGCCAAGCCAGGGGCTAAGGAGCACCCCAGAGCCGTCCAGCCAGAGGGGCACGTTCGCCGAGCGCGCTCAGGCCCCATCGCAGGCCCCGGAGCGCCCAGGGGGCGGCGGAGCGCAGAAGCGACGGCCCGGGAGGTCGGGGGCCGACGGGTGCGGGCTCTGCGGCCAGAGTCGGAGCCGCGGGAACAGCGGAAAAGCTGCGAGATGAAAACAAATGCGGTGTGTGGGAACACCGAGACCCGGTCACCCCGTCCCCGCCAAAGGGAGCCGCCCTCATCCTCTTCAGGGGCGCGGCCCTCCCGGGGGGCCGCTCGCGTCGGCCAATTTCCTCCCAGCCGCCCGCCGCGGGGCTCGCCCGCGTGAGCATCGCCCGTCCGCCGCGCGCGCGGGGGTGGGGTGTGGGCCTGCACGCACCCGGACGCGCGCGTACGCAGCCCCAACTCCCTCGCCGAGCAGGGTCCCTCGGGCGGAGCGGGGCGGGACCCCGCGGCTTGCGGGGAGCCCTATCTCGGCCCCCGTCCGTCTGCAGCGCCTTCCCTTCTCCGGGCGGCCGACTCCGTATCAGCTGCTGGCTGCGCCCTGCTCTTTAATCACTCGTGCCCTCCGTTCAGGCTCCGCCGTGCAGCGGGTCCCTTCCCACCCGCTGGAAGTGTCGCTGGAAACTCTGAGCGGTGCTCGCCCCCACCGCACCCCCCGCGCCCGCCCCGACGCCAACCTTGCGGTGGGGGGCGGGGAGGCAGCTGGGAAACCAGAGCGGGCTCCCTGGGGACCCTGGCGGCCCCTCCCGGCGCCTCCGCGCGGCCGGCCCGGCCCCCTCCGCCAGGGCCACAGCGTCCCCGCGGCGCGCCCCGACAGAGGCCACTGGCACGCCTGGGCCGCGGCCCGAGCCCCCGCCCCGCAGGCCTTCCACCCCCGCCCCCGCCCCGGGCTCCCAGTCCAGATTGGAGGGAGGCAGACGGCCGCCCGCCCGCGCCGCTCCCGTCCTTCCTCCCGGGGCCGTTCAGCCCCGTCCATCCCTCTTCCTCCTCGGGCGCCGGCCTCGCGGAGCCCGTCCCGACGCGGTCACGAGGGCGGACAGCGCGGCCGGGCCGCTCCCTGCCCTCCCCCGCGAGGGCCCGGCGCGGCCGCACCAGGCAGGCGCCCGGCCGAGATGCTCGAGTCCTTCCCGGCGCCCTCAGTCCCCGCCACCTGCTCGCCAGGGAAGGTAGGTGTGGGGAGGAGGGGCGGGGAGGCACCTGTGCCCAGCCCGAAGAGAAGGCGCTGAGCCCTCCCCCGGGGTCCTCGCCCCAAACTCTGCGGCGGAAAGAGGTGAGGAGCCCCCTCTTGAGCCACAAAAAGCAAAATTTGAGAAAACCTGTCCTGTCCACGTGGACTCAAAGCTAGAAAGAACCCGAGGAGGCGCCTAGAGCAGAACCCAGGCCGGGGCAGCACTTCCAGCTGGGAAGGAGCCCCCGGCCACAGCAGAGCCCCTCGCCGCTTCCAGCTATTGGGAGCTGGCGGCCGGGGTGCAGGGCTGCCTGCGTTCCGGGAGGACCCCCGAGATTTGCAGGCGCCCTCTGTCCTCCGCCAAATGAAGAGCCACTCCTTTCCCCCGTGTCCCCGTCTCCCGACGACAGGGCTGACGGGCGGAAGCTCGGCGTGCCCTTCCACACCCACCCTGCGCGTCCCTGCGCAGGCCGGGCCCCCAATGCCCCGGAAAAGAGGGTGCTGTGTGGGGACCTCCCGCCGTCCCCGTCCCGCTAGAGGACTTGCACGCAGGGTGGAACAGATGGAGGCTCGGAAGCTGGCGGGGGCGGCGGATGCCGACCTCAGAACGGGGCGCTGGGGCGGCAGGGGTCGCTGCTAGGAACCAGCCCGCGCCCGCTCCGCGGGACCTCCCGCCTCCTCTGCCTTAACTTCCCCAAGGGGAGGAGGGGGAGCAGCAGGAACTGGGGATGCCTGCGTGTTTTGCTTTTGGTAGGAGCCCTAATTGGATCCAGCTGGCGAGCTGCCCCTCCTCCAGCCTCAGCCCTGCACTTCTCCCCGCAGCCAGGGGCGGCCTGGACAGGCCTTCCAAGGGTAGGAGGACATCCTTGCTCAGACCAGAGACAGGGAGCTGCCCCAGCCTTGCTTGGACCCTGCATTGCCCCATGGCCTGGGCGCGAGACTAACCACAGCTCCCCTTGGGCCTGTGCCCCCTTGGGCCCCCTAACTCGTGTGCTGCTCCTATGACCTCCCTCAGCTGCCCGCCCCCACCCACAGTGGCCAACCTGACACCCTCTGTACTGATACCCGGGGCCGCTCCCGTGCCCCGCCCCCAGGGGTGCCCCCACAAGTCACCTGCACAGCACTGCACTTACATTCCACCACACAGACACACAGACACACAGACACGGCGCCCTGAGTGGCCCTCACAGCCCTCAGTGAGCCCCCAGACCCCACAGGCACACACGAGCCCCGCCGGACAAGAACAGCAGAATGGGTCTAGCCTCCGAGGGTGGTGGCGGTTGGCTCAGCTCCTGGCCCTGTCCCCCAGCACAGGTGGGGGGCCTGCTCTGCGCGCTGCTCTCTGGGGAGCAAAACCCTGTCCGGCTGCCCCTCCACCTCCATCTGCTGGATGCCTGCGCCCCGTCTCCTGAGCAGGGGACAAAAGAACCCAACTAGCCAGGCAGGCATGTGGCTCCCAGGACGCTCTGTTGAAAAACAGCCTGGAGGTGTAGGAGAAAGCAGGGTGTGCGTCTGTGTGCGGGCGAGAATCAGCACTGCCCGTCCACGCACAAGTTTGCTCTTACCCACTGCCCGTCTCTGCCCCCACCCTCGCTGGCACCAGGAGCCCCCTGAGGCAAAACCAGGCAGCTGACAGTCCTCTGAGCTCGGGGGCGGTTCCTGCTGCCTGGAAATGCCCTCGTGCTCTCCCTGCCTGGAGCTGGTCCCTGCTGGGCAGTGGGCGCGGCCTTGCTGTTGCCCAAGGCCTCTCCTCAGCTGAGGAGCAGATGCTCATGCGGGGGCTGAGGGAGGCAGAGGGAACTGAAACAAAGTCCCGCGTGCCCGGGCCTCCTCTGCCAGCTGCCCCAGTTCCCTCTGCCTCCCCTCTGGGGGGACGGGCTGACTGTGCAGTGAGAGCCCCAGAGGGCCTGGCCAGCAGGCCCGCTCCTGGCCAGCCGCCCCGCCCCCACTCTCCCCGCAGCTCCTGCCCGGGCCTAACAAGCAGCCCATTGTGCCGCTGGGAGCCGGCCCTGGCAGCCTGCAGGCGGGTGCCCAGAGTGGCCTGTTTCCTGGGTGCTGGACCTCCCACCCAGCTGGCCCCGATGCCCTCCCACAGCCGTCCCCTCTGCCCCCACGCCGAGGTCAAGCCCAGGGGGCACAGGCAGCCGGTCCAGCAGGGCTTTTCCTTCCTCTCTCCTTCCCCACAGAGGACGCGCAGAACAGCTGCTGGCACGCCCCGCGTCCTCCGACCTTGACCCAAGCATGCAGGCCCCACCCTGCAGCCTCCCAGCTGGGCTCAGCCTGGACGACTTCATCCCTGGCCACCTCCGGGCCCACGTAGGGGCGTCCTCCCGGGGCACTCGGGTGAGCAAGACAGCAAGGCAGCAGAGTGGCTGGGGCCCTGGCGGACGGGCGGGGAGCAGCAGGGTTACGGGGCTGGGAGAGGCGGGCCAGCAAAGCGCTCGCTCGAGGGGTCAGGCTGGCCCTGGAGCCCTGGCACCGCGGGAAGAGCCTTGGCGGCCGTCCCCCCCACCCTCCCCCGGGAACTTCTGGGCCTGAGCTGCCGCTCCCGGCCCCTCCCCACAGGTGCCTGTGATCCGGAATGGTGGCTCCAACACCCTTAATTTCCAGTTCCATGATCCTGCGCCCCGGACCGTGTGCAACGGGTACTTCCCACCGAGGAGAGATGCTTCCCGGCACCCAGGTGGGTCTGCTCAGGCAAACCTGGTCCAGGAGCCCCCTGTGCGGGGCGGGTGCGGGGTGTGGGGCTCCAAGCTCAGCTCACTGCCCCTCCCTAGGTGAGCATGCTGGCCTGAGGGAGCAAATGCGGCGGGAGAGAGGGGAGAGAGCCGGCTGCCACATCCCTTTCCTCTCCCTCCGCCCCTGTGCCAGGGGAGGAAGTGCGCAGGGGACACTGTGGGGGGGCTGGGGGCACCTCCAGCAGGCAGGGAGCAGCTCAGGTTGGGGATGGAAGGGTGAGGATGTGAGCGCGTGTTGGCTGAGGAAGGGCCTGGAGCCCAGACCCATCACAGGCCCCTGAGGGCTGCTGCGGTCTGCGTAGCACGAGGTGGACAGGCAGCCCTGAGAACGGCAGCCCCCGGGCTCCTGGGGGCTGCGCCGGCCTGGGCCACAGGGCCCGGGGGTCCTGGGACATCCGTGTGCAGGGCCCAGAGGAGGCAGGCACGCTGTCGAGGAGTTGATTCCTTTAACAAGTAATTGCTGAGCACTGTACAGACACTTTATAAGCTTCACGTACTTAATCCCTCGACATCCTGGCAAAGTGTGGGCGTCTTTCCAGCGAGGAGCCGAGTCTCAGAGAGGCTCAGCCACAGAGGCTGTGAGGGTCCACGCGGAAGCCCTGGCTAGGCTGCTGCACAAGGACCTGGGGCCGGAGGTGCGGGCAAGCTGAGGCCCCGGGTGGCCTTTCTGGCGAATGGGTTTCTGTCCCTATCGAGAACCTCTTGACTGTGTGTCAGGCACGGTCACACCCACTAATTGTCCCTGAACCCTTGCTACGATGCCCCTGACGGTAGAGATGGAGGCACTGGGAGGTTGACTGCTGTGGCCAAGCCGGGGCCTGAATTCAGTCTGTCCCCTCCAAGCGCAGCGTCTTTTTGGCCCCACCCCGCCGCTTCCCTGGCCGGGACACCCCCAGCATTTTCTGCAAGTAATGATCCCCAGCCCTCATTCTGGAAGCTGTTAGGACAGCCCGGGGAAGCAGGGCGGGGCGGGCACAGATTTCTCAAGACAAATCCATTTATATTCACTTTAACTAAAAAGTAAACAAACAGAGGCCCTGGTCCTGCTGGGAATGGGAGGTTGGTAGAGTCTGCGTCATCAGCTCAAACAGACTAGGAGACGTGGAAACGTCCAAACCCACAGGGGTCAATACTCTGAGGAGCTAAGGGGGGGGGCCAGGCCGGGTGGGCCCCTGCCTGTTGCTCATGCTCTCGTGCACATGCCCGCAGACCCCGCTTGGTATCAGACCTGGCCAGGCCCTGGGAGCCGGCCCTCGGGGATCCAGAAGACCCCCACCGCCCAGCATCCCCAGAACTGGTCAGCCACATGGACCAAGGACAGCAAACGCCGGGACAAGCGCTGGGTCAAGTACGAGGGAATCGGGCCGGTGGACGAGAGCGGCATGCCAATTGCCCCCCGATCTGTGAGTCCAGGGCCGGGGACCGACGCCGAGCACTTCTCTGAATGAAAGTGGGGGCAGCCAAGGTAGCCCCCAAACATTCCAGGCTAAATGAGGGGTTTGGCCACAACGGGTTTCAAGGGTCACAAGCCCCACAAAGTCACAGGCAGTCGTGGGTGTCTGCGTTGCACACTGGTGTGTGGAGCAAGGGGACCGGGGATGCCCGGCTCTCAAAGGCGGAGGGCCGGCGCTGGGAGGGCCCCTGTGAGGGTCGCGGCCACAGAGCTTGGGGGGTGGCTGCGGGACTGCTGGCTGGGCGGGTGAACACAGCCCTGGTCGGGAAGGCCTCGTGGCCCCGGGTGAGCATGGGCAGACGGGGCTCCAGGCTCCGAGGGGCCCTGCCACCCCCACGCCTGTCTCGAGCCAGCGCCCGCCTCTGGCTCCGTCCACGGCCCCGCGCTCTGAACCTGAGCCGGAAGTCCGCAACGCAGCCTTTCTGCCTCCCGGGGCTGTCCTGAAGCTCGGGGGAGGCAGGGAGTGTGGAAGACCATGTCCACCTATATTACTGCATTGATTTTTCATTACCTAGGATCACAGATTCTTTGTAGCAACACCAGAAATATTGAAAAACAAAGTGAAAAGAGTGTGACCCGCCCACCCCAGCCCACAGCTCACAGCTGGGGGTCATCGCTGATGGAGCTCCTCCCACACATCTTATCTCCTTGGTGTATCACACGTCACACGAAGTTACTCCCATTAGAGACACTGCGCGCTCATCCACTGGGGCTGAGAGGGGAACCGCTGAGTCTGCGGCTGGATGTTGGGCGGGTGGCCTGACTGTGCCTTTTCTGATCCCAGAGTGTTGACAGTCCCAGGGACTGGTACCGGAGAATGTTCCAGCAGATTCACCGAAAAATGCCAGGTGAGACGGCCTTCCAGGGCCCCCTCTCTGCCTGAGGGGGCTCCGGGCCCTGGGGTTCTGGAAGGGAGGGCAGGGAAGGGGGCTTGCCGGCTCAGGGAGCCCCTCCGTGCCCACCCCAGGCTCTGTGCTGAGTGGGTCCTAAAACAGGCCAGAGGAAGTGTCCTCCAACCTCCTCCCTGTCCTTGGGGTTGGGGAGACAATGGCCAGACACTGTCCCCAGTGTCCTCTGAGGGTATTGGGGATCCCTGAGGCCCCTCATTCATTCAGTCAGTCCCCTGACCCCCTCTTGAGCACTTGCTATGTGCTGAGCACTATTCTGGGTGCTGAAGATAAAACGGAACAAAAAAGAATGTCCCTGCCCTGGGGAAGCTTAGGACAGAGTGGGACAGAGAACAAGCAGGTAAATACTCAGCATGGCCGCTGGTGGTCGGCGCTTGGAACAACAGGCCCGGCGCACCCAGGGCAGGGGGGCCGGCTGGGAAGCCCCCCTCCCCGCGACGCGCTCAGCTCAGTGGCATCGGAGCAGAGCGCTCAGGGAGTGAAGGAGCCAGCCCTGCAGGGCAGGGGACCCAGAGACCCAGGGGCGGAAGCAAGCCTGGCTTGTTCCCTTGTTGCATCAAATTGGGGCCAGACTGGAGTGGAGGGGGCATGTGGTGGGAGACGGGATTGGGTCACGGAGCCCTTTGGGGCCATCATAAGGACTTTGGCTTTTATTCTGGAAGGGCTGAGGAGCCGCTGGGCAGTTCTGAGCAGAAGGGTGACATGCTCTGACAAGTGGCACCTGGGCTCGCTCAGGCTCTGCCAGGTGGGAAAGAGATAGGCCAGGGCCTGAGGCAGGGGCCAGTTAGGAGGCCTGGCTTCTGTCCGGGCCAGAGGCCACAGTGCCTCAGAGCAGGGCGGCGGCCGCGGGCCTGGCGGGATTCGGCGGCAGAGTCCTGGTAATCTGCGGATGGATGGATGTGGCAGCGGGGAGAGGAGTCCAGGCTGACTTTACACCTGAGCGGGCGGAAGGACGCAGTCGCCACTTCCACGGGCAGGGAGGATGCACGAGCGGCCGGTGTCAGAGGCCCGCAGCTTCGGATGTGGTGCATCCAAGTGGAGATTGGAGCAGGCGGTTAATACACGTCTGTAGCTCAGGGGCCACGCCGGGGCTGCACGTAGAAACACCTGGGACTCACTCAGAGAGACTTTGATGGAAATCCGCCCAAGTAATTCCAATGTGCAGCCAAGGCTATGAATCCCTGGACTCCCATGTTACCTTTGAAGCCAGGAGACTAGACAAGATTGTGTAGGAAGGGAGAGGCAGGGCCCGACGGCCGAGCGCCGGCGGCGGTGGCTCCTGAACAAGCAGGACCAGCCACGCGGGGCAGCGGGGAGGCAGCTGGAGAGCCCGAGTGGCCTCCCTGCAGCCAAGTGGAAGAGGAGTTTCAAAAGGAGGAAGGGACCCACTGTGACAAATGCTGCTGACGGGCCCACGCACTGACCTTTTGACTTGGTGATGGGGAAGTCGCCGGGTCTTGGGAAGAGCAGCTGGGGCAAGAATGGCAGGGCTGAAGCCTATGCCAGGAGCAGGGGACCCGGAGACAGTGAGTGAGCCACAGCCCGCCTGCCCTGCAGAGGGCGCAGGAGACCCCAGGGCCGGAGGAAGGCGCGGGTCTGAGACGGGTATTGTGGTGGGTGGTTGGGGAGCCGTGGGGGCAGGTGTGCCTGTCCAGGAGCTCGGGTCGGCCGGCTGGCCGGTCAGCCGCTTTCCTAGGAGGCCCCGGAAAGCCATGAGCACTGTGGGGAGAGAGTCTGGGCAAAGAGGGAAGGACGAACAGTTAGGAGAGGCTGCAGAAGAGGAAGGGGGGAGAGGAGGAGGTGCGGTGTCCCTTACCTGCCGAGGGGAGGCGAGGGCAGGTCTAAAAGGTCAGGGAGGGGGTCTGTGTGGGAACCGGGGAGGGAGGAGCGGGAGCTGGGGCAAGTCCACTGCCCAGGCTGGCTGGCTCAGGCCTTCCGCCAGAGGCATTTCAAGCCCTCCTCAGAGCAGCCCTCCTAATTCCTTCCCTCCCTCGGGACATTCTTCAGGCCCTGACTCAGTCCCTTGGCTCCTGCTCTCGGCAGGAGGGCGGCCTGGAGCCCCTGAGGTGGCCTCACAGGGCACCTGACCTGCCTGTCGTCCCTCCCCTGACCCGGTCCTTTCGCTCTTGCAGACTTGCAGCTGGACTGGACCTTTGAGGAAGCACCCAGAGGTGAGGGGGTGGCCCGCCCCAGCCCGGCCCTGCGTTTGCCCCTCTCTGCAGCCACACGGGGCTCTGGGGTTCCCCCTCAGCTCACTTCAGCTTGAGAAGTTTGTGTAGCCCACTTCGGGTGCGATCCCCCCCAGCAGGTGGCAATGAACAGCCTCAGCTTCCCTGTCCACTGAATGCCTAGGGAAGCCATGATTTCTCTGGGCCTCTCTGTCCTCATCTGTAAAATGGGGACACTACCTACCCCAGAGCTATTTTTAAGATTTCTTAAAGAGTGCAAATTCTCTGTGCAAAGCCCACACTTGGTGGTCCCGAACACCACCCTGCTTCCCACAAGCTACCCAGGAGCGTGGGTGCGTGTGGGTGCCTAGCTCCCCCCGACCCTTGCTCTCACTGCCCTGTCTTCTCCCACCTTCAGTGGCTTCCTCCTCTGCTACCTCTGCAGACTCCAGGCATCCAGGGGCCCCGCACAGACCTGCCTCCCGGCCAGGCCAGGCCTCCTCTCTGAGCGGGTAAGCCGCAGTGGGGAAGGGGCCTGAGGGCGGAGAGGGATCCTGGCTTCCATTTGGGGACTGGCACCCTCTGGTGGCCACAGCAGGTACAGCCTCAGAGCTCAGTCCCTTCTCAGGGTCCGCACCGCACCAATTACTGCCCTCCAGGCCTAGGCCCCAAGGGAATGGCAGGTCGGGGTGGACTTTGCACCCATTCCTGGTCAGGACTCCCCTTGACGCTTTTGTGGCTGACAGCAGCGTTCATCACCCTGAAGATCACAGGTCATATGGGGTGGAGAGCCTGGTGTCCCAGGACTAGGTGTGGACTTGGGGCCATCACTTTGATGGTGTCGGAGAGAAAACGATGGGGTGGAGGCCCTAAGCGTCCTCCCAGGTGCCACGGAGAGAGAGACCCCCACACATGCATGAGAAGTGAAGGATGCAGCTGTTTTTATCCGTGCTAACTACACAGGCCCAGCCTGGCCGCAGGACCTAGAGGGACTTGACCCCGCCTTGGGAGCCGGAGCTTTGCTCGCAGTGAAACCAATGAGGTCCTTATTCCTTCTGGGAGGGACTGACCCACTGGCACAGCCGCGCTGGCCGCCTCTGCATACCGGGGGTACGCGGCCACTAGCCTTGTGGCCCATGGGCAACTTAAGCAATCTAGGCCTCATATCCCCATCCAACAAGTGGGGCTGTGAGGATCAAGGCTCATAGCAAGACCCCACAAACATTGTTAATCTACAGGCTTAGTTATGACTAGAGCTCCCTTACACCGGGAACGGCATATTCCATTCTATCACTGTCAGTACCAAGATTATTTTGAGAAAGAAAATAGAGTCATGATTACAGCGAACAGATCCTGACGTTCTGGTCAGACATTCCATCAGTGGATAAGCTTGGCGCAGTCATTCCCCTTGGTAGAAACTCTCAAATTCAGCAGAGGCTGGAACGGGTGAGCCGGCCAAGAAGGAAGTCCCACAGGGGACCGAGGCAGCTCTGACAGTGCAGCGCCTGGAATGTGGCCGGAGTGGTCTCCAGATGAGGTCACCGAGTTCAGCCCTCAGAGCGCTGAGGCCCAGGACTCCAGGGCCAGGCCTGCGGGCTTTTCCCCGCCCTGGGCCTTCTTCGGACGGGGATGTAGTCCCACACCCTTGGGCACAGGTGCAAGACACGCGGTGTGGCAGCTGGAGAGACCAGCCTTCCTGAGGGAGCACAGGCAGCGGGGGGGCGCAGTCCTGGGGCCAGGCCGACCACACGCGGGGCCGTGCGGCAAGCCGGCAGGACGGCCACTCGCGGAGCTGGCCCAGGCCAGGCCTTCTCCTGGGCGTCTCGGCTCTGCGCCCTCACAGGCAACTCCCCACGCCCTTGTGCAGGTGGGAATCGTTCTCACTTTACAGGCAGTGGACCCGAGGCTCCCCCAGTTCCGTAACGCGCCCAAAGGCGGCACAGCGAGGTGGCAGAGCTATTTGAACTCAGTGCTTGTAACTTTCCATTTTGTGATGCTGCTGCACAGCCCGGAGCAGGAGAGGACGGGGCTGCAGCTCGCCTGCCGGGCCGAGTTCTCACTCACGCCTCAGTTTCCCTAAGAGGAAACTGAAGAGATGCCCTTCCCTGTCTCTAGAAGAAGCTGGGACTGCTCTGACGAGTTGCCTAGAAGCACCTTCCACTGCAATCCTGGAGCATCCTCCTCCCTGTCCCAGACCCCTAATCAGGTAGCCAGCCCAGCGCCCTCCCCACACTGTGCCCAGTGCCTTCTTGGCCAGGCCCCTCTGCAGGAAGGGCCCGGATAATGCCGTTTCTGTTGGGGCCTGTGCGTCTGGGTGAGCCCAGAACCCTTGGCAGGGGGTGTGGGTCATGGGGCAGGGCAGTGGCCTGACAGGGGCCCGGGGTCCCAGCCTCTGTCTACCCAAGCTGATGCCTGCCGCCCCCATGCAGGTGCCCAGACGCCGCGAGAAGGCGGACAACATCTGGACGGAAGAATCTTGGAACCAGTTTCTGCAAGAACTGGAGACTGGGCAGAAGGTGAGTGTGGGCCTGGCCCTCTGCAAGGGGATGCGCCCCTCGGCTCCTGTGTTTCGGCAGGCAGGGCGCCCCCTCTGACTGCCCCTTCCCACCCTTAGCCCAAGAAACCTCTGGTGGACGACCCTGCGGAGAAGCCCTCCCAGCCCATTGAGGTGAGTGTGCAGGGAAAGTGGGGGAGGGGAGACAGCAGTGTCCGGGGACAAAGGAGAGATGCTGAGTGAAGCTGGCCCTGTGACCTGGGGCAGAGGACACAGATCCCAAAGCTCTGGTCCCCTCCAGCCCCATGCAGTTTACCTCTGCATCCCCAGCACCCACCGCAGCACTGGGCATAGCATAGACACTCAGACGGGTGTTGAATAAATGTGTGTTGATCAAAGTAGGAGGTGAGGAGAGAGTGGTCAGTGTGGACTGGAGCTGTTGGGGAGTATTCTTAGAGGTGGAGCTGGGCTCTGAGAAGCTGGGAGGGCTCGGCCAGGCTGAGAGGGTGCTTGGATGGGGGAGGCACAGAGGCAAAGTCCAGGGGGCTGGATGGGCCGCGGGGGGTGCGGGGGGTGGAGCAGGTTAGGTACAGTGAAGCCAGGCTGGGGGAGGCCCTAGAGGACGTGATGGGAAGCGGGGGCTGGGCAGAGGAAGATGCAGGCTCGTACAGAGAAGTATCACGACAAAATCTGGGGCGGAGGGACTATCTCGGGGTGCCAGGTAGGTGAGCTGGGTCCGGAAGGAGGAGCCGGCGAGAGGCTGTGGCGTGGACCTCCTGACACCCCGAGACGCGCCTCCGGGCAGGCACACCGGCAGGGAGCCCGCCCTTTGCAAGGGTTGCTGGCGTCGCGGGCTTTGTCCTGCTGTCCACTGGGCGCCTCACGCCTGACCTTTGACCGGCGCCCCCTGTCCCTCCCCATCACCCGGCCCAGGTCTTGCTGGAGAGAGAGCTGGCCAAGCTGAGCGCGGAGCTGGACAAGGACCTGCGGGCTATCGAGACCCGGCAGCCCTCCCCCAAGGTACGGACCCCTCGCCCTCCTGGGAGCTCCGGGCCTGGGGCGCGCCGCGACTGGGCTCGGGCGAGCGGGCAGGCCAGCGGGCCCTCCGGCCGCACGCCGAGCAACTCGGGCCGGCGTGACCCCGTCTGCGCGCTCCTCCAAAAGAGGCGGGGCGCGGGCTTCTCCGGGCCACTCCCGAGGACTCTCCCAGGCCGAGGCAAGCGGGAGCCCGGCGTCGAGCTGCAGGGGCGCCCCGCCCGGTCCCGACCTCGGCCAGCGGGGACCGCCGCCGCCGCGCGGCATCCCGGCCGCCCGCCCCCTTCCGCACGCCCCTCCCGCGCTTCCTCTCCGGCCCCTCGGCCCCGCCCGGGTCCCGCCCGCTCGGACCCGCCCCGCCCACCTTCTCCCTCCGAGCCACTAACGTTCCCGGAGGCGGCGGCCTGGGCTGCGGCGGGACGTCCCGGCCTGACCGCCGTCTCCCGCGCAGGGCTCCCAGGCGCCCCGACGGCCCCAGGAGCCGCGGCCCCCCGCGCGGTGAGTGGCTGGCGGGCGGGCGGGCGCGGGGGGCGGCGGGACGTGGCTGAGGAGGGACGTGGCGCGGGGAGGGGACGTGGCGCGGGCCGGGGGTAGGGGAGTGGGGGGGCCGCGGAGGGCGGCAGGTGGCCGGCGAGGACGCGGCACCGCGCGCCGCGGGGACCGGGGCTGGGGGCCTGTCCCCGGCCCCCAGAGGGACGCTGTCCTCAGCGGGGGACGGGGTGGCCGCGGCCCGCACTCCCCAGCGCTCCCCGCCTCCCCGCCGGCCGCACCCTTTCCCGGCCCGGCCCTCCGCCTTGGGAAGTGGGACGTCCTGTGGCGAGCGGGGGCCGCCGGGGGGAGGCCGCTGGAGCTCGGGGACGCGTGGGGCGCCGGGAGAGAGCCTGGCCGGGCGGGAGGCCAGGCAGGTGGCTCACTCTCGCTGTCCCCGCAGCCCCGCCTCCGCCTGGAGCCCCAGCTTCCCGAATGCACTTTACCGGGGTTCCTCCCGACCCCTGAGCCCCCACAGAATGGCGGATGGAGGAAGCCCCTTCCTAGGTCGTAGGGATTTTGTCTACCCTTCCTCAGCCCGAGGTAAGGACCAGATCCTGCGCTTTTTCTTGCCCAGACGCCTCTGTCTGGCGCCTCGGGGTTGTGGCAGAGAGACCCGAGAGCCCCCTGCGGCCACTGGGGCCTGGGTGGGGTGGGGAGGGGAGGGGAGGGGGAACGCCCTCCCTGCCCCCGCCCCAGACCGGCCTTCCCAAGCCGAATGCGTGCTTCTCCGCAGACCGCGGTGCCTCCGAACGAGGGGTCAGTCCTGCCAGGAAGGAAGAGAAGAAGGTGAGGGGGCGGGAGCCTGAGGGTCGGGGTGCCAAGATGGCCTGGGGCGGGTCCTGGCCGCCGCTTGACCCGGGACACCCCCTTTGTCCTCTCCCCCTGCACAGAGGAAGGCTGCCAGGCTCAAGTTTGACTTCCAGGCACAGTCGCCCAAGTAAGTGCCCTTCTCTCCTCACCCTCCCCGCCCCCAGGGGCCCAGCCGAGGGGAGCATCTCGGGGGTGGAGGGGACTCTGGGCGTCGGGACAGGCTCTGGAGAGGAGGAGGAGGAGGAGGAGAGGAGGACCTCAGCTTGCCGCTGTCCTTGCTCTGGCCTGCAGGGAGCTGACCCTGAAGAAGGGTGACATCGTCTACATCCACAAGGAGGTGGACAAGAACTGGCTGGAGGGGGAGCACCACGGCAGGGTGGGCATCTTCCCTGCCAGTTACGTGGAGGTGAGCGGAGCCAGCAGGGACCGTGGGCAGAGCCCCGCCGTCCGTCCACGGCTTCTCTAGGGGCTGGCTGCCCGATCTCGGGGGTTCCCCAAGACGTGCCCCTGGGAGCTCCGGGCTGCCGTGTCTCTGCCTGGTTCCTGACCGCGGCCTCTCAGCGCGGCCCAGCACTTGGCCACGGCTGGGGAGATGTGTGCTCAGCAAGGGCTGCGGGGAGAACCAGGGACCGGCACCCTGCAGCACCTGTCTCCCAGGCCATCGTGGGGATGAATCCTAATGACACCTGGCAGGAGTGCAAACTGTGTGACGTTTACAGGCCACATATACCTGTGGCATCTTCCTCATTCTTGTGCACAGTTGACCCTTGAACAATGCAGGGCTTGGGGCGCTGACCCCACACGGTCTGCTGTAACTTCGGACTCCCCCAGAACTGGACTGCTGAGCCTACTGTTGACCAGAAGGCTTACAGATAACATAAACAACAGATTAGCACTTACTTTGTATGCTATATGTATTAGGTACTGTATTCTTACAGTAAAGTAAGCTAGAGAAAAGGAAATGTTATCAATTGGTTGCCTCTTGCAGGCCCCCAACTGGGGACCTGGCCTGCAACCCAGGCCTGTGCCCTCACTGGGAATGGAACTGGCGACCCTTCGGTTCGCAGGCCGGTGCTCAGTCCACGGAGCCATAGCAGCCAGGGCTGTGACCTTTTTCTTTTTTTCTTTTTCTTTTTAAACTATATGCCATTGATTATGCTATTACAGTTGTTCCATTTTTCCCCTCCCCTTTATTCCCCTCTGCCCTGCACCCCCCCAGCATTCCCCTCCCCCCCTTACTCCCCCCTTAGTCCATGTCCACGGGTTGTACATGTAAGTTCTTTGGCTTCTCCATTTCCTATACTATTCTTAACCTCCCCCTGTATATTTTGTACCTATCAATTATGCTTCTTGTTCCCTATATCTCTTCCCTCATTCTCCACCCTCCCCCTCCCCGCTGATAACCCTCCCTGTGATCTCCCTTTCTGTGATTCTGTTCCTGTTCTAGTTGTTTGCTTAGTTTGTTTTTGTTTTAAGTTCAGTTGTTGGTAGTTGTGAATTTGTTGTCATTTTACTGTTTGTAGTTTTGATCTCCTTTTTCTTAGATAAGTCCTTTCAACATTTAATGTAATAAGGGCGTGGTGGTGATGAACTCCTTCAACTTGACCTTGTCTGGGAAGCACTTTACCTGCTCTTCCATTCTAAAGGATGGCTTTGCTAGAGAGAGTAATCTTGGATGTAGGTCCTTGTCTTTCATGACTTTGAATACTTCTTGCCAGCCCCTTCTTGCCTGCAAGGTTTCTTTTGAGAAATCAGCTGATAGCCTTATGGGAACTGCTTTGTAGGTAACTATCTTCTTTTCTCTTGCTGCTTTTAAGGTTCTCTCCTTACCTTTAATCTTGAGTAACGTAATTATGATGTACCTTGGTGTGTGCTTCCTTGGGTCCAACTTCTTTGGGATTCTCTCAGCTTCCTGGACTTCTTGGAAGTCTCTTTCCTTTACCAGATTGGGGAAGTTCTCCATTATTTTTTCAAATAAGTTTTCAATTTCTTGCTCTTCCTCTTCTTCTGGCACCCCTATGATTTGGATGTTGGAATGTTTAAAGTTATCCTGGAGGTTCCTGAGCCTCTCCTTATTTTTTTGAATTCTTGTTTCTTTATTCTGTTCTGGTTGAATGTATATTTCTTCCTTCTGCTCCAAATCATTGATTTGAGTCCTGGTTTCCTTCCCTTCACTGTTGGTTCCCTATATGTTTTTCTTTATTTTACTTTGACATAGCTTTCACGTGTTCCTCTATTTTGTGACCATACTCAACCATTTCTCTGAGCATCCTGATTACCAGTGTTTTGAACTCTGCATCTGATAGGGTGGCTATCTCCTTGTTGCTTAGTTGTTTTTCTGGAGTTTTGATCTGTTCTTTCATTTGGGCCATACTTCTTTGTCTTGGTGCACCTGTTATGTTGTAAGGGGTGGAGCCTTAGGTATTCACCAGGGCCGGGCAACTCAGGTCACTGTGTTGTGACACTGTAGGTAGGGGAAGGGTCAGAGAGGGACTAATGCTGCTTGCTTGGTTCTCCGCCAGCTTTCAGTCACTTCCCCCGCTACCCACAAGCAAATTGGGCCTTTCTGGTGCTGATTCCCAGCTGGGTGGATTTGTGTACATTCTAGGACCCCATGGGTCTCTCCAACAGACTCTCCTGTGGGGCTAGGAGTTTATCCCGCCGCCACATCACCCGCAGGTTTTTATAGCCAGAGGTTTTGAGGTTTTCTTTGCCTGCACTGGAACACTGGGTTGCGTGGTCTGTCTCACTCCCCTGTTGTTCTTCCCAGTTTATTCACACACAAATGTGGGACCACCTGGTCCTCCAGCCACTGCCTGGCCACATGTCCTCTCTGCCCTGGCTGCCCATCTCTGCCCCGCTACTGGTCTGGATGAATGTTTCTTCTTTAACTCCTTGGTTGTTGGACTTCCATACAGTTCAATTTCCTGGCAGTTCTGGTTGTTTTTAAATTTGTTGTTGTCCTTCTTTTGGTTGTATGAGGAGGCAAAGTGTATCTCCCTATGCCTCCATCTTGGCCAGAAGTCCCCCATAACCTTTTCCTTAAAAAAATTTTTAAAAAAAAATATTTTTAGGCTACACAGTTCATATATGAGTTTTTACAAATTGTTGCAAATCTCCAAAAATTTTCCAGTATACTCACTGGAAAAAAAAATCTGTGTATTAGTGGAACCACACAGTTCAAACGCATGGTGTTCCAGAGCCACCTGAGTGAGCCGCTTCGTCCCTGTCATTAACCCGAGGAAGTGATAGATTTGCCCCTTTTTACAGATGGGCTTGCTGAGGTTCAGGGACGAGTTGTTAAGGAGAAGATCCAGACTCTGAATCCAGACCTCGGTTGTGGATTGGATAGATACAGGACTACCAGCTAAATTTGGTGTTTGTGTCTCCTAAGGAGTTTCAAGCTATCTAATTTATTAATTTAAAGTCATTCATGATATTTCCTTAATATCCTTTTAATCTTGGTAAGATCTGTAGTGATGTCCTTTCTTTCGTTCCTGATAATTGATACATTGTGTCTTCTCTAATTAATACTTTGTGTCTTCTCTGATTCAGGCTAGAAATTTGTTAATTTTATTGATCTTTTCTGATCAATAAATTTTATTGATTTTATTGACTTTTCTGTGTTTGTTTTCCATATCATTGATTTTTGCCTTTTTATTATTTTCTTCTGCTTGCATTAGTTCTAATTTGCTCTTCTTTTCTAGTTTGTTAGGGTGGTCGTTTAGATGATGGATTTGAAACATTTTTCCTTAACAGAACCATTTCAAGGCTATAAATTTTCCTCTAAGCACTGCTTTAACTACATCCCACAGATTTTGATATTTTAATTCAGCTCAAGCCGTATTCTCATTTGCTTTGTGACTTCCTCTTTGACCCCTGGGCCAGCTTCTTGTTTCATTCAGGCACTTGATTTGACAGCCATCAGTAGGCCTCCCCTGCCCTCAGAACCTGAAACTTCTCTGATCCTGAATCCTGAAACTGCTCTCTGATCCTGAAACTTCGCAAAGTAGATACAGTATTCCCTGCCATCATTCATTTACATCCTCGGGGGAAGTAGTTGATTCGCTCCTAGGTTTTTATGAGTAGGGTGAACTGAGGGCAGCATGGAGATTTGAGGCTGGTGGAGTAAGAGGGGAGGAGGTAAGAGAGGCACTCGGCTCTCAGCGACAATAAAATGTTGTTAGATCCTCACTTTTAGAACAGGCCACCAGGTGCTCCCTGCTCCTAGGAGCTCACTTCTTCCTGTCCTCTGGACAACCCTCTCACTGGCTGGCGTCCGTCCGGGCAGACACTGCCCCAGCCGGTGAGACCCACTCCACTTACCTCCACTGGAAATGCTTCCTCCAGGGGTCTTCTGGGCTCACGATCCCCTCGGCTGTGCTCGCCCATGGCCACCCCAGGCTTGCATCTGGTGCCTGTCTCCTTTCTGGCCTGGGGACAGGTCTTCCCATACCACCTTCTCCTTGTCCAGGCAGAACCTTTCTCATGGCCTTTCTTCCTGCAGGTGCTGCCTGCAGATGAGATCCCCAAGCCCCTCAAGCCCCCGACCTACCAGGTGCTGGAGTATGGAGAAGCGGTGGCCCAGTACAACTTTAAGGGGGAGCTGGAGGTGGAGCTGTCCTTCCGAAAGGTGCGGCCGGGCTGGGCCGGGAGCGGGGGGCGGAGGGGGCTGGTGACTGCAGAGGGAAATATGTGTGGTAAAATGTTTTATAAGAGTCGGGTGAATCTACCTTCATCCAGTATCCAATTTTTTTCTTCGTCTCTTTAGATATGTTTCCCTTAACTTAGCCTATTTTTAAAAAGTCTGAAACTTCTAGAGTACTTGTGCTTTTTTTTTTTTCAATTCCAGGTTGGTAGGTTTTGAGGGTCACAATCAGCCTTTTTAAAAGAATGAAATGGAAATAATAGAATGCCTTGTGTGTAGAAAGGGTACCCTATCACATTTTTAGGCATTTACGTATATATGCATGTATGTGTGCTGTGTACTGGGTCGGTACAACACAGCTTTTACGATAGGTCGTGTGCAAGAAAGCTTGAGAAAACATCCTATAAAGCAGGGAACTGGTCTCCCTTTGGTTGATTTTTGGGGCAGAGACCATGAATGCCTCTAATGAATGTCCCCCAGCAGAGCCGGCCCCAGGGCCAGAGGGGAAGGAGGTGGCCGGATGCGGAGAGGTGGGGGCAGGAGAGGGCTGGGGACGCCCTTCCCCAGGACAGCACCCTGACCTCCGGCGCACGGGCCGAGGACGCCCTGGCCACCCTCCAGGAGTTTGTTGGCGGTGGTGACAGGGACACCCCGTGCGGAGGCAGGGACAGGGCCCAGTCCTGGTGGGGGTGGGTAGTGCTGCCCAGTGCCCCTTACCAACCTGACATCACTCTCCTCTGCTCCTCATGGCAGCAGTATTGCTACCCTCGCTTCCCAGGCGAGGGAGCTGAGGCTCAGAGAGGCAGAGCAACTGCGCTGAGGCCGCACAGCTTGAAACCGGCAGGGCCTGGCTCGGATCTGTGTTGTCAGCCACCAGCCTCCCCTGTGACCAGAGCTCTGCTGAGAAAGGGCTAGGAACTCAGAGGGGGTGTGTGTAGGTGTCCCCAAGGGGCGGGACTGGACCCAGACCCAGGGCCGCATACCGTGGGAAGAGCTGAGACTTCAGCTTGTGCCGCCTGGCGGCCTGATTTGGCTTCCCGACCCCTCCACTTCCTAGCTGTGTGACCCCTGCGTCACCTGCTGACTGCTCCGAGCCTGATGCCGCTGGGCACTCATGTAGGCGCCCTTGGGCACACGGCACGCAGGAAGGCCCTCCTGATGCTGACTCCTCTCTTCCCGCAGGGGGAACGCATCTGCCTGATCCGAAAGGTGAACGAGAACTGGTATGAGGGGCGCATCTCCGGCACGGGGCGCCAGGGCATCTTCCCGGCCAGCTACGTGCAGGTGTGCCGTGAGCCCCGGCTCCGTGTCTGCGATGAGGGCCCCCAGCTCCCTGCGTCTCCCGGCCTGACCACCGCCCGGCTGGCCGCCCGTCACCCCAGCTCCCCAGTAATGCCACGCAGTCCAGCTGACCCTGCCGACTGGGGGGGCCAGGCCTCCCCCCGCCGCACTGGCTTCTCCTCCTCCATGCATGACCCCAGACCACAGACCCAGGTAAGGCAGCCTGTTTCAGATGGAGAGCCGACCCCCGCTCCTTACCCCGTGTCCCCATTCCTGTGACAGGGCTGCATTGGAAACCTGCCCAGGCCACCCCAGGACAGGCCGGAGGGGTGACGGGGCAGAGCCTGGCCCTGCAGCCTCACCCTGGCCTGTGGACCCCTGAGCCCTCAAGTTGGTTGTGGCCTCTGAGCTGCATCCCAGGGAGAATGGGGTGGCCGGTGAGCTCTAGGGGAGGCCCAAACCCACTACAGGCCTCCTGGCCTTTCAGGCTCCATTTCTGTGGCTTGTCTGTATCAGCCTCTGGCACAGGGTGGGGCCAGGAGTCAGGGGTCTGCCATTAGCCTGCTGGGTGGCCTTGGGTGTGTAGCTTGCAGTCTCCAGTGTAGGCTTTCTTACCTGTAGAACATTCCTCACCTGCAGAATGGGGATAGTAATTCCCACTCCAGAGGTATTAGGAGGGTTTGAACTAACAGTTTGTAGTTAAGTACAGTCAAGGCGTGTGGACAGCCCGCAGACACGCCCGCCCGCCCCGCAGCCTGTGTGAGCAGGCCCTGCGGGTGTGCCTGGCCTCCTCCCCAGCCTTGTCCCTGCGCCTGTGGGAGGGGCCCCACCCCCACCCCTGTCCTGCCTGTGAGGGGAAATGCGCACAGACCCTGTGTGGGAACTGAGGGTCAGAGGAGAGTGCGGGGAGGGTGCCCCAGGGGAGCGGGAGGCCCCCTCACTGTCCCTCCCTCATGCTGGCTTGTGTCTGCCTCTCCTCCTCTGGACCCCAGAGTCTCAGCACCCCTGGGTCTTCTCTGTCCCACCCTGGAAGCTCCAGCCGTCCCTCGGACCTGGGGACCTCCTACCCTCACACCACTCAGATACACTGGACCCCGTGAGTACCATCTGGGAGTGCTTGGTCAGGGGCGGGGCCGCCGGCAGGCAGTGCTGAGCACGCTGACCCCCCTAGTCCGCCCAGCCCCCCCGGGTAGATTTGGTAAACTCCTGATAGGTAGCGCTGGTTCTTGCTGGGCTTACAGGTGACTTGGTGGCAGGGGTGGGGTCACTTGTCTGCAGTGTTCCTGACCTGTCCCTGTCAGCCCTGCAGCCTTAGAGCCAGCCTCCCACACTCAGCCCCAGCTGCAGTCCCCTCCCGGGGTTTCCAGCCCTGAGGTCAGTGCGTGGATGTGTCAAGTATGGGAACTGGCAGAACAGACTCGAAGGCACTGGGAGCTCCGAGGAGGCAGGGCTGCTGGGTCGTGAGGGTGGGCGAGCAGGGAGCAGGCCCGGGAGAGAAGGAGGCACTGCCGCTAGACGGAGCTGCCACCCCAGGAGCGGGGCCAGAGCTGATGGGAGCCCGGGAAACCCTGGGAAGTTCAACCCACATGGCAATGCTTGGGTCTAGACTCTGGGTTGGTCTGAGGAAGGGGTGGGGCCTGGTGGTTGCCATGACAATGTCTCCTGCAGGTACCGGGCAATGTATCAGTACAGGCCCCAGAATGAGGATGAGCTGGAGCTGCGGGAGGGGGACCGGGTGGATGTCATGCAGCAGTGTGACGACGGCTGGTTTGTGGGTATGCGGGCCTGGTGGGGGGGGGCTGCGGGGCAGGCCGGAGCGGGTACCTCAGGGTCCCTGGGGGCATGTCGGCTCACGTGGACTCATGGCCGACCTGCCACACATGCCTTCTGGCCTGGCTCCTGGGGAGACCTGGCCCTGGATGCTCCTGCTGAGCCGGCACTTCTGCTGTTGCTTTCATACCTGGCAGAGGGGTGAGGCTCAGGGTCCTTGATGAGGTCAGTGTATCCCTCACCCCCAGCCCCAGCCAGCAGCTACCTCCCCCAAACCCCCTCAGCCGAAAGGAGGGAGAGATCCTGGCCCAAGGGCAGCCCAGACAAAGGACTGAAGCAGGAAGCCTCAGGCCGGCCTTGGCCCAGCAGGTGTCAGGTGGCCTGTTTCCCCAGGGGGGGCGGGCCCTGTCTGCACCTCCGCTTGGGAGCCTGGGCCGCGCTCAGAGGCGAGCGAGCGGCAGGCTGCAGGGACAGCAGGCTGCCGGCCGAGCCGTTGGAGGGCTGCCTGGGCGGGGCGCTCAGGGGCAGCCTTGACCTGGCGGCCCGCCCTTTGCCCCTGAATCCCAGCACCTCACAGGTGACCAGGCTTTGGGCACACCCGTGATCGATTATGAAGTGCCGACTCGCTAAGGGCCCTTACCTTGGAGGGCTGGGCTTGGGGCGCATTCGCATTCTACTTGGTCCATGTCTGCGTTTGAATTTCTTTACATCTATTAATCAAGTGTTGCGAAAATTATATAGACAAGAAGAAAAAGCACCATCTTTGTGGTATAAGCCACATGTGCTTTTAGAGAAAGAGTTTAGAAAGTTCTGTTTCCAGTCATGTTAACACATGTTAAGTGTTCAGTAGCCACATGCGGCTTATCATTGTGGACAGTGTAAGTCAGGGAAGGCTTCCTGGAGGAAGTGGGAGAGCTGGGCCTTAACAGCATCAGCAAGGTGTGGGTACAGGGCGGACATGGCCTACTCCTAAGGAATCGGATGCCAGCCTGCTGGGAACAGGAGGCCCGGGACTGTCCCTTCATACTCCTGTACCCTCTCACATTCCCCCTCCATCGCCCCAGGACCCAGGACACAGGTGCCTTTGGGAGCGTGACAGGCCAGAGGCCTGAGCTTTAGGCCCACGTTGACCTCTAAACAGCAGAGCGCTCTGGGAGGATTCACTTGCCTCCTAGGGCTCATCTGCCCCACCTCTGAAACGAGGGCGTTGCACTTAGACCAGTGAGATTCCTCTGAATTTAAGTTCTGTGACTCATCCTCTTGCTTCCTTGCTTTCCCGAGGAAGGGTGGGGTTACCCTGTGCTGTGTGCGAAGTGACCCACAGTTGTTGCGTGCTCACATTGGTCATTCGCTATTGAATTTTCCAAGCATAGCTTCATTTATCTAAGCTTCTCCCACTAGAAGGCTGGAATGAGGAAAAGATTTTTTCCCTCCCTGGGATGGGGGCTCCAGCTGCAGTTCCAGGCACTGTCAGCAGGGGGCAGGGCCCTCATAATTTCTATCAGAAAAAGAAGTATGAGGAATGATCTTTCTCTTTCCTCTTTCAGGTGTCTCCCGGAGGACCCAGAAATTTGGGACATTCCCTGGAAATTATGTAGCTCCAGTGTGACAGGTCTCCGTGGCAACTCAGAACCCAGCCAGGATGGGGCAGGGAGCCACCGCACTTCTGGGAGGGAGAGCGCACCCCTCCTTCCCGCCTCCTCCTCCCCAGGACCTGGCTGCTGGCATCCGCAGACAACCCAGCAGCCTGCTTCCCCGAAGCCCCCTCGAAGCCCCCTGGACCGATTCCCACCCACAGCACACAAGCATTCTTCCCACAGCCCTTTATTCCCTCCCCTCCCCGACCCCCCAAATACAGAGGTCTGCTTTGAAGTGGAGGCTCTTTCCAGACCTTATTGAGACCAGACCCCCCGAGTCCCCCAGCCCCACCCTGCAATGGCGTTCCCTCTAACAGGGACTGGCTCCCAGCTTCACCCCCATGGGGTTCCTCTAACAAGGACCAGCTTCCTAACCTCATAGAGACCAAAGGCCACTGCCCGGAGGGGGTCCCCCCCTTTCACTCCAGCTTGCCTGCTGCCCCCTTTGCCTTCCCACTTCCAGCTGGGCCTGGGAGTGAAGGGGGTGGTGGACGCAGCACCTCCTTGGCCTTCGAGGCCTGACCAGAGATCTCGCCCGAAGGCCCACTCTGCCCAAAGGCTGCCCGGCCCAGGGCCTGGGCTGCGCTTGCGTCCCGCTGCTGCAGTGCCCAGGGAGGACGGGCCTCTGCGGCCTGGCCCCCCCGCCCCAAGTTTTTCCAGGAGACTGGTGTGTGCTGCCCTCCTGCCTCCCCAGCCTCCCCCAACCCCGAGTCCATCCTGGGAGAGAATGTAAAATAAATCTGGATGCCAGGGCCTGCGCCTCGCGCTCCTTGGGTGGGGGTGGGGTGGGAGGGCGCTCCTGTGTGGGTCTATGGGAACACTTTCTTCAGTGGCCTGTGCTGGGAGCCACATGGGGTGTGCGTGTGCGTGTGCATGCGTGTAAGGGGAAGCTGGGAAAGCAGCATTATTATCTCTAAAGATCTCGGGCCTCGGGTCTCAGGCAGCCTTGGGCGGCCCCCGGTATTAGGCAGCTGTCTGACAACCAGCACAGAGCGCATGCAAGCTCGAGCACCCGATGTCACAGGGACGGGGGCGAGGCCCAACCGTGGAGAGAAACCAGAGATGGGGGCTGACTGTGGCCTTGTGTGCAGGCTGTTTTGATTCTGGAGCCACCGTGGGGTTGCTGGGCTGGATGACATGTCTAACTGCTCTGTTCCTAATGTTTTCCTTCTGTGCTCCATCCCACACCGACGCGCTGTCTGTTTGTTTACTTGCTCCTTTCAGCTCGGGGTTTTGAGCACTCGATTGTGGGAAGCTGGGAGTGGTGGGCCAGAGCTGGCCAAAGCGACTTCTCGCCCAAGGTTTCAGAGGGTGGCTGTGGTGGTTCCCGTGGGGAGACAGGGCCAGGGCGCACCAAGGAGGGAAGGCGCCGTTCCAGTGCCATTCCCCAGCAGTGCGGGGCCATGCGGGGGCTGAGGCGCTGCCCACAGGCTGCCGCCGCCGCGCTGCCCGGGGCATCCCAGCAGGCAGGTTGGACTCTGCTCCCAGGAGCAGGGAAGGCTGAGACATCTCGCGCTCTAGTCACGTTGTCAGAAAATGCTTGTCAGGTCCAGGACGGCTGCCGCCTGCCCGCCTTCCTTGTCCAGAGGCCTCTGCAGAAGTCAGGTTGCGGGTGAGGTCAAGGACTTTCGTGGGGTGGCCCCAGGCTGGGCCTCTTTCACATTCTTTCTGACGCTGCAGTCTTCCAGGTGGGTGGGAAGAGGCAGTGGGGCCCAGGTTAGTCAAGGCAGGTGGGTGAGGCCTGTGAATGGCAGGGTGGTGGCCGGGCCCTGGCCGGTTCCTTGAGCCTGGGTGGGACTGGGCCCTGGAGGCAGTTAAACAGCCGCTGGAAGAACAAGAACTGCGTGCCCTGCTGCGGACGTCTGGCCACCCCAGGCCTCCCCATGGCCTGCTTCTCCGTGGGAGGTCCATCCCATCTTGTAAAAATGACCATTTTTCAGGATGCCACAGGCTCGTTCCTGATCCCTGTTCTGGCTTCTTTGCCTTCCCTGCTGCCCTCATGCGAGGGATCAGGGTTGAACCTGCCTTTCCCTGGGGCAGAAACCAAATCCACACCCTCCCTTTGATGGGGACCTGAAACCTTGGCAGCAAACCTGCCCTAGGCCCCTGGGCTGCCTGCCACCAGGGCGCTGATGTGCGATGACCACTTTGCTGCCTTGATAGGGCGCGGTGGGGGAGGAGGCCTGAGGAGGGAGGGGGACCGGAGGAGCCAGAGCCAGGGAGGACCTCAGGCCACTGGGGCTGCTGCCCTGTCAGAGATGTGAGGGGCCCCGACGTCCGAGTTGCTTGGAGCAGAGCCGAGCTCCCTCTGGCCCTGGGAGGTCGTGCCAGCCCCCTTTGGCTGTGTCCTGAGTTTTGTGAATGCAGAGCCCATGGAGCAGAAATCCTGCAGATGAACCTGTAGATGTTTCTAGAGACTGTCCAAAGCAAAATCGGGGGCACCAAAAAGTGTAATACAGAGCCTGGGGGCGGGAGAGGGGGGAGAGTAATCCACTCAATCATTAAAGCAACACTCATTCGACAGCTCTTTCCCGATCGCCCCGCTGCTGTGGCGGGGGCGGCGGGGGCGGCGGGCGCGGCGGGCAGGGGAGGACTGCGGTGCGAGGCTGCACTGAGCCAAACAGAAACGCAGCCTGGCCTCCGCGCAAGCAGTGTGTGGGCAGCTTTACATGGGAGGGCAATCTATACAACTATGTACAGTCCCCTTTTTACAGATGGGGAAACTGAGGTCCGGAGGAGCTGAGGAAATTGGCCAAGGTCACCCAGCCCAGCAGAGGCGGGTCTGGCACCTGAGGCGAGGTCTGTGTGGCCCCAAGGCTGTGCTGGCCCCACCCGTAGCCTTCCGCTACTGCGGGGCTTCCAGCCCAGGTGAGGGACTGGACAGGTGCTTCAGGACAGGCAGTCGCACTGCTAGGCCAGGGCCCAGTTAGTGGGAGAGTGGCTCACACACACGAGGGCCCAGGGCAGGAGGCTGTGCGAGGCTAGGGACAGAGGAGGGCGCCGGCTGGGCGTGAGCTGGGCTGTGTGCGCAGGAAGGAGGAGACCCAGGGGGTGGGGCGGTGGGGGGTGTGTGGAGGGCACTCCTTGCAAAGGGAACTGGAGGGGAACGACTGCTTGGGGCAGGCGAGTTATGGCTGTGCCCTTCGGCGCGCCCTCCTGAAAACAGACAAGCCTGTCCGAGCACCTGCGAAGCGAGACCGATGGGGGTGGAGCCAGCTGCGGTGGGCCCTGAGGTCCCCAGGCGGAGGGTTGCTAGGTGTGACTCTGGAGAACTATTTGCCAGACGGTTCTGAGCTGGTGCCTGGGGCTTCTCCCCGGCTCTCCTCTCCTGGTCCCTGGAGCCCGGGCTCCAGGTGGTTGGTGGTGCGCTGGGGCCTGGGGGGCGAGGGCCAGGGGGGTTGTTGCAGCTGGCCAGCCCCAGGCAGGGCCTCAGGAGAGAGTGAGGGAAACCAGGAAAGGAAAAGCCATCAGCCTAGAAGAGGCAGGGACACGCACAGCCCAGGAGGGTGCCGGGTGACCTCCAGCAGGAGTCCCCCTGCATCTCTTCCTGCACCTGCCGAGCCTCCCTGAGTGGAGCAGGCTCGACGGCACCGGCGGCCGGGAAGCTTTGCCCCGCGGCACCTGGAGCGCGCGGGCCACAAGAAGGCGGCGGGGAGGCCCTGGTTTGGGACGTGTGTGTCGGGCTGCCCCTGGGTCGGCGTGGGAGCCTGCAGCGGACGCACGGGCCTTGCGGACCGCAGGCGAGGCCGGCCCTCCTCTGCCCTGGCCCTTGGGGGCGGCATGAAGGCTCCTTTGAAGGGGGGCGGGGCAGCCGGCCCCGGAGGCCTCAGCCGTCTGCGAAGTGGGGCTCGCCGCCGCCGCCAGAACGCCTGCCCTGCACTCAGGGGCGGCCAGGAGGACGGGGCAGCTCGAGGAGAGCGGCCGCGGCCTCTAGGCTACTCCAGGGAGAGCCGCCCCCGCCCCAGGGGGCGCGGACCAGACGGCAGCGCAGGGGCCGGGCTGCGTGGAGGAGGCGGCTTCCCGGGCCGGGGCGGCGGCAGGGGCGGCCCCGGGATCACATGGGCGGAGGCAGGTCCCGGAGCCCCGGGCTGCTCTCCGCAGAGTCGGGCAGGCTGCGGCAGTGGCGGCGGCAGCGACAGCCGCGGCGTCTCCTCGCCCTCCCTCCCTCGCCTCCCGGACTCGGCCGCCCAGCCCGACAGGTGAGCGGGGGCCCGATGAGCGCGCCCACCTGCGAACCGTCCGCGCAGCCCGCGGCGTCCCGGCTCTCGCGGGGATCTGGGCGCCCGCGCCCGCGGGGCGCCCCTCGGCGCCCGTGCCCTTCCGGCGCCTGCAGTCCCACTCGCAGCCTCGCCTCGCGGATGGCGCCCCCCGCCGCCTGGGCTTCCCCGTCCCGGCGCTCCTCCTCCAGCCCCCAGCCCGTGGGTACTTTGGTCTGGGAGCGCAGAGGGCGATGGAACCGGGAGAGCCGGGCGGACGGGCTGGGCACCTCCTGGCTGCGCCCGGCGCGTAGTCCACTGGCCGGCTCAAAGGTCCGGGAATCAAGAAGTGCGAGCGGCCTGCGCCGGCCTGGGCGCCTGGGGAGGCCCAGGGGCCGGCCTGGGCGAAGGGGAAGCCACAGGGCCAGGAAGAGGGCAGGCAGCCCTGCTGACCTGGGCGCGCACTCCACAGGCTCCTTAACTGGGGGCGGGGGGGCGGGGGTTGGCCCGGTGTCTTCGGATATATTTGGGCAGCACTCGCAGTCTCTGGGCCTCCCCAGGGGCAGCTCCAGGGTGGGTGCTGGGCAGGGTGGTGCCCCCGTCTGGCACTGCAGCTTTCTGCCAGGGTTGGCTCCTGACTCCAGACTTAGAGGCTCCAGAAACCCTACAAGGGCCCGGCCTGCAAGGGACTCCCTTGCTCAGCAGAGGGGACAGTGGATGGGGGGCTTGTGGACCCAGCTCACAGGCAGCATCGATCAGCTGGCTCTGCTGGCCAGCGCCAGGGCGTGGTGCGCCCAGCTCGGCAGATGGGTTGATTGTTCTTTCGGGCTGTGCAGAGCGCACCGGGCCCGCGGGAGGTGGGGAGCCCAGGCCTGCCCAGCTGGACCGCAGAGCCAAGGGCTGGGCAGGCAGCAGGGGCCCCTCCGAAGACCCCAGCCTCCCAGGGAGAGTGGGTGGCGCTGCCCGCTTCCTTGCTGTCGCTGTGTTCCCACAGTGCCGCCCTCCCCCAGAGCAGGAGGAAGTACCTTATGTTGTTGGTTTTGGGGACAGGAAGCAAGCGCTAGTGGGACTTAGCCCTGATGGTGGAGGAGGGTGAGAGGAGGAAATGCCGACATCTCCCGCCACCCGCAGGCCCCCGCCGCCGCCCAGGGAGCCCCCCGCTGGCCCCGGCTGACGGCTGCCTCCAGGGGGCCGCTCGCCCGGACACAGCGGAGGGGCACCCAGAGCCCTGGCTCCCGGGTGGGAGACGTGAAATGGGGCGAGGCAGGGAGGCGGCCACTTCCCCCGTGTTCCCCAGCCCCTGGCCAGCTGCTCCGCGGACCTGTCACCCCCCTCTCCTCCCTCTGCCTCTGTCCTGCCCCCTCACACTGTCCTCCACCGCCTTCCCCAGGTATGGCACTGACTGTGGACGTGGTGGGGCCGGCGCCCTGGGGCTTCCGCATCACCGGGGGCAGGGATTTCCACATGCCCATCACGGTGACCAAGGTAAGGGCTAGTCCCTGGAGATGAAGAAGTGACCCATAGTTAGGGTCTGCTGTGTCCCCACAGACACCTTTTTGTTCTGGAACCAGAGGCCTGCTTCCTGGAAGTGTGGGCCCGGGGCAGGCGAGGGCCCCGTTGCCGCGGGGATGTGGTAACCAGGTGGAAACAGGCTTCTGGGTAGTGAAGGGGCCGAATGAGGGGCCTGCTGGTGGCCAACGCCATACCTGCCAGGAGCTGTTTTGGGTGGTTCGGAGAACGGAGTCCTTGGCGGCCTCCCCCTGACCCTGGCCCGGCCCGGGCCCAGGCCGGGAGCCTTCGGGCCAGCTTCGTGCAGGAAGGCCTGCATGCTGGCAACCGCCAGCGCATGTGATTTGCTCTCTATACAAAAGTGCTTCCAAGCAGAGCTCCTGGGCTTCCTCATCACACCGTCTTGGGGAGGCCCTATTAGAATGCCGCATCCGCGTCAGGGAGGGAGGGTTGAGGCTGCCTGTGGCTGTAGGGTGTTAGCTGGCCACCTGGGCCGACACCAAAGGGCAGGGAGAGCGCAATCAAAGGCGGACATGGGGCAGCCTGGACCACACCAGACTCTGAGCTTCTTGGGCAGGAAGGAGGGAAACGCCCTCTGCCCCCTCCCCACCTGAGCGTCGCTGCTGTCGGAGCGGGGGCACCTCAGGCCGCCTGTCCTCACCCCCGACAGGTAACAGAGAGGGGCAAGGCCGAGGCCGCTGACCTCCGGCCCGGCGACATTATCCTGGCCATCAACGGGGAGAGTGCACAGGGCATGCTCCACGCAGAGGCCCAGAGCAAGATACGCCAGAGCCCCTCGCCCCTGCGGCTGCAGCTGGACCGGTAAGCCCTCCGCGTCTGCCAGCCCACTGGGTGGCACCGCTCCGCACCGCACCGGCCGCCCCCGCCCACCCGCTCTGGGCCTGCTGCAGGGTGGGCTGAGGGGTGTCCCCATGCCCGGCTGGGCGTGTAGCCACAGGCAGGCAGGCTGGCTGGCATCAGCCACCTGGATGCCCGGGTCTGACTGGTTCCCAAGTGTGTGGGGCACAGGGCGTGGGCATGAAGTGGGTTGAGGAGGGGAAAGGTGTGCCTTAGGCTGGGTCTCCGGGGCCCCTGCCTCCAAGAGGGCATGACCTTTGTTCAGATAGGGGCTGGGGGAGGCAGGGGAGGAGCTTGAGGGCTCGCTCCTCGCTCCCCGGAGAGCCCCTCCGTTCCTCCCTCCATTAGCTCTCTGGGCCCAGCTGGTGAAGGCTGATTTGGAGCTAGTGGGGTTGCGGTCCGGAGGCCCGGATTGCGGGGTGGGGAGACAGGTGACTCCCCAGGGTGGGGCATCTGGGTGAGTCACAGGGCAGGAATGCGAGAGACTCCCCCAGCCAGGGGAGCCCTTTGAGCGGGCCTTGAACCTGGGCTGGGTTCCTCCCGCCCCTCCGCCAGCCCCCAGGGCCTCCCTGGGCCGCGGCCGCAGTGGCAGCCGTGGCAGCGGCCTCCCGTGATGCTCTGGCGCCCCGGCCCCCTCTTGCGGCTCCCCTTGCCACTCTGGCTCAAGAGTGTTTGCAGGAATGGGACCTAGAGGAGGAGGGTGGGGAGCACCTCATGGCATCTGGGAAGGGGACCAAAATCTACAAGAGGCTGCAGAGTGGGGCGGGGGCGGGGCAGGGCGCTGCTGACACCATCGCTTCTGCTTCTCCCACCCGACCCTCGAGGAGGGACAGCCCCTCAGGTGGGCGGGCCTGGGAGTACTCCCGGGCCTGCAGCTGTGCATTGGGTGGGTCACAGCTCGGGCTCTTCGTTCTTTTGCCCAGCCCCCCACCGCACCCCGCACCCCCCCCCGCCCCCTGCGCCCCGCCAGGCAGCACCCTCCCCACCCCCATGCCCTTTCAGGCAGGCAGAGCCCTGTGGCAGGAAGCAGTGCTCTGGGCCTGAGCCACAGCCCTGCTCCCCCCCACTCTGACTCCACGCACCCCCCGGCCCCCAGAGGCCGAGGCTGGCGCTGTGTGTGGTGGCTGCGGTCCCTGCTGACCTCTCCAGAAGTGGCCAGACATCAGGAATGGTGTAGTGGGATGGGTCACGGCAGGCGCTCTTCCTCTGCCAGCTCTCAGCCCTCAGGGACCCTTTAAGGCTGCAGCTGGGCTCTGCTGGGGGGGGGGGCTTTGGAGGAGGGTCCCTGGGGAGCTGGGGGGGTCGCCTCTCACTGACTGCCCTGGTGGTGGAGGCGAGTGGGTCCCTGGGTCCTGAGGCTGCCTGCCCGGCAGGGGAGGGAGACAGCTCCACCTTCGCTCCATGGGGAGAAGCCTGTGGAAGGGACCAGAGTGACTCTGTCAAAGGCATTCTGGGCACAGTGGCGGAGCTGAGGGGCAGATCTTTGGTTGGGGACAGTGGGCAGCCGGTCCAGCCGTCGCTGGGCTTTAGGACTTCGCGCCACTCCCTTTCCTTCTCTGGGCTTCACTTTTCCCGTGAGTGAAAGATAAGGGATTTTTTCCTGGAATCAGGAATCTCCCCACAAATCAATCTACAAACTGATGCTGACCAGCAACAAAGTCTGGATAAAATACAAAAAAAAAAAGAAGAAAGAAAGAAAAGAAAAAAAGAAGTAGGAGGGGGAAGAGTGAGGAGTTTTTTTTTAATAAAATTGAATTTATGGAACTTTTTGCTGAAATTATGGCCTTTCTACTTTTTGGTGCTAAACAGTTGTTTCAAGAAATGATGGTGGCTGTTGATGATCGTTGTTGGTTTTGCGTTTGGCCAAGTTAAAAGCTGACAACACACGGCCTGAATGTTTTGGACATTTTACTAGTTTTGAGCACCTGGTGTGGGGACGGCTGAATGGGGACGGCTGAACGGGGACAGCTGGAATCTCCAGCCCCTCCCAGGGCCCCGTGACCCACGCGTCCTCTGCCCCGCCCTCAGGTCCCGCGCTGCCTCTCCCGGGCAGGCCAACGGGGGGAGCTCCATGGAGGTGCTGGCGACCCGATTCCAGGTGGGATGGTGCCTCCCGCGGGGGCCCCAGTGCCCCGAGGGAGGGGGAGGCCTGAGGGACAGGGCCCCGGGGACGGAGGACCCCTCTTCACATCCTTGTCTCCACAGGGCTCAGTGAGGACGCACACTGACAGCCTGTCCTCCCTCCGGTCCTCCTGCTCCAGCCCTGCCTCCCCCGGCCCCCGGTCCTGCAGCCCCTTCTCCAGCCAGCCCTGCGCCAGCCCGCCTGCCCTTGCTGGAGAGGCAGCCATCAGCCAAAGGTGAGTGTGGGTGGGCCCCTGGCGGCTAGGCCCGGGCCAGGCCTCTCCCAGTCTAGGCAGCTGTGTTCGGGGGACCCTGGGGCACCTCATGTTTCCTGGGCAGCCTGGAGGGGGTGCTTGGTGCGCACACTCGATGCATTTTCTCCCATTCAGTTTCCAGAGCCTGGCATACACCCCGGGACTCACCGCTGCTGACCGCCTGTCCTACGGAGGCCACCCCGGGAGCCGACAGGTGAGGGTAGTGGCGGGGGAGACAGCCTCCCAGTCCTGCTGGCTGTCAGCGGTGCCCACGGGGCTGCAGGTGGCTGATGCCACCGGGGCAGCTGGGCCTCTCGTCTCCTAGCAGCAGCCGCTCCCCACTCTTCAGCCAGGCGGCCGTCCTCTCTGCTGGAGGGGCGCGTTGGCTGCCGTGCCCTGCCGGCTGGTCCCAGGTGGCCTTCCGCCCCCGCCGCCTCTCTCGCTGCCGCCTCTCCGTGTCCTGCTGGCTTCCTCCCTTCCTGAGTGTTTCTCTTGGGCCTGGGCTGACATAGTTTGGCTGCTGTTTTTGGGATGGTTCCCTCTGGCTCTGGCTGCGTCCCTTGAACACATTCCTCCCCACGCCAGCCCCGTGCCTGTCCCAGCTCCGCCGCCCCATCCCCCTTCCCTTTCCTTGGCTCGGCCCAGGGAACCACCAGCGGGACTGTGGTTCTGCCTCACGTGGCACGTGGCCCACTCTGTCTGCCCCACCCCGCCTCCCTCCCCGGGGCCCCTACCCCTGGTTCCTCTGTCCACTGGCGACGGCCCAGCCCCCCTTGGTGGCAGTTCCAGTCTGTCCGAGGGCTGGGGTGAGCAGGGAGGCAGGGAGGAGGCAGCCGGCAGTTCTGGGCCTCAGCTGCTGGGGCAGAGCTGGGGCATGTTCAGCCTTTGGGGTGAAGGGGATGAGGCCCAGCTGCTGGAACCCCAGCTCTGGCTGATCCCGCATTTCTGAAAGCAGAGACTTTGGGGATGGCCGGGGAGAGCCCTAGAAACTGGGGGTCGGAGAAGGAAGCGGTGGGGTCCTCGGGGCCGCCCAGCTGGGGCTCCTCGGTGACCCGCTAGGGGCCTGGCCGGTGGCCCGCCGGACATGTGGGCTCGGAGATGCTTTCCATGGGATCCCCTTCTTTGAACAGTTTTAAGTGTAGCTGTGGAGATAAGACAAACACACAGAACAATTTTGGGACAATTAAGCACTAAACGGTATGGTCTTAATTATAAAAGCTGGAGGCTCCTGGGAGGGAGAGAGGAGCGTGGCCTGGGGCGGCCTGAGGAGGCTCTGTCAGAGCCCTGCTGGCCCTCGGAAGCGGGACCTGGGAGTGTCCGATCCGCTGCTGGCGGGCCCGGCGTGGGGAGAGCAGCGGTGCAAGCTTGTCCTGGGGCCCTTCTGCCCCCCTTCCTTGCCGTGTCCCCGACCCAGGCCAAGGGGCCATCGGGTGCTGTAGGGAGTAGCTCTCAATCCAGCAGCAGCGCCTGGGAACCTGTTAGAAATGCAGACTCTCAGGTTCCAGCCGAGACGCACTGAATTGGACATGGGGTGAGGAGGGGCGCGGGGCACCCAGCTGCCTTGAGGAGCCCTCGGGAGCAGGCGCATGGGAAGGTGTGAGGAGCGCCCCAGGTGGCGAAGAGGAGCCTGGGCCCTGGCCGGGTGGCTCTGTGGGTTGGAGTGTCGCCCCAACACGCCAAGGTTGTGGGTTCGCTCCCCAGTCAGGGCATGTACAAGAAGCAACCGATGGATGCATAAGTAAGTGGAACAACAAGTTGATGCTGCTCTCTCTCTAAAAAGCAATGCATCAATTAAAAAAAAAAAGAGGAGCCATGGGCTGGGCGGCACGGAGGGTTGGCAGGAGGTGAGTCCCACCCCCACTGCGTCACCTCGGATGAGCCCCATCATCTCTGCACCTCGGACTCAGGCGCACTCTGCCCCGAGGCCCCTGGTCACCCCTCAGCAGATACTTCCCAGGCAGCTGCTCTGTGTTAGGTGCTCTTCTGGGCTCTGGGGTGCAGTGGTGGAAAACCAGAGAAATTCCTGCCCGAGCCAGGTGCGCGTCCTGGCCTACAGCGAAGCGGGAGTTAGGAGCTTGGGGGCCACAGGGCCCCCCAACTCCTTACCGAGTCACCCTGTGCTTCCGCACCTTCAAGGCCCTCACTTAACGCTTCAATTTCCTAAACGTGTTTAACTGCAGAGTTCCTCCTGCCCCCTTTCCTGCCACTCACCTATGACACCCCGTGTTCCCCCAGAACACGTTCTGAGGAATTGGCCACAGACAGCTCTTGATGGGCAGCTGAGCGGATTTTCTGCACTTGGAGAGGGAAGGTCCGCTCTGTGGAGGCAGGTGTCCCATCCGGAGCTGACTGAGAGGAAAGGAGGGAGGAGAAAGGCGGGCGGCCCTGCCTGAGGGGGTAGGGGGCCCCTCCTGCAGGGAGTGCTGGTCTAGTGGGCGGGGGGCTGGGGGTGGACCGCAGAGGTGTCCCGCCTGGTGCACGGGGCGCGGCTTCTTTGCCAGATCCCGAGTGGGCTGAGGCTGCGCTGAGCCCGAGGCGCAGGGTGCTGCCCGCCTTCCTCGTGGTGCCCTTCTGGAAACCAGAGGTGGCCCCCTCCTGAGAGGCCTTGGGGAGCAGCTGTGAAGTGAGAACAGCGCCTCCGCCTCCAGCGGGCACAAGGACTCGGCTTTCGAGGGAACCTGGGCCGGATCTCAGCCCTCGCACCCCACTGGCCAGGGCACGTGCTGGCCTGTCTGGGACAGCCAGATGGAACATCGTTCTTGAGCGACTGGCCGTCATTCTTGACGGAATTTCCTCACCGTCCTTCAGTTGACCACACAGCACCAGCTGGGCACTCGGGATCCAGGGCGTGGGCTCCCAGCCCTGCCTCTGGTACCGGCTGCTTCTCCCATTGGACCCTCAGTCCCCTCGCCTGTTAACCGCTTTCCCAAAGCGGCCTGGGAGCAGAGGCATGCAGGCTGGTGGAAGAGGTGGCTGAGGGTCCAAGGCTTCTTCTCCAGACTCCGATGGTGCCACTTTTAGCTGAAGAACTCAAGCAGTTTTTTCATTTCACCCTATAATTCATTCCTGACTTTGAATTTTAAAGCAGAGGGAATTTGGCTTCTCAGGAAGCCCCGCCCTCAGCGCCATGCTGCCCGGGGGCCTCTGAGCCCGCCTCCACGTGGGGCGGGGGTGGGAAGCCAGGGGGCAGAGCGACTTGAGACTAAGGGCAAGGTGACCCGGTGGGGGGCCAGCGTAGGAGCCCACAATGGCGGGCGCACCGCTGCTGGGCTGTGGGCCTGGAACTGGCCAGGCTCCCCAAGGCTGTGAGGGGCAGGACCAGCCCAGCCCAGACCCCTGCCCTCTGAGGAGGGGGACAACCTAGGTGGGAGAGAGGTCCTCCGGGCAGCTCCAGCCCTGGCTCCCAGAGAGGTCTTGCCTCTCTACTCCTCCCCTTTATGTTGCCTTTTCCTCCTGGCAGAAGGGTTGGCTTTTTTGCTTGTTCTGTCGGGAGGAGCCAGGCCCCAACATGCAACTTCTTTCCAAACACATGGCCCGAGATAACAGAGGAATTTGCATTTTGTCTGAACGGAGCTGTTTGTCACCCCTGGTCCTTGCTCTGCCCCCCCACACCCCCACCCCCGCCCAGTCCCCTTGCAGAACCCTCACAGCTCCATAGCTGGGTGCCGCCGCCCTCCCCTCTGGGACGCAGTCCCTGGTGCCCTGGCTCTCAGGGCCGGGCCTGGTGAGTTGGTCCCCGGGAGGGGGACAAGCAGGGGGCCTCCTGGTCAGCGAGGGCCGAGAGCCCTCTGGCGTTGGGCCTGGGAACAGCTTGTCTTGGCTGCGGCCGGTGAGCTGGCCGGAGGCTCCGGCGCCCGCCGACTCCTCCCCCGGTGCCTCTCCTTCCCGCAGGCTGGCCTCGGCTCCGGCCTCGCTGGCGACTCGGCAGTGCGGGTGCTGCCGCCTTCCCCGGGCGCCCGGTCCGCCAGCCCCAGACGCAGGTACGGGTGGGTCCTGGAGGGTGGGGGCATCTTGGAGGGCTGCGAGGGACAGGGGGGCAGAGTGGCTTCCCGGAGAAGAGTGGGGTGACCCTGCCTCTCTAAGCCCAAGGCGGCAGGCATCCCTCTAGCCAGAGTCCTTTCCCCTTGGGACACCCATTCCCTGCCCCCACACTCGTCGTCCTGACACCAGAAGGGCCCCTCACTCCTGGCTGCCGCCCATCCTTGCAGCGTGGACTCGGAGAGGGGAGGTCACCACCTGGAAGAGGACTCCGAGGTCTTCAAGATGCTGCAGGAAAACCGTGAGGCGCGGGCGGTGCCCCGGCAGTCCAGCTCCTTCCGGCTCCTGCAGGAGGCCCTGGAGGCCGAGGAGAGAGGTGGGGCCCAGCAGCGCGACGGGGCGGGAGGGAGGTCATGTCCAGAACCCTGAGTGGACGTGTTATTGAGATAGGTTTTTAAAATTTTTTATTTACTTACTGATTTGAGGGGTGGGGGGGGAGAGAGAGAGAGAGGTTAATTTGTTGTCCTGCTTATTTATGCATTCATCGGTTGATTCTTGTATGTGCCCTGACCGGGGATTGAACCCTCAACCTTGGCCTATTGGGATGATGCTCTAACCAAGTGAGCTCCCTGGCCAGGTATTTCTCAGTATTTCTTAAGTGCTCATCAGGGGAGCAGGCACCAAGGGGCGCTGAGAGCACGGGCCCTGCCTTGCAGAAGCCTACAGGCTGGTGGGGTCACCAGGGGCGCCCTCAGAGGTCCAGGCTAGGGCAGGACAGTGCCAAGGGAACAACAGAGGTGGGCGGTGAGGTCTCCAGGGAGGGCATCGTGGAGAAAGGCTTTTGACGTGGTCCTTGCAGAAAGAGGGCGGCAGGGAGACTGTGGAATGTGGAGGTTGGCAGCCGGAGGGCCTGTGGCTGTGGGAGCAGAGGACAGCGGGCCTGGCGCTGGGGGGGTGGCTGTGGGAGCTAAGTCCCGGCTGTGAGACCTCACGTGCCAGGCTAGGGAGTGGCCTCACCCAGGAGGGCCGGTTAAATAATGCCCGCAGGGCCTGAGGTGCCGGAGTGAGCCGCACAGACGATTCGGGCTTCGTCTAACATCCGCCGTGCCCACCGGTGGGCTGGCCGTGAGCGCGCGGCGGTGGAAGGTGGCCAGGACCCCTGTCTGTCCATGAGGAACTCTGTTTCTGGGGGCTGACAGGCCTGCCCAGCTCCCAAGAAGTTGGGTGCTGCTGCAGGAGTTCCTGTGTGTGTGTGTTGAGGGGGCGGGGCTGGGGACCACTGCCCTGTTCAGGGCAGGGTGGGGAGGGACCGGCCTGGGCAGCGGCGGCCAGGGGTGACAGCATGGAATGGTCAGACTTGGTGGCTGGTTGCGACTCTGATGTCTGTCTCCTGGGGGCCCTCACAGAGGCAGGGCCTGGGGTGGAAGTCTTGGGACCAGTCTTGTCCATCATGACCTTGAGGCCTTGGCAGGCCCCTGGAGGGGGCCAGGGAGAAGCAGTGGGTGAGGAGAGTGCCGAGAGACAGTGACATCACCACCGGAGCCTCCGCGGCGGTGTCGGCTGGAAATGGGGACCGTACCTGCCCCATAACATCTATGCTTCATCTGAGCATGGTCCAAGGTTCAGATGCAATAATGCGCATAAGAGCCCTTTGAAATCTGTACAAAGGTATCATGGTGCTGTTATGACCTATCATTACTGTCCATTAATATCAGCGTAACTGGGCCACACCAAGGGAAACGTCGGCTTGGCCTGCTGTGTCAGACACTGAACACAGACATTCCCAGCTTGTTGCCTTAGCCCGGGCCAGCCTCCGGTGTGCGTCCTGCCCTTGCCCAGCCTCAGCCAAGCGTCTGGCATGACTGCTTCCTTCCCCATTCCCCACGCCCAGCGTAGCCCCAGAGGCCCACCCGTGAGGGCGCCTGCAGGTGTGAGCGTCCCGGCGCGAGCGTGTTGGAGCAGGTGGAGTGCGCGCACATAAATACAGCCTGGATGCTGCTGAGATAGATGAGTTCTGAGGTGTCTGTCTGCCCTCGCCCCTCCCAGGTGGCACGCCTGCCTTCGTGCCCAGCTCGCTGAGCCCCCAGACCTCCCTGCCCACCTCCAGGGCCCTGGCCACCCCGCCCAAGCTCCACACGTGCGAGAAGTGCAGCGCCAGCATTACGTGAGTGTGGGGGCCTGGGAGGCAAGGCTGGGGAGCGGGGCACGGGGCGCCCTCTGGAGGAGCCTGCGTGGAAAAGCCCGTCAGGGCCCAGGAGGGGCGCATTGACGAAGTGGACCCACGAGACAGTCTATGGGTAGTGGTCAGCCCTCTTAGAAGGCCTGCGCTGGCTTCTTCCTGCGGGACCCCCCTCCCCAAGTTCTTTCCCCACTCCTCCTTCTCGTCGGAGATAGACACACTACTGCATTTGATTTCTCTCCAATCACCTCCCAGCTGCTGGAGATCTGCCTCTAGAGGAGGTGGCTCCTCCTGGAAAATCTTGCAGGGCGGATTTTCCGCAGGTACATTCATTTTCCCAGTGGGTGGCATTAGAATGCAGCCGCATTCTCTGGAACATCGCTGAAAGGCCCCCCTGGAGAAAGTTGGTGCGTGCCGTGCGGAGGGTCAGCTGGCTCACTCTCGGGATCCGCCCCCCGCCCCTGGGCCTCAGCCGCCCGTCTGCAGAAGGGGACACTCCCCACCCTGCTGCGCTGGCAGAAGGAAAGGGTCCTCGCTGGTGCTTCTCCAAGAGCAGAGCAGGCGCCCTGGGTGGGCTAGACCATTCCTGGGTCGGTGCCCTCCACGTTTCTGCTTCAGGAGGCCCCCGGTCCCAGGGCTTGCCTTCCCAGCCTGTCCCCAGGTGATGTGATGCTGCGGCCCTGGCACCTGAGACCCCGCTTGGAAAACCGCTGCTCCACTAACAATGCAGAAGATTCAGGATGGAGTTTATCTCCCTTCTGTAGGGGGAGGAATGACTTTTATCTTGGATTAGGGTTTTGGGGGTAGGGGTTGTTGAAGTGAGATTCCTGAGGGCAGGTTCCGGGAGTCAAGCGTCTGAGATTTGGGGATCTTCCTAGGTCCTGCCCCTGGGCTCTGGGGACATCATGCCTGCTGCTCCCGTTTTCTAGCTCCTGCCCTACCCGGGCTGATGGCTTTCCCACCTCCCTCCCGCAGGAGCCAGGCCGTGCGCATCCAGGAGGGGCGGTTCCGCCACCCGGGCTGCTACACCTGTGCGGACTGCGGGCTGAACCTGAAGATGCGGGGGCACTTCTGGGTGGGGGACGAGCTGTACTGTGAGAAGCACGCCCGCCAGCGCTACTCAGCACCCCAAACTCTCAGCTCCCAGGCCTGAGCGCCGCCGTGCTCTCAGCCTGCTCTTGACTCTGTGGGCACCCCGAGCCAGGGCGGGGCCTGTAGCGAGCTGGCATGGGAGGGCGATGCGGGGTGGGGGGTGCCGCCCTCCTCGCTGGCTGGGGCCAGAGGCGGGTCCTGTCTTGGGCTGTGGGTGAGGCCAGCCTCGCCCTCCCAGGCCTTTGCTAGGTGCTCTTGCTTTCCCTGCTGGACACGTTCGGCACCAGCCCGAGGTGGACGTCGCATCGCGCGTCTCTGAGCAAGAGCTGAGCCGGCTGGGCCGTGGAGATTAGTATCCAGGAGGGGGTGGGCCAGGGGCTGAAGGTATGCACTGTGTAAAGTTCCTGACCTGTGAGCTCCATAAATACACCTATGTGGACCAACAAAAGTAGCCGCCCCTCTTTCCTGTCTTTTCCTGCCCCGGCTTCTCCCTACCACTGGGGGAGAGGCTTTATTTACCTCCTCCTTCCCCTCTTATTCCCCTTCCCTCAAGCCCCTTGCTTCTCTTCACTGAGGATCCTGCTCTTCTGGAACCCCTTAGTAAAGATGCCTGTTTCCCTGTGATGACCCCTGTGCTTCGCAGGAATGAGCTTCTCACCGCGAGCCCGGGGAGGGGAAGGGATGCTAACGGGTGGCAGCAGAGGGACAGAGGTGGCCCCAGCCTCGCTCCTCCTGCTCAGGCCCCTCGCAGTGGCCGCCTCCTGCTCTGCCGCCCCCGGCTGGGCCGGCGCTCCCTGTGCCGCCTGCTCTCCTGGCGTGGGTGCCGCCAGCCTGCTGACTTACCCAGAGGGTGGGCAGGGGAGGAGGGGCCCTAGCCAAAGCCCCACCTGCGCTCTCTGAGACTGCCTGCGCCCGCTGGAGAGATATGATCACCAGGATCGCTTTGGCACAGGCCTGCAGGCGAGCCTGGCCCAGAGGGGGACAACCAGGAGAGCTCTGACCCCGAGGGACCGTCACCCACCAAGCACCTCACCCCTGGGCCAGCAGTGGTCTGTCCTCCCCTTTCCTGGGAGACTCTGCTGGCTTCATTGGTGGTTGATTTGAGAGAAATATATATATATATTTATATATAGTATAAAAATATATATAGTGTATAGAGAGAGTATTACACAGCCAGTGCTAGCACGCTTGCCTTGGGGGTATGTGTTTGAGCTCAGGCGGGGACAGTGGTCCCTGCCAGATTTTTGGCTTGAGTCACTGCCCGCACCCCCCTTGTTCTAATCCAAGGAGACATTTCAGAAAGGTGCATGGGCGCTGCTGGGTGCTCCAGACCCGCCCTGCCCCTGAGTCAGGGATAAGCAGCAGCCTCAGCTTTATTTCCCCAGAAAAGATCAAAGCTGGGCTTCAGAGAGTGCTTTGTGCTCTCTGGCTCTTTTTGGCAGCAATCTTGGCAGAGACTGTGTTGCCTCCTCAGGCACCTGTTGATACAATTTACACCTTGATATAACTGTCTCACCTTTTGCCTGGATGGCTGCCTTTATTTTCATAGAAAAGATCAAGGCTTTCGGTGGCTCAGTCAGTCTGGCCAGACCGTCTGGTCTGAAGCGGGATAGACAGCTTGGCGCCACCTAGTGTCAGGTGCAGCCTGTGGTGGGGAGAACGCTCACTCACCCAAGGGGAATTCGCCCCTCTGGAAATACTTGGGTTCCGCGAAGAGGGAATTCGTAGGATCTAGCATGTTTCTTGCTTTCCTGAGGATAATAGTCAAGTGGCAGCAACTGAGGCGGCGTGAATGAAATAATGCTATGTGACAGCGAGTGCTTACGGGGTTAATGTGGAACACACATGCGCCCCTGCGAGCCCACAGCAGGGGGCGCCCGCGCGGAAGGATGAACAGGCCTTGGGCCGGAGCGGGAGAGAAATGCCGAGGGATGGAGCAAGTGCAAGTGGAGCGCTCACTTTGGGGCAGTGGCTGAAGTGGTTACTGAGATACGTTTGCAAAGGGAGATGGGAACCTTGAATGCTGGGAGAACTGGTTTGAACTTCACCTCGTGGCCCTTGGGACACTTTGAAAACTTTAAGCAGGGAAGTGAGAAGGTGGGTTGGAATATTAATGCAGCGAGACCCCCATCCTAACAAACCACGCGGGGCCAGCAGAGTTCTCAGGAGTGGAGGAAAAGAAGCGGGGAGCGCGGACCCTTGCGAAGCGGCTGGCCCGCCAGGGGCTGACCGCCTCCTGAAGGCCAGGCGGGTTCAGGCTCTCATCTACCTCCCCCGCTGTGGCAGCAGGTTTCCTACCAGGGGCCCGGCGGGTTTCAGTTCGAAAGCTTTCCGCAGCTGCACAGCCAGCCTGAGCTTGGGGAAAACTGCTTTGGAAGATGGAGTTATTAGCCAAACCTGCTTGTCTGCAGAGAAGGCTGGGGCTGACCAGGCAGGGGGCGGGGGGGGGGGGGGGGGGGACCACCGGTTATGCAACTGCAATTTGTTCAGTGCTGTGCCCTCCTTAGCATCTTCTGCCTGTTGGGGAATAACGTCAGCCATGGTGACCGATTCAGGTTAGCAGTGGCCCGAGAGAGCCTGTAATACAGCCCCCTTCGGCTGGAGATGAGAAGGTGACTCTCCCGAAGTTCTACAGCTGGACAGTTCTAAAGTGCCAGGGAGGTTGGAAGTGTGCAAGTCTAATCGTCACAACTGGATAGGCACGCTGTTATCGCCCTTGTCTCTAGAGAAATAGAGAAACCGAGGACAGGGAGGGTGGCTGCCTGGTCTAGGAACTCCGAGCTGGCAAGGGGAGGGGACTGTGGAAGGAACCCAGAGCCGGGGGTGGCGTGCTCTTGCCCTCCAGCACCAGAGGCAGCCCTCTGGGCCCCCAGGGGGGACACTGTGGCTCCCAGGCCTCTCTAGTCTGGCAGGCACTGCCTCCAGGCTCTTGGCTGTGCCCGTGGTGCCACGGGAGGGGAGATGATTGTCCTGCAGCTGTCGGTGAAGGCGAGGCTGTGGAGGTGGTCCTGTGGGGACCCCTGCCAGGCAGGGCAGCAGGAGGCAGGTGGGAGGGCAGTGTGTGCCCGGGCCCCAAGGTGTCCGACCACCCTGAGGGGGCTGGCATATCTGCCGCAGGGGGTGGGGTGGGAGGGAAGACATGGCCTGGAGTGGAGTGTGTACTAGGGTGTGTGTGTGGGGGGGTTCTTTTGAGGCCGCACAAAGCCTTGTGCTGAGGCACTGCATTCCTGCTGGCTGGCTTCCTGTTCAGATGCATTCCTGCCCGGAGTCACCGAGGAGACTGCTGCCTGGAATTTGGCCCCGCATTCTCCAAATTCAGGGCGAGATCTAGCAAAGTTTCCTGCCCCCCCCCCCCACTTTGGGAGGAGGAAGCCACAGGACTGGCCAGCCCTCCTTCCCTCCTACCCCGGGAGGGCCGGTGTCGGGTGTAGCAGGGCCTGGGGGGTTTGGTACAAGACCTCTGGTCCCCTTCTCTGCTTCCCCTTCTGTCTGAGGGAAGCAGGAAGGGGAGCGGGTGCTTCCAGGATAGGCCAGGAGGTGGCGGCCCAGAGGACCCAGGGCCAGTGGGCAAGGGCTTGCTTGGCCTGACAGTCAGGTGTTAAGAACCGCTGGCAATTCGAGCACCTGGCTGTCATTCTTCCGTTCCTGGTCTTGGCTGTAGGCCTGTTCCGTGATCTTATAAAGTTAGAATCTTGTAGTTCGTGGTTCTCTGGTGAAGGCTCCTGCGTAGCGTGTTTGAGAAGGGGTCGGAAGGAGCTGGGAGCAGAAGGGGTGGGCAGACATCCTTCCCTCCCAGCAAGCAGCCACTTCCTCCCGGGCGCCAGCCCTGCCGCCCCGCCCCGCCCCGCCCCCCCAGGGTCAGGTGCGGGTCTGCACGTCCACCAGCTCCCTCGTCTGCTTCCAGGGGATCTGAGTCCTGCTGGGGGTTTCCAGCCAGGTTGCCTTCCTCAGGAGAATGAGGTTTCCTAGAGGCCACAAGCCCATCCGGTCACCAGGCTGTCTCACTTCAGCAGCTGCCTGGACTCCCAGCCCCTTCAGGCCCTGGACTGAGGGTTGGGGAGGAGCCGTGTGGGCAAAAGAGGGCAGGAGCGGGGACCAGGAGGCTGTTGCGCTCGCACTACCTCCAGGCCACTCCCCTGGCTCCCTTCTCCCCCAGTCCTGAAGTCCCACCCAGCCCCCACCTTAGGGTCCCCGGGAAAGAGGTGGGAGAGGAGGGGGTCAGAACGGCGGGGACCCACGGGTGCTCTGCAGCTGTCGGAAAGGATTCCCCCCGGGGTACAAATCACTCCCCCCATCTTGCGCCAGCGTCTGAGTGGCGGTGGGACGCGCCCCAGGCACACAGCTGGGAGCGCAGGGGCGTCTGCGCCCTGGTCAGCGGCCTTCCCACGGCCAGCACGTGGGGCTCCATTTCCTTCCGCGCTCCGGTCCAGTCCCCGCCCGCCGGCTTCATCTGGGCGGCAGGAAGGCCGGCTCCGCGTGTGAACCGGAGGCGGAGTGAGCCCGCGCAGCGAGCCAGAAGGCGACCCCAGGCGGGGGGCCCTGCTCCGGGGCCGGGGCCGGAGCGCGGGGTTGCCCCGGCCTGAAGCACAGAGGATCAGCGTCCGAAGGGGAGCGGACCGGGGTCCTGCACGCCCAGCCGGCCCTGGGGGCTGCCCAGGCGCACGTGGCCCGGCGTGCAACCCCCGCTCCCCTCACACCTGCGACCCTCCTCCTGCCCCGCCCCCCACCCGCTGGAAGTGGCCCGGAGACGCGCCCAGGGGTCAGGACGCACCAGCCAGCGAAGCCGCCGCGCGACAGCGCCTAGGGGACGCGGGCCGAGGGCGCTGTCCGGCTGTAGCGGCCGGGGTGAGAGGGGCCATGCTGGGCCGGCGGCGCGTCTTCGCCGTGGAGCCGCGCGGCGGCCGGGGTGAGTCGCCCACCCCAAGGCGGGCAGAGCCTCCCGCCCTGGCGCCCACTCCGGAGCGCTGACCCCCGTCTGCGCCGTGCCCCACCCCGCACACCCGCCTGGGGCGCGCGACGTCGCCGCGCCCGCTTCGTGGCCTCCTTTTGCGCCTTGCACGCGGAAACCCTCAGAGTTCGGACATTAAATCAGTCACCATCTCCATCCCACTTCCTCCGGGCCGGCGTCCCTCTAACTCCCGATTCAGATCCTTCCCCACCGGCCCCGGCCGCTGCCCGCAGTTCCGAAAGCCCCCTCGGCGGCGACGGACCCCTGTCCACAGGCGCCGCGGGGCGGGCTTCGTGCCCACTTCCCTGCCCAGGGGCCAGGCTTGGCGCCCGGCTGCCTGCGGGGCCGGCTGGGAGTTGCGGAGAGTCCTCCACCCTCTCCAGCTTCCGTTTTTGCATCACTAGTGACAATGAGGGCACCCAGATGGTAGGAGGGCTGGGCACCCAGGTGATAGTGAACTGGCAACGAGTCTATGTCTCCTCCTGCCCCGCCTTCCCCGGTTCCCTTTTTTCCGGTTAAGGTTTTTCTCTCCAACTCTCCACAAAATCTTCACTATTTTTCGCTTAAAAGGACAAAACCCCAAAATATTATAGCTATTGTTATTTTTAATTACTCCCCTCTCCCTGACGCCCCCCCCCCCGAGTGCCAGGAGGGACTTCACCCAGCACCCTGATGCCTGCTGGCACCCTCTTTGTGCCCTTCCCCCTCCCTGAGGCAGGGTGCACAGTCACACTCGCCCTTGGGGAGCAGTGGAAGAGGCTTCAGCTCCCCCACTTATGACTCGGAAGTCCCAGGCGGACCCCAGGGCCAGGGCAGGGCGCAAGGGCTCCCAGGAGGAAGGCAGCCCCTCCTTGAAGGAAGGTGGGCCCTCGGGAGCCGCTGAAGAGGAGAGCCTTTCCCGCACCCACCCCACCGCCCATGCCAGCGGCCTGACCGCTGACAGTCGCTGCTGTGAGAAGAGCCCCGCAGAACGGGGGTCGGGCGGGCTGCGGCCAGCCCGGCTCCTCCCCTCCCCTCTGGCCCGGACACTCCTCCCCGGGGAATGTCTCAGCTGCCGGGAATGCCGGGGGCCGGGGTGGCCTGCCCAGCGCGACTCTCGCTCTCCTTGCAGATGGGGCTGGCCAGAGCTCGGCGCAGAGCTGTGTCGTGCCTGGAGTCACCAGCGCCTACCGCCGGATCCCGGACGCCTCTCCCGCGTGCGCGGGGGGCTGCTGGGAGCCGGATGGCGCGCTGAAGGGTGCCCTGGGGCAGATGCCACTTCTCAAGCTGGCCTCCCGGGACTCAGGAGTGGAGATGGCGGTTGGGGACAGCGCCCTGACCAGCGCGCCGGGCCTTTCTCAAGACTCTCTGGACTTTGAGCCTGTGGGGAGCCCTGAGCCCCTGGCCCTGCCCACGGAGCCCCCTGCCCACCTGGGCCGGCTCCTGGCCAGCCGCAAGCTAGAGCAGGTGCTGGAGCGCTCCAGCCAGCTCCCCACTCCGCCTGCCAGCTTGTCAGGACACCACCGCTCCCCGAAGCCGAGAAGGAAGCCTGAGTACGAAGTGCCCCTTTTTGGAGGAAGGGGCCGGGAGGCCAGCAAGGCAGAAACCGACCGAGGGGCAGGCCCGGAAGAAGCAGAGGTGGTGAGTGCCCACACTCAGCTGGGTGAAGAGAGGGTGGAGGCCCCTCGTCACTCTCCCCGGAGCTCTCTCAGGGTGGGGCGTTCCTGTCCCTAATTGGTGGGTGTGTCACCGCTTCTTGTCTCACCCCACTCCCAGCTGTGCGTGCGGAGGTGGGCAGGTATGCCTGGCACCTGGCTGGCTGGCTGCACGGGAAGGGGGGCGCAGCTGGGTGCATGGTCCTCCTCTCCCTGCCCTTCTGCCCCCATCTGACGGCCTCCAAGGGTGGGAGTCTGGCTGAGCTCAGGGCTCCCCACCTCACAACATCCCTCAGGTGAGGGGCGTGGGGCCCGAAGCCTGGGCCTGCCTCCCGGGACAGGGCCTTCGCTACCTGGAACACCTGTGCCTGGTGCTAGAGCAGATGGCGAGGCTCCAGCAGCTGCAGCTGCAGCTGCAGACCCAGAGGCCCCCTGGGGTGAGTGAGCCTGGTGGCAGCGGTGGGCACGGAGTGGGGGGGCTTCCTTCAGCTCCGCCTCGGTCTCTGCTCAGGGCCCGTGTGCCCTTCTCTCCTGTGCACAGGACCCTGCGGAGGAGGAGGAGTCGGCCCTGGCCCCGTCGCCTCCATCCTCTCCTGCCCCCGGCAGCGGGCTGCTTGGGTCATGGGAGCTGCTCAGCCGGACGAGGGAGACAGGTATGGGGCAACCGTGTCTCCCTCCGCGTCCGGCCGGCCCAGGGCCCGAGGCAGGCCCCCCGAGCCCTGGGCTTGAGGGGTGTGTTCCTGTTCCGCGCTCTGGGTCATCTGATTCTCTCTCTGAAGGTGTAAAAAGAGCTTCACTCCCAAAGGTGTGGGTGCCCAGTACCCACCCCCCCGGGCTGTCAGAGGCCCCCACAGAGCCGGCTCCCACCGTTCCACCCTCCCAGAGTCACAAGGTGGGTGATGGGTGTATCCGGGGCAGGGGGCAGGCGGAGGTGGGGCTGGGTGGCATGTGTGGGTGCCATAAAGGCCAGACACTCTGGGATGATGAGAGGATTCCTGTTTGGAGCGGGGGACCTCTGGCTGTGGGGACAGCTGTGTCTGGTGTGCTGTGGGGTGGGGCTCTGTGGTGACCCCCTCATTCTCTGCTCAGCGGGATCTCTCCCACTGGAACAAGGTCAAGGTCCTTCTCAATCGGATTCGCTGGAAGAGCCCTCAGTGCCCGGAGCCCGCCACGCCTCCCGCTGGCCCTGCTACCCGGTGAGCGCCGTGGCCCAGCTCCGTGAGGGCGGAGGGAGGGGCGCGGTGAACCAGGATACTGAGGTTGCCCTGCTGGTTCTCTTTGTCCCTAGGAAATCGGAGTGACACAGTCGCAGAGAGGGTGCTGGAAGAAACAGAAAGTAGTTAAAACTCCCTGTTGATAGACGAGGCTCGGGGCTGGGCAGGGGAGGGAGGCTGCTTTCCTGAGGCCACACGGGGAGTCAGTGGCAGAACCAGGACCAGAGTGTGGGAAGTCTCCTTAGGGCAGCCTCGCAGGCCCTTGGCCCTCGGAGCGGAAGCTTAGGCTGCCTCCCCGTGCGCCGGGCAAGCGATGTGGGGGCACAGGTGATTCCACAGTGGCCCCTGGGGGTGGTTATGCTGAATGACTCTTGCGGGGGGCGGGGGGGAGCACCTTACCAGTTACCACCCCTGCGGCAGACAAGTGGTCCTGATCCCCTCGGGGACCATCGTCACCTTCGTGTCCTTCTCCTAACCTCAGGCCACATTGCCTTTGCCGCAGGATTGGGTCAAGGGACCTTCCTGAAAGACCTTCATGTCGCCCCCTCCGGAAGACCTTTATGCCATCGTTGGTGGTGAAGAAGCAACGAGCAAAAAACCTTTCTGTCTGCTGAGACCTCCAGGTGCAGGTGTGCCCCTGGGGGGAGGGGCGCGCAGTGAAGTCTTCTTTGCCCTTTGCCCTTTGCTGTTTTTGGGCACTGCCAGTGAAAGCTGCTGACGCTTGCCATCCTCTCTGAGGCGAGGGCTGAGTCTTTCTCCTCTGAGCAGCCTGGCAGGGAGCCCTGGTGTGGCTGCCCCGGGGCACCTCGCTGGCTGCCGGAAGTCCCCGAGCCAGGACAACGTGAACGGCTCCATCGGGCACCCCTGGAGCGTGCTTGGCGTGGTGATGTTGGGGCCCAGTGTGCTGCAGGTGTGCGTGCGAAATAACACACTGCACGTGTCTCTGCGAGACTGTCACTGTCATGAACTGAGTGGATCCTACCAGCTCTCCTGAATCACACACTCAAAAAGTTGGGCTTCTAGGCGGGGTCGCTGCAGAAGGATGGGACTGACCTTCACGCCTCAGTGGACAGTGGCTGATCCTGGAGGCCGGCTTTCCTCCTCATTCCTGCACGGGAGGCCCCGGCAGGGAGGGCACGGCCTCGGCTGTGTCCGCATTGGGTCTTGCCCGGGGAGCAGAGCCCCTGAAGACCGCAGCAGGAGCGGGAGGGTTGGGAGACACGTGGGGACCAGCGGAGCAACCTGCAGGGTCTCTTCTTAGCTGCTTTGCTCCTTCCCAGCCTTTACACGTCAGAGCTGAGACCCAAGGCCCGTGCTGGCTCTCAGGCCTGGACAGAACCCCCTGAACTTGTCTGAGCCGGAGCTTCCCACTTCATCTCCCGGGGGGTATCCTGACGCCTGACCTACCTACCTCACCGGCTTGTTATGAGAATAAAATGAGATTGAGCGGTCTCAGAGTGCTTTGTGAAGGTTACACGACTAGGGAAGGGGGGGCTAGGGGTGTCGGAGGGCGGCTAGACCGGAGGGATGACTGGGAGGTCAGGGGATAAGGAGGGATTGGAGTTGGCGATGGGGATTACGACGGCCAGTGACCAGCAGCAGGACTTGGAGGACGTCATTTCAGCGAGGCCTCTAAGGTTCCCTATCTGAGTCACAGCCCTAATTCCTGAGCTGCTTACCCCAGCGCCGTCGTGAGGACGAAAGGAAAAGTCCATTAAGAGCTCTGTAAATGCCTCCCTAAATACTGTGGCAGTTTGTCTTACCATAACCTGTCTAGTCCTAGCTTTCTGTTAATTGAGAAATGGGAAACGCTTAGTCTGCAGGCACCAGAGGATGGAGGGAGTGTGTGTGTGGTGCCCCCGTGGAGGGGCGGGGCTGGGGCTGGGGTCAGCAGCCTGAGTCAGACGCAGGAAGGCCTCCCCGAGCGGGCCGCCGGTCGGCTGGGCGACTGCAATCTCCGGGTCTGCCCTATGAGGCAGGCTCGCGCCCGTCCTTCGGCTTGGGGCCGCCCTCCAGCTGTCTTCGGACAAAGAACCAATTCTCCGAAGCCCATTTTTCTAATGGGACACTTAAGCGCGGACACCAGCCAGGCGCGGCTTCCTAGCGCGCGTCCGCGGGGGGAGGCGCACTTCCGCTCGCGGGTCGGAGCGGGACTGCAGGCCGGCGTGGGGGAGGGAGAGATCGGTGCCGCGGGGGGAGGGACCATATCCGGGAGAGTGGCAGCTTCCGACCAGTGGTCGCGTTTCCGGAGAGGCGCTTCCGGTGGCGGCGGCAGCAGCGGCGGTGGTGGTTCCGGGTGTCTTTGTCCCCCCGGTGTCGCGGCCCTGGCCCGCAGGTGGGTTGGCTGGCCCCCCGCCGCCCTTCTGCCCCCTCGCTCCTCCCCAGCCGAGGGGCTGCGAGGGCCGGGCAGCAAAGGTGCACGGGCCGCCGAGGGCGCCGAGCCCCCTCGGACGGCAAGCCCCGTCTCCCTGGCAACGGCCTCGGCCCCGGGGGCGGGCGGGAGGGGGAGGGACCGCGCGCCTCCGGCCTCCCGCGGCGGCCTGGCCCGTCCCGGCCCGGCGATCGCACCGGCGGCCGCTGAGGCAGGAGCGCAGGGCCGGGCAGCGCGGGAGCGGAGGGCGGGCGCGCAGCCGGATCCGCGGTCGGCCGGGCCGCGCGGCTGCCGGCCCCCGGGCCGGGCCGGGGGGCTACGGGCCGGGCTTCCGGGGAGAAGGCCCTCGCGTCTCCCCTCCCGCAGCAGCCTCCTCCATTTTTCCGGGCCTTGCGGGCAGCCTTGTGGCCGACGTGTTTGAATGAATGAAGGTCCCCGGGGCTCTTTCCGGCCCCCGGCCCCTCCGCCGTCGGGGTGGCGCGCGCAGGGAGAGGCTCGCTGCGCGGCTGGGAGGCCAGGGTGTGCGTCCCCGCTGTGCCGCGGACTGGCTGTGTGGCCCCGGGCGAGTCTCGGCCTCTGAGCTTCAGTTTGCTTGTCCTTACAATAGCCGGACAGGGTCCCCCGCCGCCGGGCTATTGGCGAGGGCCCCCTGGAGCCGTGTGATCGCCGCGTTTCTTGCTGCTCTTCACGTTCCCTCCATCCATCGCCTCCATTCATTCTCCCTGCTCCCCTCAGGATACTTAGTTCCTGTTTTGGGGTTGATGGAAAATTCCCCTATGAGCTGTTAACTTATTTCTTTCCTGATTGAAGGTTTTTCCCCCCTAAGACTCTGAAAGAGGACAACATTCCCAAATGTCCCAGTTTAAGCGCCAGCGGATCAACCCACTTCCAGGGGGACGCAACTTCTCAGGTGACCGTCGCCTTTCCCCTACCGGGGCTCCTACCGAAGAAGGATGCGCTTTACAGTTAGCCTGCGAAAAGCGCGGCTCTTGGGGTCTCCCTGGTGGAGCGCAGTTTGCTGCTGACGTTGCCGAGGAAAACAGGAGCTGACTGCGGGGTCGACAGCGAAACCCTGTGGAGGGTGGCTCGGGGCCGCTTCGCCCTTTTGGTTTGCCTGTTCTCTAGCTCAGTGGTTTTCAGCTGGGGGTGCGGTGACAGGCACGCTGTTTGCCGCCAGAATTTTTAAACCAGGCAATGCGTGACTATTTAGTCAGGGGCACTGACCTCTTCTCTTAAGTTGTCAAACTAAAAAAAAAAAAAAAAAAAAAAAAAAAATGACAACAGCCAACACAGCGACAGTTATTTGGTGTGAGCGAATCAAAATGATGACTTTTTTTTGTTAGAGCAGCAAAAACTGTATTTTTTGGTGTGCTGAATTTTAGTGATTAGTTTGTGTGCGCCACGAGGTGGAAGAGGTTGAAACTCGCTGCCCTGGTTGAAGGCAGTGCCTGAGGTGGTGCAGCCCCTGGAATTTGCGCCTCTGTCCCGTAGGCACAGCCTCGACATCTCTTCTGGGTCCTCCTCCTGGTCTGCTCACGCCTCCCGTGGCCACAGACCTGTCCCAGAATGCCAGGCACCTTCAGGTAGGCCGGGCGTCCTCACCGGTGAGCTTCAGCCCTGGGGACCAGCCCGGCGTGCGTGGGTGCCCGATACTTTCATTTTGACACCACAGTGTTCGTCCTTCCTGACACTGCTGCCCCGGGGTGGGGGAGAGGTGACTAGACACCTGGACTGGGGAGTGCTAAGCGCTGGCTCCAGGGAAATCTTTAGGGGACCTCTTGGAACACAAGAGCTGGGAACCCTGGAAGAAGCTTGGGATGCAAGGGTCAGCCTAATGCCCCCGCCCCTCCTTCCATGTGGACCCGGATGCAGTGCTGGGGTTGAGCTGGGGCGGGGGGTGGAGAGGGGTGAGATGCTACAGCAGAAGATGGCCCAATGCTCCTTACTGAGGCTGCACCTCCTCTTCCAGGGTGGGGAGAAGCAGCGGGTCTTCACCGGCATTGTTACCAGCTTGCACGACTACTTTGGGGTGGTGGATGAAGAGGTCTTCTTTCAGCTAAGGTAGGTCGGAGGCTGGTCTGTTGGGAACGCTCGCTGGACGCGGTCTGTCACCATGCTCGGGGGGCTCCTCTCATGCCGTCGCTTTGCCGTTTTTATGCCAGGGGGGAGCCGCCTTGACGGGAAGGGCTCGTCAGGGCGGTCGGGGGGGCTTGGCCGGGTCTCCTGACTGGGCCTCCTGGCTTGTGTGCTGGCAGTGTGGTGAAGGGCCGGCTGCCCCAGCTGGGTGAGAAGGTGCTGGTGAAGGCTGCATACAACCCAGGCCAGGCAGTGCCTTGGAATGCTGTCAAGGTGCAAACACTCTCCAACCAGGTATTCATCTCTCCTTGTCCGCGTGCACTGGAAAGGGGAGGGAGGGAAGCCACTGTTTCTGAATGCTGGGCGAGAACCTTTCTTTTGTCGAGGGGGCGGGGCTGCATCTGTCCGAGCATGGTGAGCACGGCAGGCAGCCGTGGGAAGCCCTGAATTTCCTGGTTACTGTCCTGCAGCCCCTACTGAAGTCCCCAGCACCTCCCCTTCTACACGTAGCAGCCCTGGGCCAGAAGCAAGGGATTCTGGGAGCTCAGCCTCAGTTGATCTTCCAGCCTCACCGGATTCCCCCCCTCTTTCCTCAGAAGCGTGAGTACCAGTGGCATGGGTGTTGGGGTGTGGCTTTATGGGATACTCTGGATGAATGAATGGACTTGTAACTGTCAAGTTGCTGCTCTGTGAATAGAAGTGGGTACTTCTGTGCACTGAAAGAGACAGGGAGGTCCAATGCTTAGAGTTTTTCAGTCACAGCCATTTCCTCTGCAGCTCTGAGTCTCTTCCAAACGTCCCATACACTTCATCTGAGCCACCTGAACCGATTTCCTGCTCGGGGCCCTCATGGCCGATTGGATCAGGGCCGAAGGTAAGAGGATGTTCAACCAGGAAAATGTTTCCTTTTCTTCATTTGCCTCTAGGAGCGCTGTCCCTTTCTCTGCCCCTCGTTGACATGACATTCGCTTCCTGCACCTAGATCCTAGTCCCTTTACCCTAAAATAAGCAGACATATAGCGAATTATATAAAAATAATGGAACTTTATAAACTGGTTCAGCAAGCAGGGATTTGGTAGTTCATCTTTTCAAAATAACCATATTGAAATTTTCTCAATATATAATTTTCCCTTTCATTTCTAGTCCCTGAGATTGAGATAGTAAGAATCAGATCAAGGAAATAGTAATTGTCCAAAAAAGTAACTTTGTTGCATATGTTTTAATTCCTAGTATAAAACATTTGTGTTTATACATTGTATACATCAGCGTGGGGTTAGAATGTTGCACTCCGCCCAGAAGTCTAGGCCTGTGCCTTGGATAGCTCCTTGCACAGACAGCTCCTGGGCCCTGCGCGGAGCAGGCGTGGTGGGTTTGGGCCTTCGGGCCTCCCAGGCTGCCCTGCATCACCTCTGCGCGCCGGGGGACTGCCGGGAGCATGATGCCTGTCCGCTCTGGCTCACGCATTCTTTATGCTGCCCTGCTCGCTCCCTAAAGGGTTTTGCCTAAGCCCCTAGGAGTCAGGGCAGTTAAGACTCGTTTGCTTAAGACTTGTTTTATTTCTATCTGTTGGCCTTACTTTAACTTTTTATTGAAGAAAATTTGAAGTATAAGCAAAGTAAACAGAAAAGGATGAACTCTCACATACCCATTACCCAGCTTCAGGTATCTACATCTGCAATTTTTCTTTTCTCTCTACCTCTCTCTACATGATTTTTTTAGGGTAAATTTTTTTTAAAGTAAAATTTATAAAGATTGAAATGCACAAGTCTTAACTGGACAATTTCGACAAATGGAAAATCCCACGTGACCCTCATTCCTCTTAAGGTGTAGAACACTTCCGCCCTGGCTGGTGTGGCTCAGTGGATTGAGCACTGGCCTGCTAACCGAGAGGTTACTTGTCTGATTCCTGGTCAGGGCACGTGCCTGGGTTGCAGGCGAGGTCCCTAGTTGTGGGCATGTGAGAGGCAACAAATTGATGTTTCTCTCATATGGATGTTT